TTCACCACCTACACTGCAGACTTAAGTACTGCACTAAGTCGTGTCATCTTCAGAAATTTTCTGATGACATGGCTATCATGGGGGGTGTTGAGAGTGGGAGGGAGGCTGAGTACAGGGACTTACATACACAGCACAAGTCTGAGTCGGTAAGTGGACCCAGAGTAAATGAAACAAGGTACTTTTATACATGGACAATACAATAGACAATATGTAAATGGTATTCGTTGATCAGGCAGTCACCAGACGTTACATGATTAACATCGGAGTCAGGGGGAATCAAAATCAGAATCAGAAATACTTTTTTTGTTGTTGTTGTTTTGAAATGAAGTAAGACAAAAGGTAGTGGTCAGACCAAATGTGATTAACAGTGGCAGAAGGGGTGGGTATGGGGTTTGGTCAAGGGGACAGGAGGAAGTATGAATAGACAACCAGTAAGGGGGGGCGGAGCCGAGCCGGCTGCCACAGGAGACAGTATGAATATACATTTAAGCGTGAAAAGGACACAACCAGTAGGGGGTAGTCGAGCCGGCTGCAATTTTCTTCCTCAGTGGCAAAGACAAAGGAGATGGTGGTGGATTTTAGGGGGAACAAGCCCCTGCCCTCTCGTGTCAGCATTGGTGGAGCAGATGTGGATATGGTGTCGGCGTATAAGTACCTGGGTGTCACACTGGACAACAAACTGGACTGGTCCACAAACTCAGAGGCCAGGCTCAGGTCCTTTAATGTCTGCAATAGGATGTTGCAGATGTTTTATCAGTCTGTTGTGGCGAGCACTATCTTCTTTACTGCGGTGTCCTGGGGTGCGGGCATCAAGGCAAAGGACGCCAACAGACTGAACAAACTCATTAAGAAGGCCAAGTCAGTTGTTGGCTCTAAGCTTGTCACCCTGGAGGAGGTGGTGGAAGAGAGGATGCTGGTAAAACTGCTGGTAATCATGGACAATCCTTCTCATCCTCTCCACACAACACTGGAAAAGCTAAAGAGCAGCTTCAGCAACAGACTCATTCAACCCCGCTGCTCTGGAACGATACAGAAAATCGCTCCTCCCCACTGCAATAAGACCCTATAACTCATCTGCCTCTGTCAGATCCACAATCACAGAACTGGACTTCATATCATATGTGATATGTGTTAATATAAACCATGTTGATATTATATATAATATATTTACAATATCCTTATCTTTTTCTCACATTTCTAGGTACATATTTATATTTATAATATATTATATATTGTATGTATATCTTGTATAGTTGAGTATCTATTATACATATGCTATATATCATTTCATATCTCATGTATATATATATATATATATATATATATATATATAATGTAGGGGTTACACTACTTAATAATAAAGGTAATTAATCACTGATGATTATTAATACACTCGTAAATGGGGCACCACCTCCGTTGTTTAGCTACTGGAATAATCCAGAGGAAATTATTCCACAGATCTAATCAAATCAATTTCAAATCAATTTATTCAATTTCAAAATCTATATTCAATCTTATATTCTGAAGTGGTGATTTCATTTACATGGTTATATATGTTTATTAACTAAATTAATGAAGAATAAATAGCATGAAATGACAATTCAAACAAACAATAACAAGTAACAGAATATGTGGACAGTAAATTAATTATTAATATTGGGTGATTCAGGAGAGATGGTGGATTTTGCGATGCGGCTAGTGGATTTAAAATATTACTTATTTAAAACTACCAGGCCCTAATCAAAAATTCTTCTAAGCTTAACGATGGGAATCAAAGCTTACAGACAGACACCAGCTCTTTTGTGGGTGAAATCTGGTCGTGTACCCTAGAGTCAGCCTACTTGGTTTGGAGATTAATGAATTCCAGGCCCTTTTGGCTTCCCTCCAGCTCTCACAGCTCTCCTGCGGTTCATCACTGCTCCAATCAGCCTGAAGAAACTGACGTCCTTGGTAGCCTAGCAGTGGAAGGAGATCCGGTTCCGAAAACCCAGCGCGGCTTTTGCGCTTGTGAGCGTTGGGGGCAAGGTGGCTGGATAATAATGTCTTTGTTCGGCTGAAAACTTTTGTACGTGTTCTTGAGCAGTCAACTACTGCGACGTCCTTCTGGCTGATTATAAATGTCTTAATAACATTGGTCTTCAGCTTTGATTTCAAACTAATTCAACTTCTGTGAATAAGGCGACAATACTTGACGATATATATATAAACTTTCCAAAAAGTATTTGAATTAAATTGGTGCGTGTCTTGAGCTTTCAAAATAACAGTACTTGAAAAGTACTTCAGCGCCGCAATATATAACTTGAAGAAAAATTCAACACGTGTCGCAAACGAAGTAAAGTAAAGTACGGAAATTAAATGTAAGAACGAGAGTAAATAACGAATGAGATCATGTGTCAGGCATTTACTATTTGGAATAATACACAATTATAAAACAAAGACCGTTTTGAAGATACCTTAAGCTATACCAGAATCTTACCAAAAGGGGGGGAACTGTGGCTCCATCAAACATTCAGACATTTTACACATGATTTTGTAACTTAGTCCAACCTGAGGACAGCAACATCAGACAAACATTACATTTGCGACTTTCTCATGCTGGATGGCAATCTGTTAATGTTGAGAAGATGATATTTTACAATAGTACTAAATTAGAACTAAATCTATATCAGTGCAAATGCTGTTTCTGCTATCTATTGGAATGTCCACTAGCAAATGGACCTCATAAATCACCAGGGCTCGAAGCTGACCTGCAGCCCTTTGCTGTGTGCCATCCGCCTCCCTGCCCCCCACCCCCAGCTGCCAACCATAACAAAGGCCCAAAAAATATACTTAAAAAAAATAAATAAATCACCTTAAAGGAAAGGGGGAAAAGAGTAACAGGAGACCAGATGTGGATTTCAGAGGAGTTTCTCTCTGGACGTGAACCTGTCAGACTAAAAGAGATGTAAACACATTTCAGGGATATCTAATCCTGATTTACAATCAAAAAGGCACTTAATTATCAACCCATCTTTTGTAGAATAACAAGCGTTTCCCCAAAAAGTGTAGAGTGTCGTTCTGATCTGTGGAGGAGTCAGTGTTCTGTGAAAGAGGATAAAACAAATTGATACCTAGAGATCCCATCGGAGAATCTGAAAAGAACCAGGCTCTCTGTGCAGGAGACTGTCGGCGCTACAGTCTCACCTCCCCTCCTGGGTCAAAAAGGTCAAAGGGAAAGAAGAGGCCTTGAAAACTCTCCTGGTGGAACAGCATCAAAATAATATGATGGCTGTTGAATTAAGAGACGGATAAAGCATCTCTTGTAATGATGAGTCGACGACAAGGTCCTACATATGTGTGTACATATTATATATTGCATTATGTATGTATGTACACCTTGCACAGATAAATATGACACATATCTACATTATGTCAATATTCATGTATTATATCTATGTGTATACATGTATATCTGTTCAGTCATCATATTATATATACATATTATTGTTATTATTATTATTAATAATATTTTTATTGTTATTATTATATATTATATACTGGTATTAACAATAACACTATTTTCATATCATCAGTATTATTACCACCATCTTGCAACTACAACTTGTTTGCACCCTATCTACCTATTTATCTCTAACCTCAAGTATTTTATTCTATTGTTGTTGTTTTATTTAAATGTACTTTGCTGCTATGACAACTCAATTTCCCTTAGGGGATTAATAAAGTCTATCTATTTGACATACATCCTTTAAGGAAGCTAACAGCAGTCTACCCTGGCTTGTGCTCTGTCTTGTGGAGAGGGTGATTCTTGCTTGTGCTTTAACTGGGCTGGGAGACCAGATCCATGACAGGTCTGGTTCCAGTACTGTTTTAGGCTCCTGAAAAGGTTAGACTTTTTTAGTTCGGTAAGTCTTCTGTGGGGTTGTTCTATGGTTTTGTTCCTAAAATCATATCCTGCCCCTAGAAATACTTCTTATGTGAGGTTGGTACCCAGGGTGTGGCCAGTGTTTCTCTAGAAGGGGCAAGGCTGGTCACTACTTGTCACTGTTATTACAATAATGTAATAGTTGTACGATATTGTTGTTTAGAAGCTGTTAACTCAGCTAGGATCATTTCCAGTTCTTCCAAAATAAAAGCGTTACATCTTCAAATTTAATACGTTTTTCCTGTGATACTATATTATATACCAATCATCATCATCTGATGAAGGTGAACCAGTAAATACACCAGTTATAAGTTAGGATAATAATAATAATGGATAAAAAAAACATACTTTTACCGCCTTTGACAGCTTCATGGGTGCTGTAGTTTTATTTCTGCTTAAATGCTATAGGCTATATCAAGTAGGCAACTAAGGACAGAAAGAGTAATCACACAAAATAAACTCCAAAGCATTAAATTACTCAGTGAGGCAAATACAATCATATCAATGAGTAATGTTTTGTTTTTGCACAACAACACTAATTATTTAGGGCTGTACTTTCAGTTTGAATAGCTAAATGTTAGAAGGGAATGGAGGTGGGGGGGTGTTGAGTGGTGTGTGCATCATAGCCTCCCCTCTCCTCGTTTTCTCCCCCTTTTCCTCCCCCCCAACAAGTAATTTCCCCACAGGGATTATTAAAGTATTTCTGATTATGATTCTGATAGGCTGTCCCATGATCATGAAAGGGCTACATTGTAATTTATGTCCTACGGTGTTCAGGATGTTTTTTCCTGTACTGATCTCTTTGGAGTTCACGTCTTGTTTTGTTCATAAAAGCTGTGTGTGTGTTTTTCAGTTACGCTATACGTGCATGGGATTTTTTCAGCAGTGTCGTAAAACTGGATCACACACACACACGCACGCACACACACGCACACAGACAAACACACAGACACACACACACACACACGCACACACACAGACACCCACACACACACACACACCCACACACACACCATTTTGAGTCCCAATGCAAAGGCAGAAAAACAAGCAACTAAAGCTGTAAAGTGAAGACACACACTTTTTAACATAATATTTAATTTAATGAGTCGTCTTTCTGTTAATTCAAAACTTGACATGGTCCTTTAAACATCCAAAATAAATTACTTAAGCATTCAGCACTGTGGAAAAAAAGACAACAGGCAGATGTAAAAACTATCCATGAACAACTACAAAGAAAGGCTGATTTCCCTTAAACACCACAAATGGTAAGCACGTATTGTAGCGAGGTACACCCAATGATATTTCAAAACACAAATCACGTTCAGTAACTTACTCATAAAACTCTTAACATAAATCTTAGCAAAAAGCTTGTGAGGTCCCATAATGTATCCAATAACAATAAAAGAGGAAGTACCTCTACAGACAGATACTGTAGTTTCTACATTCTCAGTCAAACAGACATAATGTATGCACGTATTAGAGAGTATGGTTAACCAGAGGTTATGAAGAAGTTAAAAGAACATATTAACAATACTTAATAAGGTTCTTCACAGTGAATCTGCTATTTGAGGTCAAACAAAAAATATTTACTGCAACTACTGTTATTATAAGCTGCATGCTTAATAATAACAATAAGTTAATCATTTGACGTTGGTTTACATAATAACATTGTTTTTGCCTAAAACCATAGAAAGCAAAAAGAGTAGACACTGACATAATCTACATGTGGAGATGTTTTGCAGCTGAGATGATACTCAAAAGCAGTCATTGGGAATTTGTAATGAATACTTCTATGTTTTATCAGATATCCAAAAAACCCATTTAAATTACTACAACAAAGGTCCCTTTGTTTTTCCTATACAGATTCAGTGTGAGAGCACCTCAGAGGTACACAAATTCATGTGGAGATGAGACAGTTAAGACATTAAAAAACAGAATTCAAAACATTCCTTTTTTTCTAGTTCACGATACAATATTATCACCAGTTGTGCCTATTTTTATGCATCCCACTCGTATGGCTGCAGGTCAGAAAGCTTGAGAAGAAGACTTAGTTTATGAAAGCTTCATGTGTGGGTTCTAACTCTCCATGGAGTCCAGGAACTCATCTTCAGTGATGAACTCCAGCTTCTTCAGGACAGTTTCTGAACTAGCTGCTGGGTAGTTTGCTACTGGGAAGTGGGACGTAGGGTGGTTGTAGGGGGGAGGGCCCTGGAAGGAACAGCAAAGGGTGCGAAGGAATGGCAACAGCTGGGTGATGGAGGACAGGGAGCGCTGAGTCAGGAGGGGGAACTCCAAAGGCTCTGTGGAAGATTCCTCACTCAGCCCATTCAGTGTCTGGAATAACAGGACAGGACATCATAATCAGAGGGAGATGTGGTCATTTCACAAAACAAAGCCTGAATGAATATGAATTTTGGACTTTGTATGATTGCTTGTAAGACAATATAAACAAAGTTCGGTTTAAGCTGAAGTTTATCAGCGTTGACACTGGGATATTCATTAAAATGATGCCATTTTCACAATAACACATCAGCTTCCTGAACCTCCTGCGCCAAAACTGACCCAGATTATGTGACATTATCATCAAAAATGGTGTGACTATTCATAACCAAGTGTCCCAGTATAAGAAAACAATTGACATGGGGAAAATGCCACACTGCTTTGTTTTGTGGAAACTACTAATGTCCTTTATATTCTATATCTGGACACCTCCGATTGCATTATTGTGCTTATTCCACACTATACAGTCAGTTATCAAAGGAAATAAGGAAGGCAAAAATGATTAGATTAGTTTCACCACTGAGATTTTGCTGGAAACATAGAAGTGGTGCTTTTGATAAAGGTAAATGTCCCTTGCCTACAAATCTTGTTTATGGTTTAAGAAAACATGTTTGTTTATTATTATCATTATCATCATCATTATTATTTTAATAGTTTTTTCAGTGAAAACTAAATTTGTGATTAAACTGACTTAAAGGAAGTTTAAGGTGTCTCCTGATCAAAAACAAGTATTTTCCATGGGCATATTATAACTAACAGTAATTCTAAGTATCTCATAAAAATGACAATTTAGGAGTCTAGACTTTTAAATGGGAATAACAATCTACAAGTCTGAAATTTACTGTTTGAAAACACAGAAACATTACCCCATATCGCTGCTGTATCCCCTCCAGTACTCTGACAACATGGGGTATGCATTCCTGCTCGCCTTCGATCAGCGCAGTCTCTGGGCCACTGTAGCAGTTCACATCCACCTCAGGGACAAATGCCCAACGATACCTGCACAGGGAACAGATAGTTACACAGGAAAGGTGAAATAATATGCAGACAAAATAATTCAACACCACAACTTTTGAATTGGGTTCTTACATCTGAAAGAGAGGTAGCCTCTCTGGAGGAAAGGCCAGGGACGTGTCCAAAAACTTGCATGCTGACAGGTACATGTCCAACTCTGTCTGAGAGAAATTCACTGGTCCATTTTTGTCAAGGGCTCCACGCACCACTTTAGCCAATCTAGGTGGCACACAAGAAGACAAGAAAATAAGGTAAAATATTTTATTTGCATCAATAGAGTGTCAATGAAATCTGAATTTGCGAATAAAAGAAGCAACTCACTTTGAGACGTCTTTATCTGCCTGCAGAGCTTTCTCTAGACGTACAAATATGCGAATCTGAAAAACAAGTAGATGTAGATGTAGATGTAGTTTTACAGTATTGGGCCTGTGTGTAAAGCCAGCATCTCAACAGATGGGATCTTACCAGCTCTGTGACCATGATTGGCCAAAGAGATGTGAGGTGCTGAGATGAAATCCGCAACAGGAGAACACGAAACATCAGTAACATCTGGGCTGAAACAGCAGGGCTAGGGTTCATACGCAAAGCCTCAGTGAGACGCTCTGAAAGGAGGAGTGACGTGAACAAAGTCAATATGAATGTCTGCTTCTACCATTAAACTGAACACTGTTACATAAAGATCCATGTAAATATCCAGTACCATACCTTGGATGAGGGGCAGATACAGATGATACTGGTCCAGTTCTCCGCTGAACATGGCAAAGGCCTGGCGCTTCAACAGCATCGGTTTCTGGTCTACATTAGCAAACAGTTTCAGGGACCCACTCTGCATGCCTAAAGCACAAATAAATACAGCAATATACATATGACATATGGACTGCACTGGTTTGAAACCTGAACTCAACCTGCTCATCTTTGAAAACCTGAAGGGATTTACCTCTGTTCTTTTTTTTTAATAAATGATTTTATCCCACAGATTTCTTCTCACATTTGAATACAGTTATCTTTACAGCACCACACACATTTCCTAAAGGCTGTACTCACTCATGAGGTCTTTAAACATGGTCTTCTCATGAGTCAGGAGGTGGTCAACAATGGATTTCCAACTGTAGAGAACACAGTGGAGTCAGGCAGAGGACATTAGACACTGGCGATCTTCAATTCATTAATGTAATAACATTAGAAAATATATACTTTATTAATCCCCTATTGGAGAAATTGTTCCTTTCACTGTTTTATTACACACACACACACACACACACACACACACACACACACACACACACACACACACACACACACACACACACACACACACACACACACACACACACACACACACACACACACACACACACACACACACACACACACACACACACGGTATGCACTCTTTACAATAATACCTTTGGTTTTATATTGTCATATGAAAGTTTTACCAAAGATGAGAGTGAAGTAAGAAAAAAGCGTGTGTCAAAAACCCTGATAAAACACATCTGCAGGATTAACCTATTAAACTTAATCCAGTAATACGATACAGTAATCTAGCATTATTCATTTATCCTTCTGTAAGTTCTTCTCAAAAAAACTAAAACCTCACACACTTAACAACAACTTCCGACCGACATCTCCTGAAGACTCAAACAACCTGTCTGGAACTGAGTAATGACATGTATTGGAGTACATTCTGGGGGTCAAAATACACACTGCAACTTAAATGTCCAGTGCGTAGGATATAGGAATAGTAGCATCTAGCGCTGTAATTTACAATGCCCTCCCCCTGTAGAAGGAACTATGGTGGCCACGAAATTCATAAAAAATGTAAAAGGCCCCATCTACACGGGACTGAGGCCATTTGGCTGTTCAAAACCTGTTTGGTGATAAACAGTTTCTTTCCAAGTGAGAAACAGAGAAGATGTTCTTTCCCAAGAACTATATGTTATTTGGTCCGATCCCCCTTTCTTCAGAAGTTCACTGTAACAAAGACAGTGTTATTATGAGCAAAGGACATAGAGTTTACTCTCTCAAAAACACCTTTATCTGTATCCAAAAACAAGAAAGGCAGGTGTCCTCTGTGGTAGACAGTTCAAGTGACAATGTTTTCATGTCTCTAACTAGTAATTTTCCTTGCGTAATGGCATCATGAAGTGGGTAAAAGTGTAAGGGCATACAATCATTTGACTAGTCCATATCCAGTAAAGATCATCCCTCTGGGTGTAGTCCTGTATGTTGGGGTTTAATATGATGCCATCCACTGTATATATTGTATAAGCAATATAAGTTCCTGGTTGTAGAAGGTTGGTGAATAATTGTGTTTAAATACATTTCCATCCAACAAACACACCTACTAACCTGGAAGCACAGGAGGCATCCATGGTGAAGAAGAGGGGGTCCATGAAGAGCTCAAAGACCTCTTTCTTCCAGGCCCTTTTGGTATAGGCATACCCACTTAGACTGCTAAGCAGCTGAGCACCCGCTTCAAAGCTGGGCATGTTGTAGGCACTAGAGTAGAGCAGGCCCAAGTTAGACGAAGTGTATTAAGACCAAAGCTGTTAGCATTAACAGCCCTGCAACAGTAGTTACCTGTGGTTCTTCAGGTAGGGGAAAACATAGTACATGAGTCGAGAAATGAGAGGAACAGCTTTCTCCTTCTCATCACTGCGGTATACCATGTCCAGAAGTGGTGCCAAGATCTACACGGTGAGAAAATGTGTTAGGCAATAGAAAGACACAAAGATTAACCCATTCATTCTCTCACCATGAATAATACTTCAAAAGTCCTACCTCAGCCAGGAGTACAAGAGCTTGCACGCTGTAAATGGAGGGAGCTGAAGACGAAACCATAGTGCTAGCTTGAGCCATTGACTCTGATCGGGAGACAAGGAGAAAAAGTAGAGTGAGTTCACTTGTGATGCTTGTAATAAGAGCAACAAGTGCAAATGCAGATAGGTGATAAATAGGATAGAAATGTTTCATCATAGAAAAAAAGTGATTCCTCAGAATAACTTTAATCTGATTTTAAGTTACCCTTCCCTCTAAGGAGATAAATACCCCTAAACTATGCCAGGAAAATGCCCCAGACAGTCAAGTGCCCAATCCGTACTGTTCCATTAGATCTAAATGCAGATGTCACTTAAGTATTCTTTATGAATACAGATCCTGCTATCCGAGCCCCAATAATGAACACTGAATTTAATAAAATAAATGAGTTATTTTCCTCTTGCCATCAAGCTCTGGACAACATTGTCTCTCCACACGGTTATTCAGGGTTTGCATTTAATCTGACACCCATCTGTATATGGAATAACAATAAACTTAAATTTGAAAGCTTCTCCTTATTTATAATATTATAGCTTAAAGCTGCCCACTGTGCCTCTCCCAGTGTTACCCCTTATTAAGGCTGTTTCCAGGTGGTACCTGGAGCAGTTGGGTTCCATGGACACGGGGGCAGATCTTTACTTTTAGGTCAAATTTCAAAAGAGAGTAAAAAAGTCGTGCCCATCCATGGATTACTAACCTCAAGTGAACTACGGAAAGATCAGTGTTTCCATGGCAACAGTAGTGATCTGTAAGCTCTACTAAGTCCAATCTGACAGAGGGCTATATTGATCCCCTGGGTTAATTTTCTCAACCAGTGGTTAGAAATTGCAGATGAGGTCATGCATGCATGTACCATGTGAGGTAAAGTTACCGTAATGGTCACCATCCATGTCTGCGTCATCAGCCTCGTCTGCCTCAGGGCACACCTGTGGCTGAACTTTGACCTCAAGGCTGCGGCTGAGCCAACTAGTCTGCTCCAGAGATGACCCTGCGATCCCACCCACTGCCTCGAGGATCCGCTGAGTCACCTCCTGCACGACAGTATCGCCATCAATATCACCACAGTACCTCACACGCACTTGCTCGGTATCTCAATCACAGCAATACAACATCATACCTGCAGGTCTCTGCTGTCCTTCTTGTTGTCCAGATTAAGGAGCCTATTGACGAAGTCATTGAGAATTCTGCAAGACAGAAATCGTTAATGAATATTATATTTTCCAACAATCTGAATAAATTAAGCAGACTTGTTATCAGTGTCACAACATGGATTTTGATCATTATGGCTGTTTGTCTGGTCTGGTTTTTTATTTTTTGGTTTGGTCTGTATGCCCCGATACAGTCTATGTAATCACTGCCTAATGGTATTTGGTAATATAGAAGTACAACTACTACCAATCAGAGTGCAGAATAAGTACTGAATGTGTTAAAACTGACCCCAGCAGTAAGAAGTGTCCAGGTGGGGCCAGGTTGAGTTGAACAGACTCCCGTAACAGACTGAGGAGAGGAGCAACATTCTCTTGCAGAGCCTGAGCTGAAATACTGAATACAGAAACACAGATTATTATAAACGTCTTATTAAACCTAAACTTAGGAATGGTGTTGTATGTTGTTCCTATTTACCTCTGGATATAGGCGTAGCTGAACTGTAGCATGGGGATATCGACCAGGCTTGACTTCTAATTTACAGAAAAGTAGTAAATGCTACAAAAATTTAGCAAATTTGGCTTCAGAAACTTCCAGAATACACATTTCTTGCATGCATGTATGTTTGTGTACCTGTTCTCCTTTGATCTGATGTGGTTTTTTCACCACCTCCTTGACTAGTTGTAGGATGGTATCTGTGGGCAACGTGTTCAAGGATTTCACCAGATCCACAATGGTTAGACGAGACTCACTGGCCACAGGTAAAACCTGAAGAAGACGGAGTGTAATGAATGTAAAGCCTTTCAGTGAGATAGGTGTGACTGTGTCCTTTGTTTGTTTCTAGACTTACTGTAGTTCTTACTTTGTTTTTATGTCTCCTTTTAGTCTTTCTTCTGCTCCACACTTCTCCAAGTGAGGCCATGAGTTGAACCCCATACTGCCCAGTTAGAGGGACCAGGAACTCCACTATCCGCTGCCGTAAGATCTAAACATGAACACAACGTGAATGGATGAAATTCTCCATAATAACGGATTGTTCGTTTTGTCTTGTAATCGTGACTTGCAGCTCGAGAGGGATGTCACATCCGTGTTGGAAAACGAATAACTGTGGGTTTTTGCGTTCTGTTTGGCACACAACACGACGAGCTTAGTTGCAATAGTTGTTTGGACGTTTCGTAACGGTTATAGTGATTATCTCGTTTACGGTGCACCCACTGGGGATTTCACATGTTCATTACATATAACTGATATCTGAATATTCCGTTTTGATTAACGTTAACGTTAGGCTACTGCTCTGCTTTCTGCTCAAGACTTGGCATTGTTGTCATAGCAACATGGAGCGTCTCCAGCCAATTTCAGCTGCACAAGCTACAAAATAACTAATTAGGCGGGATTTAACACATAATAAGACTGTAGCGACATGCCTATAGGTAACAGTATACAGTGCTATATGTACGACTTCTTCATTTGGTTACAACAAAGACAAAAGTGCTTAAAATAGTAGAAAACCACAATGTTTACTTAGTGTGATGCTCGGAGTAGCCATCTTGGTAACTGAATTCAGGGTCCTCTGAGTTCAGACGACTTGACGGGTCATATATACGACCTCGGGGCGTTCTGTTTGCAACTTCCTGTTCATAACTCAGGAAACCGACTCGCAGATCGAGTTCGGTGGACAAATAGAACGCCCCATAACACATGCACATGGATAAATAGGATAAAGTATGGGAGCAAACACAAACAGCATAACGATATGTGTCATTATATATGTTTGTGTACCACACACCTTGGTGCTTTTAAAGTAGACAGAGGTAGAAGTGTGTCTGGTGCTCTGAGCGGAGTCAGATGCACGCCTCTGAAACTCTTCCCTCATGACCACCCCCCATAACAATGCCATACTACTGAGCATGTGCGGTAGTGCCTCGATCACGGCGCTGCGTGCGTTACGGACATCCACAGGATCACAGGCAACCAAGGACTGACAGGAAGAGAAAGAGAGAGGAAAATGTCATATCATTGATAGAAGAAGTACATCTGTGTATGTATGTGTGTGTGTGTGTGTGTGTGTGTGTGTGTGTGTGTGTGTGTGTGTGTGTTTGTGTGTGTGTTTGTGTGATTCATCCCTCACCCTCTTGTTGTCCAGTAGACAATAGTGTGTTATGGTGGTCAGGCCTTCAAGCAGAGTCAGAGGGTAGTCAGGGGCAATGTTTTCCCTCCTACCACTCAGGCTGAAAACAGAAACATACATAAATAATTTTATTTAAAACCTAAAAATGTCCTCACTGTATTTTTGAATATATCAAATAAGCTTCTAGAAGTAAAGATAAAAAAATATCAGTGGCTGAATTCTACAACTTTATCTGCAATTTAGGGACTATTGTTTTCTTTTCCTTCTTTTGCAAATAATCAGTTGGCTACTTGAACTGGTTCTTGCACATTTACTATGATATGCACTAGCATACATACCTACTTAAACTGATTATCTGCTTCAATTAACAAATTGGCAAACTAAGCAGTTTGTTTTTGTACTGTTTTATAATGGTGCTTGTCAAGTAGAAAATATTCTTCCTTTGGTTGGTTTGCTTGCCTTTACTTTTTTATATGGGTATTAGTCATTGGCCCTTTGTGTGTTTGACTATTGGTTGACCTGGCTGGCACCCCTAAACATGAAAAAAGACTAACTTAAAGTTGTCAGATTGTAACAGTGGGATTACATATTCAGTGCCACTCAGCCTACCTCTGATTTGTCTTTCCTCCCTCATGCTCGTAAAGCTTGACCAGCTCGTCCAAGTTCTTGCAGATCTGACTGATGAGTGGAGCCACAATGATGCCTAACGAACGACCCAAGTATGGCAGAGAGGAACACAGCAGTGACACCCAGTGTGGGTGCATGGTATAGCCGTACTGTGGCTGCAGAGCCCTGGCTGCGGCAGACACAAACATTCCTTGGGCTGTGATGGGGTGGCTTGGGACATACTGAGCTGCCTTGATGGACTGCTGGAAAAGAATTGCAGTTTGCCACTCACGAGCCAGGGGGGTGCTGGCCGTTGGGGATTCCCGAGGCTCCCCGGGCTGGCCAGATGCCCCACTGGACCCAGCTGCTGAGACAGCACCACCAGGCCCCACGTGGTACTCCAGGACTATGAGAGCCTGGAGGAGTTTCAGTAATTCCATCTGTAAGGGGTACTGTTCCTGCCCCCCTCCTGCTCCAAGATTCACCAGACTCTCCTCTGACAGGCCTCCTCCCTGTTCATCCAGCAGCTCCACACATTTGGGTGGCCCCTTGTCCGTTCCCCTCTGGCTGACATACATGGACGCAGAAAGTGTAAGCAGAGCATATTGCTGCACTTTACACCCTGAGAGGAGTCTGCGGACAGGCTCCAGACTGGCCCCATTGCTCTCTTGTCCCCGTGCCATGCAGCCAAGCTGGTTGACAATCCGAGTCAGAACCTCCACACTTTTCACCTGAACCTCCCTGTTTCCCTGCATGTCAAGAGGACCCAGGCTCAGATAGGAAGGGTAATGAGAGCGCAGGAATCGAAGACACAAGGACACCAGCAGCTCAATGAGCAGGGACGGGGGCACAGAGGGGGAGGAGGAAGGGGAAAGCAGGCAGCCGTAGAAGCCATGACCATCCTGAGCCTGTTGGTGGCGCTGCAGGAGGTTGGAGACCAGATTTAAATGTGCAGCAGAGCTTGTGTCCAGAGAGGTGGAGGAGAGGGCATCCACCAGAGGGCACTCAGCACTGCTCCTCAGCAGGCTATCTAGCAGTGCCAAGCCTTGGAGCAGATGGCGCCAGCCGCCCGCCACAGGATAGAGCAGCACGTGGCGGAACAGAGAGTCGATGGCTTCTCTCTTCTCACGTTCCTGTTTTAGCAGACGAGACCTGGCCATGGCTTCCAGCTCTAAATCCTCCTCATCCTCACTTGACAGTGAATCAGATGCCTGCGTGTGCTCGGACTCTGCCCTCCGCAGGCCGTTGACCACACCTCCTTCCTCAATGCTGCGGTAGGGGACAGATCCTGAGCTGGAGTTCTCAGTGGACGCCTGGGCACCACTTGTGTCAGCTGACTCAGTGTGTTCACTCTCTGCCTCCTCCTCCTCCACCTCCTCTCTAGCCTCTTCCTCTTCTGTCTCATCACTCTCACTCCTAGACATCACTAAAGTGTCTGGTAGTTTAGCCAACTCTGTGCCACTGTCTAACTCTGCCCACAGGGATTCCCGGTCCACAATGTTCATGAGATTTAATGTGGTGACCTCTGTTGCCATGGCATCCGCTGACGTCCCAGACGTTTTGGTGGAGCTTCGACTTCTGCTGCTTAGAACCTTTAGGTTACCTTAAAGAACCAAAGAACCAAAGATTTTCATCCAACTGAAATTGTATTCACTTGCACAACATATGCAACGTATACCAACAACAGCACTTACCAACAGTGAGATTTTGTTTGACTCTCAGAATGGAGCAGCGCTGAGTGGAGGGGTAAAGCAGCAACAACAGAATAGGCTCCAGGATCCGAATAACGTCATTGAGGGAAAGAGCCCTGACCAGCCAGCGCTGAGCCGCTGCACTTATGGAACCATCTGTACAACTGAGACTGTCCACCACAACACACAGAGACCTGAGAGAGAAACACACGTGTCAATAGAAAGCTTGATGGGGTTCAGGGTTCCCAGTCTGAAGCTGCCTGAATGCAATGTAATGTTAATACAAACTGGAAAACATAAAGAAGAGACACATTTCCTATCCTTAATTTCTTGCCACCAGTGGGGAAACACAATTTTAGCCTGAAGGTAGCACTGTTACCTTAAAGAGTTTACATAATGCATAGTTGTCATTTTCCAAAATTGGCATGTCTGGTCTAATTTTTTTTTTTTGATTTCGAGATGAGATTTAGCACGTTCACATACTCAATGGGACTTTTTGCTGTTTTCAACTTCTGCAGGTTTCACTGCGCTCAATGTTGGATATTTGCATAAAGTGCACTAATGCCTCCTTGTATGACAGGTTCAGGTATCAGAAGAGCCTGACACACACAGTATGTTGAGGATGCAAGACATATAAAATCACTACTTAGACAGAATATACAGTATTCAAGAATTACACAAAGACACAGGGATAAAGATAAATATAGACAAAAATAAAAAGACAATACACTCCATTTGCCTGAAGTCTGCACTGCTTTTCCACTATGTACTTACCGGTCAAAAGAGCGATTGAGAGACATGGTCCTATTGCTCTGGATCTCCCGCGTCAGATGCCATAGAACTGTGAAGCGGTGTAGTGCTTCCAGCCTACCAGCCTGGGGAAGACAAACACAAGACAAACCATTGGCTTTTTTTACTCAACTTGTCACATTTCGTAGTAGGTCCGTTTGTGTGTCCTAATTAAACTGACACATTTAGAAGATGCTCTGAGAAATTAAAATGTGTGAACAAATTGTGGTTCAGCATGTGTTAAGGTATACTCACCTTGTCTTTGTGCAATAGCGCCTGGCAGATTATGTCCTCACAGATGGACGCTGATGGAGCCAAACAGTGAAGCCTGTAAAAGAGTTCCACACAGGAAATGTGCTGCTCTCTCCGCTCTGTGTCCAGCTGGCTCCACAGTACCTGGGACAGCCTCTGGGTCACACCAAATAAAAGAAAATCTTAAAATACCAAATTCATATTATCGCTTTAAGTTACATTTTTCGATTCTATAACCTCACCTGAAAGAAATCTGTGTGCTCCTCTATGGCACGAAGCAGAGCAGGATAGATGGGTGGCACGGTGACCATCTGCAGCTGCCCACTCAGAGGGTTGGACTCGCATGTCTGATAGCGGCTGTGCTTGTCCTGGATGACCAGTGCTAGGGACTGGGAGTGGTTGATGAGTTCCAGCAGGGAGGCCACTGCAGTGTGCTGGATGTTGTAGTCTCTGGACAGGCAGCACAGTGTCATCAAGGACCTCAACCACACTGGCAGGCTGTCCATGTCACTGCCTATGGAAAACAAAACGTTTTAATTATGTTTAATATATAAGTGCTAGAGTACTCTATGTAACTGAGAAGGTGGTCACAGTGTTGTTAGAAGATTACAATCCATTTGTGTGCTGACCTGTGTGACCAAACATGTCGTTGTGAAGAGCCAGAGTCTCCTCTTCACTTAGGTAGACAGGGAAGGTGGTGCACTCCAGCAGCAGGTGGCAGGTGGCGGTGAAGGCCTGTCGACATGCCTCAGAGATCTCTGCCTTGCCCCGGGGCATGTAGCCAGCTGCCCAGTCCAGTCCTAAATGCCCACGCTCCTTTTTCTTCTCTATGGGGGCTGCTGAGAGCTGGGCGTCAGACGTAGGCCGGGCTTTAAGCTTAGGAGTGAACAGTTCAGTCAGTTTGTCTTTAATTTCCTGTCCCCCTTTATTCGACATCAAAGACTTCTGTTCCACCAAAGCAACCGTTAGCTCAGGCTGGGGTGCTTCCTCCTGTCCCCTGACATCCTCCACCTGCACTAGCAGGTATCTGAAACAGACAAGGAGGCCAAATATTTAGAAATCACAGTTAAAAAAAAAAAGAGGTCCATGTAGGTTACAGCTAATTTCATGTCTGAGTAGTTTACCTAGTGGTTATGAACGCCAGGATGTCCTGCAGACACTGGCTCATGGTGTCTACACTGCCTCCCTTCCTCCACACTCCCTCGCCTTCTTTGCAAATTCCATTTCCTTCGGCCTGCAACCCCATCCCTGGTGGGAGATGTTGCTCTGATGGTGAGGCGCTGATGCCCAGTCCACTGTCTTCAGACCTGAGTGTCGGGTAAACACCATCTGCAGCTTCTGCCTCATCTCCTCTTTCTCGGTTCAGCTCTTCATCTCCATGGTGACCATTAACCTGACTAACACCACCATCTTTTTTTCCCTCGATTTCTATATCCTAGATAGAGTATAATTAATAATATCAGGCACAGTTAAACATCAGAAATATCATTTGAAGGACCAGTGTGTAGGATTTAGCGGCAAAATGCCTAACCTGAGTCTTTTTGCTTTCCTCCTCTGGTGATTGTAACTCCATGTTCTCTGTGTGTTCCCCTGCCTCCGAATCCATATCAGCTACAGGCATCTGGATCTTACTCAGGACCTTGAAGCAAGCACGTAGACCCTGTGTGACATCTTCCAGGCTAACAGTGTCCATATGGCTGCGCAGAGTGCAAAGCATGGTGCTCAGCATCTCAGGGAGGAACTGTGATTGGATGTCAGCATGGAGCTCCTGTGTGGAAAAATACATGTAAAACACACTGTTTGCATACAGAAATTTCTTTAGGTGTTTGTGTTAGTTAGACTTGAGTCAACTCATGCTGAGTAATAATCAATATTTGTTTGAACCTAACCTGAGTGAATACCAGGTGTGCAAAAAAGATCAATTTTTGTTTATTTTGTCAAAATAACACCAGTTTGCCTTTCTAGTATTTGTTCTGGGTCTAAAAAAGACCCCCCTTCCAGTGTAAGTTTCACGGCATCAATTTTGTTTCACAAGGGAGGGAACAGATGCGTGCAAGTGCGCAAGTTATTTACCAGAGGAAGAACGTCAAGCAGAAAAATTATAAGATTGGACATCTCCGTCACAGAAGGAGGAGGATGACAGCGGTCCTGCTGAGGAGGCATTGGTGGATCATCTTTGTCACTACAGCAAAGACAGAAATAAAAATGGTGATCCTTGACAGTTGATACTGCTCTAATACTGCATTCTATGTAAATGCCTCTTCCTATAATCTCGCATTTTTTAAAGTTTGCATCATATACTGTGTAGTCAACACCTGACAGGTAATTAGGTTTACCCTCATGCCCACCATACCTGAGAGACGTGCACAAGCGTCGGGTCATGTACTCCCACAGGTATTCACTGTTCATGGAGCTCACGAGCATGTTCACCGTCTTTATAATCTCTGATGCATTCTTATTCTCTTTTATCTTACTGTTAAGAAGAAAACATAAGAAAAGCATAATTTGTTTGTGGTTGTCATTTGCAATTTTGTTACATGTTCAGTTAAATATGTATTCAGCAATGAACATCCTTGCATCTGTCCAATCATCTATCACTCTCACCTGGCTAGCTGGTTGCCCGAGAGCCCTGAGCTAGTGATCATTTCCTCCCCCAGCATCTCTCGACAGTAGTTGTTGAAGGCTCGGACCACCTCCAACAACACGCTGCTCAACACCACTGGACCTGTGCAGGAGCATTGTCATTATGACAGTTAAACAGGCTTAGAGTAAAGCTGACATATTGACAACAAGAGTGGTGGATCAAGTAATTCAGCATATTTATGTATTTGTGTACTGTAATGCTCAGTGCTGCCTACCTATCTCCGGTTTATCCAGCAGACTGATGATGATGCGAAAAGGCCGGAGGTATTCAATCACCTTCTCCCGGTCATTCTCCACACCCTTCTGTTTGAGGATGTTAATCAGAGCCTGAAATGAAAGAAACAAACACATAAGAATAAGAAACACAGGTGGCAAAGATACATTGGTAGTGTTCAAACACACCTGACCAAGATGTGACATGTAAATTAGGAATTATCTTTAAGGAATTGTTTACTGCACATATTTTCTTAGTTTAGTTTAGTTAAGACATTTTGGGAAATATGTTAGTTATTATGGGAATACTTGGCCGGCGCAGTCACTTTCTGGAATCTCTGCAGGTTGCCTGGAACCTCACTGTGATAACAGACAAGTTACTGCTCTCAGCCAAGAAATAGTCTGATACATAACCCCCTCTATAACCACATTACTAATCACCATACAGACATGAGTGGTATTGATTTTCTTACCTAACTTTAGGCAAGAAAGTGAATAAGCATATTTCCCAAAATGTCAAACTCTTTAACAACACTGACAAAACAGGTTATACTCTCTTTTTTAGGCTTTGTGGTGTGTTTGTGTGCTAATATGTGAGTGCTAACACACCTGCACAAGGTAATCTCTAGAGTAGGTGTTAAAATAGTAGGATGTATGTTCCTCTGTAGTAGTGGAGAGGGTGGGGTGTGGTGCCACCATTCCTCCTTTTATGTTAGTCCCTGAAAACACATAGAGAGAGGCAAACAATACTGAGTTAACTGAGAAACATAGAAGTTGGTAATTCATTACTGAAGTGTAATTAAATGACCAGCACCTAGAAGCCATGCGTAGAGGCGTCTGTTGAGAGACATGTCTCTGCGGAGGAGTGTAAGCGAGGCTGCAGACACCACTGTGGTCATGTCTTTGACACTCATGGCAATACTGGCCTCCGCTGGGTCCTAAACCAACAACACGCATAGCAACAGTTGGTTGAGGAACAACAAGAAAGCATGGGAGTGTAATGACAGTACAGTCCCTGTGTTCAATGGAAATGGTAGAGAAGTAGTATTGGAGGTAACTCACAAAAGTAATACACAATATTCAACAGTGGTTGCTCAGAATAAACAAAAGAAAATATTAGATAGCTAACAATAGCAGTGATAGCCATCAGAGGATGCAACAATTCTGTAATTCCTGTTTTTGTTTCCTAAATAACCTAAATCTAGTGATGTTGATTGAGTGATTTCAGGAATAGAAAAGGAGAAACACCTCAAAGATGTTGTCCAGAAAGACAGGAAGTGACGGTGATTAGAAATGTACCTACCATGCATTCAGCAAAGGGGAAAAAGTAGAGCAGGATTTCAAGCATATTCCTCTGCACCAGGACATTTGAATCTTGCAGAGAAAGACAAACTGACTTTACCTGAAGACAAACAGAAACCAAGAAGCTCTTATGTTCAGACAGATGACAAAAGATAGTGATGGAGGAGACTGTACAACAATACAAAAATATCTTTATAAGTGTAGATCTTCATTATTAAATGTGCTTCATACCATATGTGTGCAGTATATACATACAACAGACAAACACAGAAACTCACCACCAGTTGGTGATCGTAGCCTAGCATGTGTGTTTGCTCGCGCAGGGACTCACTGCGGTCAAAATGTGTGACTATAAAGACGGAGGCGGGTAGTCGCACCATGGGGCTGATGAGCATAGTGCCCCACAGGGCACCATAGAAGACCTGCTGACCCACCAGCAGTGACAACTTGAGCAGTAGTGCATCAGTCCTGGACAAAATGGATAAAAACCCATTGACATGAGGTTCATGAATACATCCACTTATAAATCTATACTCCAGAGTGTCAGGCTGACCTTATGGTTGGTGATACCAATCAATCCTGATCAGAACTGTACGGTGTTTCAGTATAAAAGTACTATTTAGGCAGTGTACAATCCTAAGGGGTCAAAGTTGTAAATCCAAACTCATGTTCAGCCCTGACAGACTCCTTCACCACAAATGTGTTAAGGAGAGATATCATAGGTCTTTCCTTCCTGCTGCTGTCAGACTGTTTAACAACCAGCACTGCTCCCAGTAACACCCCCCCCATCTCGGCATCAATAATAATAATAATAATAATAATAATAATAATAAGCAATAATTACTGTGCAATCTATTGCCCATGTGCAACTGCTGCTACTATTTTGTGTTATCTGTGTTATCTGTTGTTGTGGATTCTTACAGTTTTTTCTCTTGTACAGTGTTTTTATTATTTCCCTACTCTTGCTCTTAATTTATACTGTTTTTTCTCTATCCACTTTGCTGCTGTTACACTGGAATTTTTGGTTTAGCACTTCCTAATTTACTCTTTGATACCAAGTGTAGCCTCCTGAATACAAACATACATAAACAGTGAAAGTTTGACGGATTATGAATAGATAAGGATTATATTGTTATAAAAAAAAAAACCATCTCTTAATGCTTTCCCACTTCAGACCCTATCTGTGGCTCTCAGCCCCAAACCCATCTGTTCCTTCTGTAATGAGTCAATGTAATGTATACTTTATTTGAAAACAACACCAGGTCAAAACCTTGTATATGACTGGACTGTGTATGGTCAGCGATAGTGTCTATAATGTAAATATTAAATGTCTCTTGATTTGTCTTTGATAGAATTGTCTCTATATTTTTCTTTGAATCACTTTACTGAGTGCTTTTATCAGAGTGCTTTATATGTGCACTCTCTCTCATGTCTATCTGCACATTGAGAGCTGTTTGGAGGCAGAAGTGCCAGGAAGCATTGTCCACTTCCTTAGGTTTTCAGACAGAGTGCACAGCGGCTCATGATCGGCAGTGATTCGCCATTGGTTCTATTTTTTCACAAGCTAATCTGGCAAGAATACACAATCATAATATATTATAAACAATATAAATTATATTTTATACATGATATTAATGATCTGATTCTAATAATTTAGGAATATGTATCTCATTTGCTTCCAACTCACTACAGTGTTCATGTTAACCATAATGAAGGAACATGTCATCCAGTGCAATAGTGTGGCTCACTGATGTGTTTTTAATAGTTTTTGGACGCTGGAGCTCTATTGCTCAGAGGAATTAACTATATCAGGCTTCGTCTACACAGACAATGCTTGTTAGCAGGAGCAACTCGCTTGTTGGTTTTAGTCTTTTTCATAATTTGATGACGACTAGAAAATATAGAATATTATCAGCCTTCTTCTTAAAATTAAAAAACACAAATAAAAACACAGTTTGAGATCATTTCTTTCTTTCTCCTGACAAACACAGTCTTTACCTGTCGTAAACCCCCAGTCCCTCCTCCAGGCCTGGAAGTAGTCCTGTTATGAAGGCCTGAAGACTGGGCAGCAGAGCCTTCTGCAGTGGGAGATAGTAGCGCTCGTAAAGTGTCAGCAACACAGGCTTCACTGCCATGGCTGCGTGGCCCAACAGCGGGAACAATCCTGAACTGGAAACCAGTAAGAGACACACACCCACAAGTTTAATCATTAAAAAGCTGCACACGTAATCTGGCCAGCACTCTCCTTAAAGCAGTAAAAAATTTCTGCCAGTTTCATCACCTGTAAATAAACAGATCCTTGGCCAACCATTTTGTTCCAATGATCTTGAAAATGACCTCGTAGGTCTCCAGAGCCTTGAGGTGTACTCCGCTCGGCAGAGCTGGGTGCAGGCACTGGGCGAGACGCTTCCCTATGATCAGCCTTTTGGGCAGTAGCGAGTAGCGAAGGTTACTCTGCAGGGCCTGAAAGAAAAAGACAGAAGAAAGGAAAAACACTGTGCATATTGTCATAGCACAGTTTCATGTTTAACAGATGAAAATGTTCTTGGTCTCATGTTCCCTGTGTGCTTTAAGGATTCCATTCTGTGTGAATCAACACACAGACACTCCAAAGTAAATATCTGCTCTGCGAGTGGCACATTTATTGCCTAAAATAAATGGCCAGAAGACTTGAGGAGTATGGTTGTAAAAGAGAGAGAGAGTCTCACTAAGAAACAAGAACTTCCTCATAAGTACTGAGAACTGAAACACACAAAGCAGCTGAGAAGTTGAAACCCGCAAAATGCAGACACCAGAAAAGAAAAGACTACATAAGACAACAGATCACAGATCATCATGACACTGAATGACTTAGGATGTTGAGATATTTAGATAAATATATCACAGTAGAACAGCAGTATTTATATGGCATTAAAACCACTGTAAAATCATACCTTATTAAGCTTGCCCAGGCAGGAGATGAGATCTGCCCATTCACTTGAAGACTCAAAGTTTCGCAGCGCCTTCTCAATGACCGCCGCATAGCTACGGTAACGGTAGTCATTCTGCAGTTCTAACTCCTCAGGATCCATGATACATCAGTCTGATACCAGCATGTTCAGCACAATATTTCTGGACAAGAGATGAGACAAACAAGAGTTTGTAAGAGAAAGAGGCAGTACGTTTATCACACTCACAAGAGCAATCAGTTACAGGATAGTCTCTGTCTGTCTGCAACCTGCTTTATATCCCTCTGACTCTGAGGCTTGTTTATGGCAAATAAAATTAGCCAATTAGCGCTGTTCACTGATATACACAAGCTGCGAGGCTGTGGAGACAAATGTCCTCATTCATGACTGGTCAGGGTTTGTCTTATTGACCTGTCTCTCAGTCTGAAGAGGGAGGAGTCTTTCTAACACAAACTGTGTGGCCCTGCATGCACTTCCAGAGAAAAACAAGTCATAGACTGGGCACAAACACAACGTAGTGGCAACTAAAAGCGCCACTACGTTCACTGACATATGCTAACTTTGTCTGTCTGCTGTTTGGTACTAGGCAGGTATTGTTCAGCTTTTATCACTGAAAATAACTGCCTGCTGTGGGGCTTGAAACGAGGTTAATCAGAGTGATGAGACTGAACCAATCAGTAAAGTGAGCTGAAAGATGTTAAAAAGGTCTGTAGAGCTTTTTTTTTTAAAGAAAATCTTATTATAGGCCACAGAGGCAAAAAACCCAACACTCAGAAGGTCACCACTGCTAAATATACGACAGAAAGAGAAAAGTAACTTTCTGCTTTCAAGCACATGGCATAGGCAGTGGTGTGTGTGAGTGTGTGTGTGTCTGTGTGCATGTAGTGTATTTGAACGAAGCTAAACAGAAAGTCGGGTGGGGGAGTAGGAGGGCAGGATTAGAGGAGCACAGACATCTGGACTCCCTGTGCCTGAGCTGAGAGGGGCTTTACCATCATGGACAAACCCAACAACACGTGCTAAGGGCGGCTTTGTATTGTCAGCCTATTGACAGACAAATAATCAATGGGAATTAAATTACACCCAACATTTGCTGGTTTATGTTTTAAAAATGTGAAAATTGTTGCTGATGTACTAATATCTTCCATCTTCAAATACTGTGGTTTTTTCCGTTGCTCAATCAAAATAATAACGATATGGAGACATCACTCTAGTGAATTGATTTTTTTGTGACATTTTACATATGTAGCAAGTAATAAATAAATGTCAAATCAATGAATTTGTTAAGGTTAATCTACAATGAAAATAATAACTGGTATTAGGGGAAGCATCATACTGCCAACAGCTGATCTTCAGTGCGATAATAAAGGAAAAAAGGCTAACCCAGATCTCAACCCACGGCAATGAGACAGTAGTAGAGGTTTATTTCTTGTGGAGAAAACAGGAGCGATAACTCTCTCATCTCCAGAGTCCTTCCATGAACTGATTACGCTTTCATACTATCGCCACAATTAATTCTGATCCAACAAATGTACCTAACAGGTAATTGTGCAGCTGGTTGTTACAATAACAGCAAATATAACATTATAACACATTTCACATGGTGAACTTCACAGGACATTTGTATCAGTAACAACTTTAAACAACTACAACACAAATTAAAAAAAAAAAGAGCTGAGATAAGAAAAGAAAACCCTGTTAAAACCATGTCAGCGTTGTTATAAATGAGTGAAATATTCCAACTGGTTAGTCATATTTAACGAAAACAGACTAATGACATCAAAACACTTCTAATCCCTAAAAGCCACATGCAGGACCCGTGACTGCAGTATTTGGAAAATCCTGGCTACAACCCTGTTACCAGTGGATTAAACGCTACATATATATATATATATATATGTGTATATATATATATACACACAATCTAGGTGTTGCTATTCTACACAGATCCACTTCAGATGTTTGCTCCTTAGATGGCCCATAATTCTTCCTGCAAACAGAAAACTTATTTGTGTGCAACCTTCAAGCAAATGAGGATCCTAAAAAACAGTTTAATCACAGGTGACAGCTAGATAATCAAATTGCGCAGGCCAAGCAGAACTAAAAGTGCATTCTCACTTCCTCATTGTATGTATCAGCAAACCAGCAAGTGCGATAAAAGCATTCATTTCTACAGGCTAATGTGAGGAGTGTGTGTGTGTGTGTGTGCTTTGAGGGTGGACACACGCACTATGGCACACAACAAGCTGCACTGATGGTCTGTGTCACCTGACTGACACCACCACCACCACAGGCTGTAATCTCACTGTGTTTAGCTGTCAAATTGCAGAGGAAAATAACTAAACTGTGGCCAAATGACAGCTGTCTGCTGCAGCTTTTGGCCTGTGAGTATACTGTAGCATCAGTCGAGCCTACTGCTGAGTATATTATATAACTGCACGACCTCAGATCACACACTGGATTATGATATCACTGCCTCCAAGACTAAGAACCAGGTGGGCTAACGTTAGTCTAATATGTTTGTGCACAGCTAGCTGAAACACATTTTCGTCATTAGCTACTAAAACCGAACAAGGGGGAAATTCGTAGCGTTAAATATAACTTAGCTAGCTAAAAAAAAAAAAAAAAACGTAACCTTTAAGTAACGTTAATATAATAAATCAGCAAGTGTGATACTACTGCTGTAAAGAGACAGCATATAAGCATCAGAGCAAACAGCTAAAAGCATAAACAAGATAAGCTAGCCATCAGGTGCATCAGTGACTCACCAGCTGAGAAACGAGCTCGAGACGCGCCGGAGCACAGTCGCTTCAAAGTGGTCCGACTCGGAGAGGCGACAGCCCGGTCCTCATGGTGCACAATTCACGCTATCATTGCTTCAGAGGAAACAAGTAGCAAACCCCTTTTGTTTGTCCAGAGGAGGAGTGAGTGTCACTAATCATCCCCAGAGGGTTACAGTCACAACGGGGCGGGATCCTCAAACTCTGCTGAATCAGAGCTGGACGCAGCCGGACGCAGCCGGACGCTTCACTTTCTGATAGAGAGAGGGGGGTGGGGCGGGAATATTTCATACGGTAAAGGAGATGTTTGCTCTTTAAAACCGAAGTCGAAAAGTCAGCACACGAGAAAAAGAAATTAGACTAAATTCTCGCCCAGAGCGAAAATAAACCAGTTCTTCCGAGCAGCTTTTAAACGCAAATGTACACATGACTGTGAACTCACTGCCCTCAGGCTTTGGTATAGTCCAGGATGTACAGTGTTTACAAACCTATCACCTCACTGCCAGATATTTAACAATAATGCAACCACGCAGTCTATGACAAAACAACCTTAGCCAGAATTTTATTTGTTTATTTTGTTACTGCAAATAATAAAAAAAAATTAATGTTTTGATATCGTCTAGTTTTGTTTCGATATAGGTAATTAAGGGATTATTGTGTGACGTATTATACAACATACAATAACTTTAAATACATACAATGAAATTAGGCAGATATTTCTACATGTCATAGCATGAAAAGCACCTGTGCTGCTAAATAAAAACCCCCACCAATACCGGATAATGTACCAATACAAAACACTACCGCTTTTGTCCACATGGGCCGCCAGAAACAACAAAAAATGTAACTCACTCAAATATCAGCAGCAAAATATAGTTTACCGCTCCAAGCACTAATTAAAGAACACAATGACATATTTCAGTGTTACACTATTATACATTATATCTATTGGACTATTATTACTGATGCATTGGTGTCTGAGCAGCTTTTTACTGTTGTAGTTGCCCAGTGAAACTAACTCTATTTACTATTTATACACTGTTGCATAGATTCATCTAAAGTAAAGCATTGTATCACATAACCTGATTATATGTTTTATATGTAAAGTAAATGTAGTAGAGAAAAAAGAACAATATTTTCCTTTGAAATGTAGTGGAATAGGCTATAAAGTAGCACAAAAATGAAATATTCAAGTAAAGTAGAAGTGTCTCCAAATTGTACTTAAGTATAGTACTTGAGTAAGGATATTCCACATTCCAATATAATCCTATATATTTTTAAACATACAGTACTAATAAGAAGTATACATGTGTAATAAAGCTACGTCCAGGAGATTGAGATTTCATAGCAGCCATTTTCAGATTAAATAGTAGGATAAAAACCAGTTGCGTTACCAATTATTCTAATTAAGGCTCTGTCAAACCGAGGTCAAACAGGAGATGCTCTGCTACATTTAATGCAACAGAACCTTAAATGTGTTGAGTTAGTTGCAATCTGCAACTTCACTACTAGATGCCACTAAATCTGCTGGTCTTAACAGGAATAATTCAAATCACATGTGTGGGTTTACCATGTGTGTGCAGGTACTGTGACTGACCAAGTTTTTTTTTTTTTTTATCCACCCATAGTATCAGTGGCCAAAACAAGGTCATAACAAACTTATTTCAGGAGTTAATAAGAATAATTTTGTAGATTATAAGTCTGGAAGTCCAGTTCAGTTGTTTTGACTCTGCACATTTTATAATTTCTGTAGTCACCAAATACAGTTATAGTATGACATCTATTTGTTTATTTTTTACCAGAAATCTCCCTATTTTTTCTCTTTCTGCACCTTGAAAAGAGAAAACATTTAGTTTAGTCTGGATTCCTATAACTATTTTCATGACAAACATGTCATAGCAAGAAGAGACTGTGTAATTAGTAATTAATAACATAAATAATTAATAATGACCTAATAATTACTAAGGGTCCTGATATTGTACTGGCTATCTGTCCTTCTAAGACAAGTCAAAATGTTTTTTTATGTTTTTATTATTTCTAATTTGAGTGAAATACTGCATATTATGCATCACATTAGTACAGCACTATCCTCACATAATGAATCTTCTTGTTCCTGTAACATACTGTCCAGTGTTTAGTCCTGTTCTGCATTCCTATAGTTTTGAATAACAATGTCAAATGTATTGGTTCTGACAATGATACACTCTCAACTGAGGTTTTGGTTATAACTCCTTTAGTCAGATCACAGATTGTACAGTGTACAGTTAGTTTGTGTCTCTAGATGGCGCTCCTGTATTATTATTATTATTATTATTACCATCTACAACTGCCCAACTGCCAACACTCAGATTATGTGGTCAATACGAGTGATTTATGTTTAAAGTATCAATACAAATGAATCATTTTAAAGATGTCCTGACATAGCACAGCTGTGTTCCTGAAAACCTGAATACTTGTAATGGAATATTTAGCATGAGTTTAAATCATTTCCCCCTGGGATTATTAAAGTATTTCTGATTCTGATTCTGATTCTGAATACAGAAAACAGAATATTGAATAGCAACAACATCCAGGTGTTCAAACTAAATCAGCAACAATCTTATAGGAGGACATGCTTTCTTTGTATGTAGCCAATGGGAGCCTGTGAGGAAATTAGGGAGAGGTGTGAACTACAGGAACACGTTTGAATATTGTTACTTCCTGGTGCTAAGTGTATAGCATAAACAAACAATGCAATTGAATTCCTGGATGTCACAAGGTTGAACTTAATGCTTTACACTGAGTAAAATTCTCACCCTTTTGCCAAGAAGCCATTCTTTGTACATCAACCATCATCCTGGGGAAAGGGAATGCTAACACTTTCCATCCAACTTTTATTACCTTTTAGTATTTTGTACAACATATTCAATTACAAACAGACAAATACAATCACCTCTTGTGACAACTCATGGCATACTTTGATGATGTGAGTCAGGACTGAAGTCAACCAGAGGTCAGTCTTTATTGTGAGTCTTCACCCACACGTTCTGCCCTTCCTGTTCTGAACGTTCAGTGTAAGGAGATCTGAAGTTGTTTATAGTGTTTGAAGCATTTGCCTTTTATTGGATTTGGAAATTACACTAGCCCCTATACTAATAAAACTTTGTATGAGATGTTTTCTTATGATTTGATGACATCATAGTGTTTCACTGTTTATTTTAACAAGTTTGCCTGTAATTGAAAGTGACAAGTACCAAACAAGTACTCAATAAGATCATGTTGGATAACAGACTGAATGCTCATAGAGGTACATCATTACAAAGCAGTAAGTAAAACTTCTGACAGTCTATTACATACAATAGACATTTGCAGCATTTACAGGCCTTTTGTTAAATAGCTTCTAACAATGCGTAGGCAGCTATTCCTTAGTCTTTCAAACTTAATTTATCCACGCAGCACCAGGAAACATGAGCCCACTGTTATAATAGAAAATCTTTTTATAGACTCAGAGACAGTATTTACTAATGGAAAGTATGTCTTATAATAGAAAAGCTATATATAGACAGAGTGAAAAAAACCCAGTATTGGAAAGTATGTGTCCACAGTGCTGTTATTTCTGTGTATATTCAGTAATCATATCTATGTCTTTTCAATTTCATTTTTTTCATTCTTGTACACAGCTCTAATATATTAATTAGTATATATAATATATAATACTGCACAGCCTTTGTAGCTATAAGCTCTTATGTTTTCTATTTGCACTACACCTGATGTGACTGGACTATTTGTTGCAAATGCTACTTAAAGAAGCTCATTGCTGGTTTGGAGAATTCTGGGTTACACACACAATCACTGGATATACAGCCCCAGGTTCACTGTGTGTGTGTGTGTGTGTGTGTGTGTGTGTGTGTGTGTGTGTGTGTGTGTGTGTGTGTGTGTGTGTGAATTCAGCTAAATCAAAGGTAGCCTGTCTATAACTAACGTGACAAAAAGGGGGAGCTATGGTCCTGTGTATACTGTACACATGGAGAGTGCTGTATAACAGTAGACTGGTGTTTCTAATCAGCCACTACCAAGTTGGGCAAGGGGGAGGGGGAAACAATGGGTTTATTGTTACCTCCGCCAAGGGGATTGTTTTCCCCCTGTTTGTCTGTTTGTCTATCAGTTAAAGACATATCACACAAACAGATTTTAATTATATTTGATGGAAAGACTTTTGTCCAAGGAAGAACTGGAATGAAGAGCTTCTTTATTTGCCTACAACTGATTTCTAAATTCCTGTAGATGTTTGCTACTTGATATAAACTACCATAAGTCTTAAATGCACTGTGCAATTTCAACTAAAATTCAGAAGACATCTGAATATATAAACACTCCAAGTGATCCTGCAGACTTCTGTGCCATTTTGCCTGTAGGTGGCTCTACTGCAACATGGTACATTCAAAGAGACAAATCTCAGTGGTCATAGATCTAACTACCCTGATATTTTGCGCAATTCATTAAAACCTAAGATTTAGGTATTCTCAACAAAATAGCATGATTGTCCATCATGTGTATTTGGATATATATGAAGATTCAGAAGAAGATTAAAAGATAGATAGATAAATAAATAGAAATGTAGAGAATTGTGCAGCTTTTGCAGAAATATACACTCTGAGTGCATATTGATTTTCCAACTTTTTCCAAGATTCTAGCATACGCATTGAGAAACTCATTACAACTATGATGCGGCAGTTTTCAATTACAGTATACAGAGTTTATGCAATAATATTAATAAAAATTCTTTAAAAGAATAAAGAATTCTAATCATTAGGAGAACTTGAACCAGAGGGGAAAACTAGTTCAATCAGCTGATCCATAGATAGAGTGAAAAAATGATTTACAGATGTAACCATGGTTTTATGAGTTGTAGACAACTGCCAGAGGCAGAGCTTTCAGTGGATATTTTGTCTAATATTTGTCTCACACATGCAGTATTGGCACTAACACCAAAGCAGGGTGACCTACATCATAGAAGAGAGCAAGGTTTTTCCCTGTACATGAGCCCTTGTCCTCCTGAAGTTTGTCCATAAATAACTTTGTGGGGATTCACTGAGTTTTTTTAAAGACAACATTGTAATATCAGAAGTGAAAAACATTTAAATGTATATAGGGTATAAATTTAAATATATTTGACCCAAATTTACATTAATGAGATTTTTCTAAAAATAGAATAAGGCATTGGTTATGTAACTTAATGATTGTGTAGATGTTACATTCTGCTACATTGTTCTGTTTAATGTCTGAGCAGAGTCACACACCACATTGACAAGATAAGGGATTAGAGAAAGGAGACCGCTGAAAATAGGCTAACCTGCCAGCTCCTATTCCTCTTGTTCTAGATTCTTCTGTTTGCTGGCAGCAGAGAGCAGAGCTGTGGCTTTGCGGCCTTTTTCCCCATGAAGCTAAATGAAGACTAATGAAGGAACAAAGAAGGTTGTGAACTCTAACACTTAGAGAAACTGTCAATTGCCACAATAAGCATGGCCAATAAAAGACTTAAATAAACTGCTAATTAGTGGTCAAAGTGTGTTAAATTTAGATATACTACTGTACATTGACCCTACAAATCTCACCTAGGTGTGAGGAATCTGATCTTTTTGTGGTTCTAAAACAAGTTTTGACATGTAGTGCAAACTTTCTCACAGTCCTGAACATGATAGAGTTTATTAGGCTTTCAAATCTGATATGATCTAATCAGTCACAGTCAGATACAGTGATGTAGTAACTGAACATTGTCCTGTATTGTACTGTAGCTGCCAAGTTGCCAATAACATTTGGTCATTTCCAGTGCTCAAGTGTTCAAACTCTCACAGAGTCTATTGTTACGTTTGTTCCAAATCTACAGCAGAGTTGCTTCAACATGAACCTGCAGCACAGTTAAACCAATCTGGCAATTTGTCATGAATTTTCACAGCTGTTGAGCCCTGATGCTGTGTGTCTTATGACCGGGATGAAGAGGCAAAACCTGGTTAAAGTAAACAGCGTCTTCTCAAATCATTATCATCACAAGATCAATTTCTTACTGCACAATGCATGACACTCGGTCGCATCATGCTGATATGGCCAACAATAATCTTACAAAATCAAACCTTAATGCATGATGGGAAACCATTGGCTTTCCCCTCGGAGTGCTCATTGACAAAGGTGCTGAAGATTGCTATTTAATTGTAAAGATATCCATTGTATTAGTTTGAGTTTGTACTGTAAAGCTTTATTATTTTAACAGACTTAAATGTGGTTGATTAAAACGTGTATCACCACAGAGATACTGAATATACCTATACCAAGTGTATTTTAAATACTTGTGCAATGTGTCCAATTGTTTGATTGTTTTAATGGTTGTTAAATGATGTTGAGATTTTAAAATAAAATATGTACAGTTCAATGTTACACACAAACAATTTACTGTTGTTTGACATGTCATCTTCTTCTTTACCTCTCTCTTTACCTTGTATTTGTAATAATTGTATTATGGTATTTTTGCATTATGACAGCTGTATTATGTGAGATTGCTTTGGCCAGAATGGGATGGAGACATGTTTAATAAACACCAGACAAGAAAGAATAAATGTGTTGTGATTATCACAGTTTATAATAATGTATATGACTCTACCATGGCTTATCATACAGAACACCATTTTAATAACAAGGCTTTTATTTATTAATTTTGTGCACTATTGTCTTTTAAAAACAAGTAAAAAAAAACAAAAAACATAGGTACTAAAAAGTGCAGAAGTTGTTTTTATCTATTAACTTTTATACTTTTATTCTTTGTCAGAATTCAAAAGCTTGAAAAAAGAGGATTCAAATAATATATACTAAAATGAATGGGCTTTTATATAATTTTTGTGTTAACCAAGATAAATTAGTGCGGGTATATTGGCTGGATGTATGTGAGTCTGTGTTTATGTCTTTGCTTACATCTTGTATACCCTGTATACTATCCGTTGATCTTTCCATCAATCAACAGGACAAAGTAAAAATTGGTTAAATTGATAATTAAAATGTTCCTCTCTCATTACTAACCTATATCATTTCCATGATCAGTTTCCTCTTAATCTGATCTCTGCCATTAACAGGGGTTATTAAATGGGTGAAATGAACGGGTCAGAAGTAGCAACAGCCCACAGTAACACTGTAACACGCATCTGAAGGCGCGACGGTCGCTAGTTAAAAACACGTGATCTTTACAATCATAATAAAGGAAACGCGGATAGGGGAAATAAATATCAAACTAATGAATTCAGACTACCAGCTTAAACTTTGGCGCTGTCGTTTTTTCTCGTCGCTCCACAAACACGCAACACAAACGGGCTGCTGGGAAATGTAGTTTTCAGTGAAATGGAAATTTCCAAGATTTCTGTCGGTGTAGAGGAGTGAGTGGAAATTTACTGTTTCCCTCCCTGCCTTGCGGGGTGTTTTGTTGAAAGTCAACCATATTAACCTTATTCTCATCTGACTGCTGAATTACTATTATGATTATTAGGATTACAGTCATATTATTACTTCAGAATCAGAATCAGAATCAGAATTGGGTTTATTGCCAAGTAAGATTTTCCACGTAGAAGGAATTTGCCTTGGTGCAGTGGTGCATAAAAATCACACAAAAATCAAGTGCTTTTTAAAATATAAATAAATAAAGATAAAGATAGGAAGATCTAAAGCTGTACAGGAAAGATATTTACAACCAAAACCAACGGGGCATTAATGTAATGCATATATACAGGGTGGGTTTAAGAGTCAGTGTCAGTGGCCTTGTTAATGAGGCCAGCTGCAGACGGAAAGAAACTTTATTGAGGAACTGGTGACTACTACTTCTGTATCATTGTTATGTTGTGCATGATGTCGTATTACATTAAAACAATAATAATGATAATAATACTATTATTATTATTATTATTATTGTTATTATTAGTAGTAGTAGTAGTATGCATACCTTATTAAGATTAAATATGGATTGTTTGGGCTCTGAATGTGATCCTCATAGTTTACCTAACTGGGAGCTGTTGCTACCCATGCTTGCAAAACCAAGAGTATACATAACCTTGTTATAGGCATTATTATTCACAAAGCCTTTGAAAAAATCTATTATTCAACTATTATTATTATTATTCTTCTTCGAAGAGGCAGCAGTTGGCAGTTTCTAGATTATTCCAGATTACAAGCGTCACCCTAAAATCTGATTAGAAGTGTAATCAGTCAAAGGGTTTCAAGTAGTTTCTATGTGACTGTGTTGGGCTATTTCAGGTTAATTGATATCCATTGGTGGTTGCTGTGCTGGAGCAGACTCCCTAAGCTTAATTAGACCTTTTATTTGATACTCTATGCAGTGGTGTAGTTGGCAGGTTGTATAACTCTCTCCAGTTAAACAATAACCTATAACGGAGAGGCAAAACTCTATAAAAGTTGTATGATGTTTTAGAGGAGCCATCATTATTTGATTCACATAAAGTTGATACAGTTTAGGTGTAAATTATTCGTTGTTTTAAGTTAAAAAAAAAAGACCCTAACACAAAGATATATCCTCTTCCTGCAGATAAAGCAAGCTGTGTGACCCACAGCGTCACGGGTGTGTTACACGTGTGGGGCGTGGAGCTGTACGGGTGCCTATAAGGGGAGAGGCAGCATTGTTTGACGGGTGTCACAGCTCCTCTTGAAACCCAAAGAAAGAGAAGACGACCGGCTGAAAACGTCAACTCGGCACATTCACAAGGAGCCCTGCATGGTACGAGGAAGCGGCGGTCCTGGGGGGTGGCGGGGTACGGGGGGTACGGGGTACGGGGTCTTCACCTCCTCTCCATCCACATCTCCGCTGTGGGGCGTTCAATGTCGGTTTAGTATCTTTAGCGTGTCTGCTAACGCTAGCTAACAAGGTACCATCTTCACTGTTCTGTGTTTAAAACAATGGAGTCGGTGAGTCGAGTGTGTAACTGTGCAGGCTTTTTATTTTTATATTTTTAATGTCAGTGTTTAGCCTGTGAAGCTGTGTTTGCTGCTCTATCATTTATTATCTTTGTTGAATGACTCTGTGAGTGTTCAGACATCCGGCGGACGCCAGCCGGGCCAGATGTTTTAAAACACCTGAATAACGTTATATATGTCAGAGTTTCCTGTGGTGTTAAATATACAAATATGAATCCTACAGAGCATAAGATAGCTTATAATAAAGAATACAAGCTCCTTGAGGATGCGCAGCCTTTTGCAGTCGGATGAATGAGTGACTGTTCTAGAAATTTCCTACCTCCTTCCTCATAGGTGCTACTGTGCGCTGCATGCCTGGTCGTGAACTGGTGTCGCCTCTTCTTTTGTCTTCACAAAGGCAGTCCCAGGCTGACATCTGGCCATTAATTAAAGCGGCATTGTTCTGTACGCCAACTATCCATTATATGCCACTCTAACATCATGGCGACAGCTGGCCATACCTGAAGCCAATTCAGCCTGAATTTGATACCGTATCCACTATTATTATAGTTTAAAATAAAGGTGAAGCATCCTGTAGCTTTAAGCTGTGTGGATCCGTGCAAGAGTCTACTACTCCTCTGAAATGTCTTTAAGTTGTACAAAGGAAGCTGGTCAGCACAAGTTTGGCTTTAATTGTTTTGGAGAGTTGATATTTAATTGTATGGACTGCTGTACCTTAGAGTTTACTTAAGTAACCTCTCTGGGCTTCATGAGTCAAGGCTGGTTTGCTTTGGTGTCTCTCTTGGCTTGTGAATATTTGGCACGGACTAGTCTAGCATTTCCCATTTTCTTATAGTGGAGCTTCCTCTCTACCAGGGTAACTTTGCTTCACGGTTTGAATAATCTGTTCCAGAAAGAGGATGAATATGAATCAGCTTGTGCTAAAGTTAGTGTCACCGTGGCGCTGACAGCACCATATTAGTGGTAGTGGCCAGAGTGAGGGCTCCCGAAGGTCTTGGCTTAGTGGGGTGGTAGTGATTATTTTTCAATTCCACATTATATCTTTGCAAATAAAATTATATTTATCTATTGAATGACTTTGCTGTATTTCAGCACCAGAGTCCCTTGTGCAGTTTATGGTGATTACATGCCCTTGATGATGATGAGATGGTGAAATGAAAAACAAAGACTTCTTTTATTGAGAAGGATGGTTATGCATAAAGCCTGGTTGTGAAGACAAACGCGTGGGGTTATTTTCTACCATGCATGGCAGGCTAAAACCTCAAGAGAGGCCAGACATCCGCGTGCGTGCGTGCGTGTGTGTGTGTGAGAGAGAGAGAAAGAGAGAGAGAATGTGAGAGAGAGACCAGATGTGCTCACACATCATCATGCATAATACTTTTTGCTGACATAGGGATTCAGTTTGATCCATCTCTCATTCTCATACACAACTTATGTAGACATCATATAACTAATTAAGTTTGTGATCTGACTTCTGCTGTAGCCTGAGGTAACTTTGGTTTTTCCATTTCATTGGTGAATGTAACATGGGTGCATGGATTATGGTCTGGTGTGGGAATCATTTAAAAATTAACATTTTAATTGGTGCTAACTTTGTGTGATTATGTAATGTCCTGTTGTGTCCCTGTATTAAGAACGCTAATGTTTGTTAAAGGTACACAGATTTGTCTTTAGCATCATATTAGTGATGTGAAATAATAGTCTTTGGTTACATGTTTTTGTTCCTTCTTGACTCTTCTTGATTTGTTACATAATGTTATTAAGCTTTCTTTGAAGTTGCATGGCTCGAGTCCTTTGTGTTAAAAAGATTAAGGAGGAAAGTCATACGTAGGTTAAACCCCAAGGACTGGCGTTGGGAAAATACTGCAGTTACAAAACCGAATTAACTCTTATTAGTCTTCATGTGGTTTATAGAGTGCTGTGCCATATTTGACCATTCTCTTCATCTGTGATTTTGATCATTTTATGTTGTATACTATGATGTGATGTTCAGTTTGACTCCAATAATATTTAAACCTCTTTGCGTTTGTATCCTGTTTTCAGAGAGGCTGTTGTAAACTTTCAAGTATTTTGTTCGTTATTTCTCTATCTCAAACTAAGGCTCTAATGAGGTGTTTTTCTTTGTCTTTGCTGTCTTGCAGGAATGTTAACTCTAGGCTTTTCTAGACCAGAGGCCTACAACATCCTCCTTTAAAACTAGAACGACCTCAGTGCCGGTGGATAACCCCCTCCGAAGCACACCTAGTGAATTTGACCTGACTGTGGATACTACAGCTTCCATCCAGACAGCAAATCAAAGCAGAGCATTTCCATTGCTCCTTTTTTAATAACTAAATCCATAACTTTGACTATTCGTTTTCCCTTTTTGCAAGGATTTGAGAGAGCTTTGAGATTTTAAAAAAAGTAATCTCTAAAAATGGGTCCTGGAATGGAAGCGGCGGACATAGCTGTGGTAGCGCTGTATTTTGTCCTGGTGCTTGTCATCGGGTGTTTTGCCATGTGGAAAGCCAATCGCAACACTGTGAGTGGCTACTTCCTGGCTGGACGCTCTATGACGTGGATAGTGATAGGCGCATCACTCTTCGTCAGCAACATTGGCAGCGAACATTTCATAGGCCTGGCTGGCTCAGGAGCAGCAAGTGGCTATGCTGTTGGAGCATGGGAGTTTAATGCACTTTTACTTCTGCAGCTGCTTGGCTGGGTCTTTATCCCTGTGTATATCCACTCGGGGGTCTACACCATGCCCGAGTACCTGTCGAAACGCTACGGCGGCAACAGGCTAAAGGTTTATTTTGCTATGTTGTCTGTGTTGATTTACATTTTTACCAAGCTGTCTGTGGACTTGTATGCTGGAGCTCTCTTTATACAGGAGTCCCTGGGGTGGAACCTTTATTTGTCTATAGTCCTGCTCATCAGTATGACTGCACTGCTCACTGTCACGGGTGGATTGGTGGCAGTAATGTACACGGATGCACTTCAGGCAGTGTTGATGATTGGTGGAGCCCTAACTTTAACCACCATCAGCCTAATCAAAGTTGGTGGGCTAGAGGGGGTCAGAACTAAGTACATGCAGGCAGTTCCCAATGTTTCTGCTATAATGGCCACTGGAAACTTCACCTATTCTCCTTCCTGCCGCATTGAACCTAAACCAGACTCACTACGCATCCTTCATGGTCCCCTAGATGAAGACATCCCATGGCCAGGCTTCATTCTTGGCCAGACCCCTGCATCTATTTGGTACTGGTGTGCAGACCAGGTCATTGTTCAGAGAGTGCTAGCAGCTAAGAACATTGTTCATGCTAAGGGCTCTACACTCATGGCTGGACTTCTCAAGATCCTACCCATGTTTCTAATAGTCATTCCGGGAATGATCTCCCGCATTTTGTTTGCAGATGAGATCGCCTGCATCGGGCCAGAGCACTGCATGGCTGTGTGCGGTTCTCAGGCTGGCTGCTCAAACATTGCTTACCCACGGCTAGTCATGGCAGTCATGCCTGTGGGACTCAGGGGTCTGATGATGGCAGTGATGATTGCTGCCCTGATGAGTGATCTTGACTCAATCTTCAATAGTGCAAGCACCATCTTCACACTGGACATCTACCAAACCTTTCGAGGGAAGGGATCCCAGCGCGAGCTGCTGATTGTGGGACGCATGTTTGTTGTGTTCATGGTGGCAATCAGCATTGCCTGGGTCCCTGTCATTATTGAAATGCAAGGTGGACAGACGTACCTCTACATCCAGGAAGTTGCTGGCTACCTCACTCCACCAATCGCTGCCCTCTTCCTGCTAGGTGTGTTCTGGAAACGGTGTAATGAGAGAGGTGCCTTTTGGGGTGGCATGACAGGTTTCACACTCGGTACCGTAAGAATGATCCTAGCTTTTATTTACCGTCAGCCTCGCTGTGACCAGCCAGATAATAGGCCTGCCTTTATTGTTAAGGTTCACTACATGTATTTTGCAGCTGGGCTCTTCTGGATTTCGGGATTGGTGGCGGTGGTGGTCAGCCTCTGCACCTCTCCACCAGACGAAGAGCAAGTATGCACCACTACATTCTGGGGGCTGCGCAGCATTGAAAAGATTCCTGTGAAGGACAGAGAGGAAACATACAAGCTGACTGAGAAGAGCCATAGTAATGGTGATGGCAGCCAACATAAAGAAATGCCCCCGGATGTCAAAAAGGAGAGGTGTTTGGATGGGGCGGACGTCAAACTCCTGGTCCCATCCACTGACCATGACCCGGCCACCCCTAGTACGGAAACATCCCCCTGCTCGACCCCTGCAGAACGCTTTGTTAATGGAAGGATGGAGATGATCAGAGCAGAGGAAGGCTGCCACGGTAATGGGGAGACTAGCAGGGGTATTCGTTTACTGGAATGTATTTTTGGATGTAAGGGGGAAGCACAGAGCACTCTGCAAAAAGTATCGAAGGAGGATGAGTCAAGAGTCATTGCGGAGATGCTGTATGAGCCACCTAGGGTTAAACTTCTTCTCAACTTGGGTCTGCTATTCGTCTGCTCTGTGGGCATCTTCATGTTTGTTTATTTCTCACTTTAGTCGAACCCTGCACTGAACTAATGGGGACTGGTCTGGGGGCTTTTAATAAGTGGGGAAGTTACATGGGGGGGCGGGGTTGGCGCTGTTACAAACGAACATTTGAATCTTCCAAGATTTGAGAAGCTGTCTGTAATATTTACAGTTGTCTTTTGTAGCTCTCTAACAGGGATCTAAGCATAATCTAATCATTTTTAAATGATTAAAACTTCTCCATATGAGAAAAACTGTACTCCTTTATGACTATGAATCCTATTTGGCACTGGTGGGTCTATTTTGTACAGCGCTTGGTGTTAATCCTGCATTCAGAATATCTACTGGGATTTTGTTGTACTCAAAGTGAATTTATTATTTGCCTTATATATGCACTTTTGTTATTATTGTTTGTATGGTGAAAAACAAATGTATTCTGTGATTTTAATAATTTAAGCTCCCCCCCCCAGTATTGTTGACAGTGACTGTAGGCTTAGTTGCTAGTGTAGCAAACGTATGTCTGCAATAACTTTAGGTTATAGACCATGACAAGTTTTTGCCGCTGAACGCAATATTATTATTGCATTATATCAGTAGAATGTCAAGTATGTGATTACTGTTAAATTTTTATTGTGCCCTTGACAGTCATTTCAAGATTGTTAGCAAAATACTTTATAATGTCTTTTTTTTTTTAGGTAGAAATTATATCCCACTTTAAATTTTTAAGGGGACCATTATGAAGTTTGTAAAACAAGAGTTAATAATAAGTGCTAAGAATCATTACTTCTCTGCTGCTGTTGTATGTGACCAGTTTGTTTATAGTGATTTTCATAATCACTGGTTGGATTTAGCCTACTGGAGGTCAAGCTTGCAGTAAATACCTGGTCTTTAGAATATGTACATGTTCTGCAGCACAGGAAATAAAGACAAGCACAAGATTACAAATTGTTATCCTATAAATAATGTTTTCATCCTAAAAGAAGAAATAGCCAAACGTAGTATAGCACTTATTCATTTTGATTGGCTGTTCAATGTGTTGTCACTGTAAGGGATTTTCTATTTTATGTTTTCTACTACTGTTTTTGTTTGATTGTTGTTGGTTTTTTTCTGGCTGTATTGTGTGTAACGCTTTAAAATCGTCACGCAGCCTTTTATGTACTACTATTGTATCATTACGAAAAAGCCACAAGTACCAGAGCTCATCATTCTCTATCACTTTATATTTTATGCGTATCTCATTTTATGTTTGTTGAAAAGTTTGTTGACTCTGTTTATTATATAACATGTGTACCATATAATTCAGGGTCCATTGAATCCCCCACACTATATACATTTCTTCAATAGGCTCTCTTGTGTACCTACTGTCTGTCAACGTACATTTAGTGCACTGCAGTGCTGAAATGTCATTTAATCTTGTTTCAAGTGCACCTTTTTATACACCTCTTTACCAAATGTGTCTTAGTGTGCAATGCTAAAATGAAAAAATGAGAAAAAAAAGTCAAAGAAGACAATAAAGAGTTCACGTACTGAAAATTGTGTGCAGTGAATACCGCATTTGTTTAAAGCCATTTGATAAAAAAAGCCTTGTCATGTAGTACATTTTCAGTTAGCTGCCTATCAGTTGATGATGACAATGCAAAGCAGAAGTGACATTTCAGATGTTTGTTGCAGGATTAGCATATAACTGGATGAGCTTTACTCATAACATTATCATAGGTAATTCAACTAGGTGCATTAAGTTGCTGCTCTTCATGGACTGTCATTATTTCCAAAGTTTAGTTCCAACACCCTCACCCCCAGAATACTAAAACATAAAGAACAACTTTATGTTTCTATGTATTTTGGAATTTATTGAACAGTGTTTAATTACCTCAGTTCAAAACTTCTGTTTGACAGGCAAATCCTTACTAATGTCAGGCACAGGTGATGCATAACATGGAGGTTTGATAATGTGATGATTGCTCTATGGGAAAGAGCTTTAAGAACTTTTCTTTCTGAGAGAATATACATTGTTATTTTTATGGATTTTATTTTTAGAGACTGAAAATAAAGTTTCTGTGAAGACTAAAAGACAAATGTGTACTCATTATTTATGTTATATAAAATGAAAGGAGCAGTTGGTGAATATATTTTCCTGTCACACTGGCTAACAGTCAGTTTGGCTCAACATTAACATCCATTTGAAATAAAGTGACATTTATTGGCTTGTGGTGTATTAAAGAACACAACAACACCAGAAACATTGTTTATTGATTATGTGATCATCAGCTCTTTCCAAGTTGTAAGAACTCTAAACATCTGTTATAATAAATTTGCCAAATGATTTTTAATTCAGACCAGAATAGCTGTGGACTCACTGAATAACTATTATTTGTCAATAATATTTTGTAACTTGTTTCTGCATGTGGCGACTAGTTGTTCAAAACTCTGAGGTGGTATGGAGGAGTTCATACTGGGCTTTGGTGGAAACAAAATTGCCATTCAGGGTTTCCTATATATTTTGGGGCTTTCTGTTTTTGTTGACCAGGATTACATAAACCTCAGCAAGGCCTTTATTAATCTGCTCAGAGCCAGAAGAGGATTCGGTGATTCCATGCTTCTTTACACAAGATTGAACCAATCAAAAAGCCAGGATCAGTGGCTTACAAATCTCCACTTCTTACCAGTTTAGCTCCATACATCCATGTTGACCAAACCTCACACCTCTGTAACTTTCAATAATTACGAGTCAATTATCGGGTAACTTGTAAAAACAGACTTTAAAATGTAATCTTACTTGTTAGGAAGCACAGGTGCCAACATACAAAATGCAAAACTAAGTACTGTTATAAGGGTCCCTATATGGTTAGGTAATGTGCTGACTAATACACTGTGTTTTTAAGAGTGACACAGTCCACACTGTTGAATTAATCTCTTTTAGTCAGATGATGGCATTTAGACACCATGACATGTATTCTTATTTAGACGATGACTCATATCACTGATGTCCTATGACTCCCCCATTGCAGCAAAGTTAAAATGTAGCAGTCCACAGGGGTGTGTGTGGGTAACAGTTGGGAATAAATTGGAAAAATGACCTGACTTACCTTGATCTTGACAGAAGGTAAATAAATAACTTATAATTCACTAAATTGAAACCTTTCTTTTAGTGTCACTTTACCTTCAGTTCCTCAGTTCGTTGATCTCGGAAACATTTCTCTAATGATTGTGAGCAGGAAGAGGTGATAAATGTTTGTGCATTATTCACTCAACCACGAGTGAGAATGACTATGATTGTTTCAGCACCTGTTAGTGACCTTAGTTCACCTCTGCCGAGAAGCCTACACCCCTGTACACCTCAGGCGTATGTCAAATACATAATTGATGGAAGATTAGATGCCTGGTGAAATGTTGCTAGTTAGACAATACCTTTTTTGTCCCTTAAATGTTATTGCTACTGTGGTATCATTGCATTTGTTTTCTGTGGTAACCAAGTATCCTACTGTACTTTTGTATGGAGCCAACTGACAAAATGTTGCAGAACATTTTCTAATAAATCATCTATGACTTGAAAACAAGTGATCCTTCATACTTTTTAGTTGGTAAAACAAAGACTAATCTACTGTAGCCATTTTAGTGGCACTGTGGGGCTGCATGTAGGTACAGCTGTGCTTTGAGCTAAATGCCAAGTGCCAAGTAGCACTTGAAGATGGTGGAAATGTTATTCAAAATGTGCTAGAGGGAAAGTCAGAATCATCAAAGTCATGCATGCATCCTATTGGGAACATGGGTGTTTGCATAACACTTTGTGCCAGTCCATCCAGTAGTTGTAGTATAAATGTTTTACAGAATAAGTGAAATATTTTTGGCTGGCTTTTTACCTTTAATCAATAGGACAGATCAGGATAGATATGACTTGAACCCATAGCTGCTGCAGCAAGGACTCAGCCTTGGTACATGGGGTGCCAGATCTACCAGGGTGCCCCCAAATCAACTTATTTGTTGGTGTTCTTAGTGTCTGGTTGTTAGCTTCATACTGCACACATAGTACTTGTCCTTTAACCTCCAGTCAGTTGGTAAAATACATTACGCTTTACCATTACAGATTAAAGGACCAGTATGAAGTTTCACATTGCAACTAACTGAATACTTTGAAGTGTGTGCATTTTAACCTATGTGAAGTGTCTTTGAGTACTTTGAAAAATACCCTAGAAATAAGATGTATTATTATTATTATTATTATTATTATTATTATTATTATTATTATTATTATGTGTTGGAGAAACTCCGGTGGCAGCGAAACTGGCTCTGTATAGTTTAGTTGTAGGCTCACATGTGATCTTGGTGTATTAATACTAAACAAAGTTTACTTCACCATCGTCGTTATTAATCTTAAAGCCCCAAATAGATACATTACACCATGTCTTGCAAATGGCTGTGGTCTAGGTCTTGTCTTCTAAACAAATGCCCACGCTAACCAACCAAAATCCTCATGACATAAAGCAGTGTTGCTTATACTACTTTTGTCCATAGAGGCCACTAAAATCAGCACAAAACCACATTTTCTTGTTATAAAACTTACGCAGGCCTTGTAATGGAGTATTTCATAGTGTAGTACTGCTACTTTCACATTGATCTGTATACTTCCACCTCTGTTTATTTAAGTTGTAGCCTACAGATGGATAGCTCTCATGTAGTAGCACTCATGTAACGGACTCTGACCCTGTCCCCTCTAATTGAATTAAAGCTACAGATCAGGACTTCAGCCTTCTTGTGCTTTTGTTATTTTTCATCACTGCTGTAAGGCCTAACACACTCTATGAGTTTGACAGCTCTCTCTGTCACTTATCATTCCATGTCTCTTACAAACTCACACACTAACTCCTCTACTAAACGCCACCCAACCCATACCCTCCCTCTTTCCCAAGAGGAAACTAATGATATTGTCCTTGTGGAAAAGTACTGGCATCCATGCCATGCTTTGTTCATTGTCTATTTCAGACAGTGAAAACACAAACAATAGTCTGAAACAAATGCTCCAAATTACTTCAATGCATTGGAATGATGATATTATTAGATGGGATTAATAAGGCTGTATGCATTATTGCATAGTCAATAGCTATTTTTAACATGCATTTAAAAGTCATTTTATATGAATGTAATTATATAATGTACAGTTATTTTTTTGCAGGTTTGCAAATTTCATCAACATATTGTCCACAAATTGCAAAAGTCCTATTCACAGATATAAAATGTATATAATGTACAACATATAACATATCAGTGTCAGGTGAACTCTGTGGAGGATAAGATACCAATTTGTTTGGCACACTGAACAAGACTCCCCCACTAAAATACCATAACTTAAACATAACCTACTTAGTCTACATCCTACTGGTAGTCTGTGTCAGTGTCAGTGACCCAGCTTTCTCCCTTTATTGAGACTACTTAATAGTCACGATAATGTTTTAAATCTTTGGACAGGGGATATAGAACATTCATGCCCTGAACTAGTCCTCCCAGCACTTCATTATGCGCTTACAACAAGTTCTATTATCAAGATATTAAGATATTGCTTACGTTGGCTGTCAATGGAAAAAAACAAACAAGGATTTATGATTGCCTACAATGCAAGGTTCAACTCAGGACAGGTGTTACAGCTGTGGTTGCCCAAACCTGTAGAGGAATCAAGGACATGTATTTGTCATTATATAACACAGGGTTGAAGAACAAGATGAACATTTGTAGTTCTTTCATGCTACACACACAGAAAAAGATATTCAAATTAATATATATCATATCATATCATATCATATCATATCTATTTATCTATATATAGTCACTATTTTCCCATTGTTTGGCCAGCCTAAGTCCCATTTAGTCCAGACTGGACGTTAGCCACAAGCAGCCTGAAGGCCAAGCCTGGCCAGCATGGCTCCTGTCCGGCTCTCTTGGTGTGATTTGGTGTGTGTATATGTGTGACCGCACACTTATGGTCTCATTGTCACCACATCAAAAATAGAGGTTGTATGTTGTTTAATAGTTGCTATTTTTGAAGGAAGTGGTGGATAAAAAAAACACATAGCAGGTAACAGAGGCAGCTGCATTTAATGGTGTGTGTGTAAAACTATTATAGTTAAGATTGATAGACTGTGTAAACACCAGGGACAACAGTGTAAGTCCAGAACTTTATTGTTCTATTTCCAACAAAGCCTGGCATGTTGCATTTTAATAAATATATTAGAGTGTTGTCAATAAACCAAAACAAAAAACTTGTAAAGGTGAGGTAAAAGCTGTTGTAAGTACGCCGATCAGCCATAACATTAAGACCACCTGGGCACCCTGGTGGTCATAATCTAGCCATCACAATTTGGCCCATGTCAAAGTTGCTCACATCCTTACACTGCCCATTTTTCCTGCTTCTAACACATCATCTTTGAGGGCAAAATGTTCACTTGCTAATTCCTAATATATCCCGCCCACTGACAGGAGCCATGATAACCAGATAATAATAAGTGTTATTCATTTCACCTGTCAGTGGTCATAATGTTATTGCTGATTTGTGTATTTTTATATTTGGGATACAGGTCTATCAGTGTTTGTTCTTTCACTTCAGGCATGTTTTGATAGCATTTCTTGATTTGAACTGTGTTTTCTTAATGTTTGTGCTTTCACTTTTGTATTTGTTTCATTCTTACAGGTTAAAGTAGTAATGCACTATTCTATGATCCAGCAGCTGCATCTAGGTGCATGCTGATTGCATCTTGACAAATGTGTCAGAATGCCTTTTAATTCCATATGTTTTTGACAACAGAGAGGCTGTACCGTTCATGTAACAGCTGTGGTCGACAGCGATAAGTGGCCATTCAGGGATGGAGAAATGCTGACCTCTCTGTCATTGAGAGATACAGATTTCCCATCCCTCCTAGCACGATAATCCACTAAGTATCAATTCTGCTTCATAGGGAGTGGTACATATTGAAAACAAACAACAATCAACCTTTACATCTGAAAGCCTTTAAACTATTTCCTTCTCTTGTAGGCCAGTCTAGCTGGTTTTTGACAGTAGTATGTTAATAGTATTGAGACATCTCTGGAACACAGTCGTTGTGGTTGCAGGGTGTATGTAGACATGCCACTCTTTTGTTTCCTTTCATGATAATGTGCAACCATGTTCCACGAAATCTAAACAGGTTGCTGCACTTCAGGTGGTTTTATGAGAAGCTTAACCAGGCTAGTCAGGGAGTTAGTCAGTGAGCTCACTTGGTGAAGTCTTTGTTTGGGAGAAAAACTTTTGTTGTGCATTGTTTTGCATTCACATGCAGATGGCAGCCAGTCTCTGGTCTGCAACGGAAGTGCATAGGATGACCTCTCAAGCCCATAAACTTTCCAGGACCTCAGCACTTTGCATCTAGGAAAATCATAGATTAGAGTGATCAGTGAATACCAATGCATTGTATGAATGAGTAATGCTCAAAGTAAAATAAAATGTATTTCTTTTTGCATAATCCTAATAATTTTTATCATTGCATTTAAAAGATGGAATCATGGTTATTAAGACCATACAACAACTGAAATGAAAGTGACTATCTACATCATTTTACATTTTTGCTTGTTTCTTTCCATCACCTGGAATGCCTTGAGCTTCATTTGCTATTGAGCCATTTTGAAACAAAAAATGTCTCTGTTATTCATTCTTATTGTGATGAGAACGGAAGCAGCCATGTAGGGAATGTGGAGTGACCTTTCAAATATATGGCAAACACATAGTCAATACATTCCTAACATTCCCCGTGCACAGCCCCGACTAAACTTTGGCGGCAGGCTTGGTATTCTGGCATTAATCCATGGAACTGGGCTTCAGTGGCAAAAGGAAATATTTACCTCCCTTAGTAATAACAGCAGGAAGAGTAATGTCAAGAGCATAATGAATGAGAATCAATGAAGCATACACGGGTGAGGCCTTTTCCTGTATTTCTAGGTCAAACTGATAATCGAAAACAACATTGTTGATTTGTGACGTATCAACAACGTGGCTGCTGGAGTGCCAAGTGTGAAGTGCTGATAAAGAGTCTGCTGATGTGGAAACACTGAGTTATTGATATGATTAAGTTTATATGTGATGAAGCAAACTTTATCAATCATTTTCATTCTTGTGGGTTATAATGTACAGAGAAAAACAATTCTTATCACATTTGTCACATGGTCTTAATAGCATGGGACTTTGAACTCACTGTTGAGACTTCCAGAAAATAGGCGAAGATGTACGAAAATATCTAAAACAGAAGGAGTAAGTGGCAGGTCGGGTTAAAAGTGTGTAATGTTTCAAGCCTTCTTGTTCTCTTCACAGGGCCCAGACTTTATCCACCTTCTACCATGTTTGGCATTTTCCTGGGAGAAGCAGTATCATAAATATATGTAATAGAAACATGTTATTTTCCCCTAAATGATAAGTAGTAGTGTTATCTTGGTAGTGGTATTATGATTAAAATAACATGTTAGCTTTAAAAGGCTACAACTGTCTAAATGTGTGATTTATTATGCTATGCTGTGCCTGTATGTCATTTTTGTCAAGACCTAAGTCAAACTTAGATACTGGTTAAATGCCTTTTCAGGTGTGTCATCATTTCATAATTTTTATTTTTACTCGTTTACAAAATGGTCTATGTTGACTCCTGTGACTTTATGAATGACATAACCCCAATACCCACGAGCAAGCACACACACACACACACACACACACACACACACACACACACACACACACACACACACACACACACACACACACACACACACACTAACAGGAACACTTGACCTGTGAGATAAAAGAATATGCCTCAGTGGGCTGTGTTCCTGCCTATGTGGGAATAAATAAGTAGACACTAGTATATGGTGTCAATGTGTGAATCTGCAGATTTTGAGTTTATGTAACATTTGCATCTTTGATACTGTTATTGTGCATTGTACTTCCTTATAACTGTCTGTAGGTTCTAGTTAGTTTGACAGAAAATTATGAATATACAAATGACATTATCTGCAACTATAATGATTGCAGTATTGGACAGCCAACTGAAGCAGTGTAACCTAAACAGAACAATGGGTACCATAATCATTTAAAAATAAAGGTGTGCATTTAATGCAACATACTTATATTATTATTACTTATACTTGTATGTTGACGGTAAATGTATTCCAGCTTTGAAGTATAGTTTGGTAACTTCGGTTTATAAGTTGCAACTAATCAGTTATAAGATCAGTTATAAGCCATTAATACCCTTTGGGTTGCCAGGTTGTGGAAAATCCCTTTGAGTAGTTGGACCACTTGACCACTTACTTGGACCAAAGTTTTAGAAAATTGTAGAATAATGCTTCAAATCTGTAATACTTTTAACCTCAGCATTCAAGAGTGTTGCATAAAATTCATATAATTGAATTATACCATTGTATTTCTACTTTTGCCATTGCAAAAGATTGGTCTGCTGAGTGATTTTACATGTGGGAAAGATAACAAAGCTGTTTAGATTGATGCAGTACCCCTATCTTTTATTGTGAAAAGCGTCAGATGTTCTGGCTCCCCTGGTGTCAGTTCATTTCAACACACATTGTGTTGTAATGTGCTTTCAACACACTAAGCCAACAGAGAAATTCCTGATCTTTTAAAGAAACATTAACTTATGAAACATCGGATGCCATATAATCAGGATGTGCAATAGCGGAAAACTGACCAGAAACTGAAATAAACAGAGGGACAAACTCCAGGGGAGATTTGGATACACTTTAATTTTTTTATTATACAAAATCAAATTTTAATTTCCTATTTTTCATTTGCAATAAAACAGTTTAGAAATGTGTATATGCAAATAAGTTTAGGATCTTGCTGTCAATATTTCTCCCTGTCATTTCTCCACTACTCCTTTCGAATGTAGAAATGTACCAGTCTCAGTTCCACTTATCTGTGTGTAACTATTTTTGTATCTGTTTCTTTGTTTGTGTTCTTTGTATGTACTGTCCAATTTAAAAAAAAAAAAAAAAAAGTCACTCTACAGAGCAGAAAGTCAGCATAGTGTCCACCCGCTGGCACTGCATAGCAAAACATAAATGATCTGGGAATGATCAGAGGTGGTGGGAGTCATCCTCTCCAGCAGTGTAGCTCTGAGGGGGAGAGACACCAGCACTCAAACACAGGATCTAGTTTCAAGCTTTCTTGTCAGCAAACAGATACAAAGCTGAAGTGTCCTTGAGCAAGACAATGGCTCTCTAATGCATTCAGGGTGCTGCTTTGTGGATAAAATTCATACCTCATTTTTCATTTTACCCTATGAAGACCCTATTTCAATTCCATATGAAACCATATGACACAAATTAGCTTTTTCTTCTTCTTTTTTTTTTTTTACAGGAAGACAAATTGACATATTACACTGAAGAAATGTAAGTGCTGGCAGTATGACTCCAAAATGTGTTGCATTATACTGCCATCTAGAGGAAGTTACAGTAAAACTACCATAAACTAGAACTAGTTTCCTTTGTATGGTGCTCCCTCTGTGTGGGCAGATTAGGAATTACAGGTGAATAGACACACTCTCAAACCAGTCAGGTTAATATTAAATTGTTTTTGACCCATATTAATTGCCATAGTTTGGAAAAGATATGTGTGTGTGTGTGTGTGTGTGTGTGTGTGTGTGTGTGTGTGTGTGTGTGTGTGTGTGTGGTGCGCATGTGTGCGTGTGTGTGTGTGTGTGTGTGTGTGTGTGTGTTTTTGTGGCAGGTTATGACTTCCGACACTCCCTTTTCTTTATCAGCTGGAGGAAGTATCAGCATTTTGTGTGCATAACATTTTCAAAGTCATGCCACACTATCTTTCCCTCTCACCTGCACACAAAAACTCAAAACCCACTGTTCAGCCAAGCCGAAAAGATAAAAAAAGTAAACAAAAGTATGAGCAGTGGTTGACTGTGTTCCTCTGAGCTAATCTCTTTGCTTCTTACTCAAACCAGCCGTGCTCCCTGCCATTGCCTCTTTACTTCGTTTTCACTCCAAAGTGTCTTCATCTCCTGACCAGTTTCTTGACGTGGCCTTCGAAAACCTGGGAAAAGGTTGGTACAGTATAGAAGAGTTGAAAAAATGTTCTTCATGTTGTTGGATACGCTTGAATGAGTATAATTGGGTGGTCAAATAACTTTGAAGCAGTTAAAGGTCAGTTTGGGCACTGAGGATATGACCTTATAGAGCTTTATTACTTGATGAATGCTGCCTCTTTTATAGCTTGTGTTCCTTATTCATTCTGTCTATAAAAAAACAGTTTAAAGGCCCTGAAAACCTGTTTTCTTACCTCCTTACCGTGAGTGATGGGTCCTACGTAAACATCTTAGTCTGGGTTATTTCACTTCACTTCACTCTTCGTAATGTGTTGTTTTCTGTGTTATACTGGATTGAAATGGGCAAGAAAAATGATACATTTCCATACTGAGTCACTGCACATCAGAATTTAGATCAATTTGAATCTGACAACAGTTGTAAGTTAGTTTGCCGAGGCCACTGTCAATCTAATTTGACCAAACCACACTCACTCAGTTTTTTAGTTAAAGTCTCAATAAATAACACCTAAGGATGTTTTTTCCTCAACTGTAAATGTTTTAGTACTTACTTAGTTATGACTATTTTACTTTGTAGAAAATACTTACAATGTGTTTTCACAGCCTTTGCTTCTTTTTCCCAGGAATATGTGTGTGTTATTGGATTATCCATAGAAATTAAATTATTTAAAAAGTGGCATATTCATCTTGGATATTTGGTGAAATAACTTTTGATAAAAAATGTACTTTAAATCTACTTTCCCCTGCCTTATGCTTACTGTAGAATTGAGTTTGCACAAGTCTAAGTTCTATTAATACAACTACAGATATGAATAGAATTTGGTTTCAATATGCTCAATTCTCAGAAAAGACAAATAGAATTTGTCTTAATCTTTCTGGAAATAGCAGAAAGTCATCCTTTGTCCCCCTCCGCCCAACTAGATGAGTGCATCTGATTGGTCCAACCTGACCCTTCATCTGGAGGGTTCCCTGACCAGTGCTTTGGGTAATTACCTGGACAACTGGAGGCGTAATATGACAGCTGCAGCCAACGCTTTGGACAAGACTCTGGCTGAGGAGAACTTCAGGAATGTCATCTGGTATCTGGCGGTTATGATTGGGATGTTTGCCTTCATTGTTGTGGCCATCCTGGTGAGCACAGTCAAATCGAAGAGGAGAGAGCACTCTAATGACCCCTACCACCAATACATCAAGGAGGACTGGACTGCTCAGTTACAACAGAGTGATGTGATCAATAACATTTTGGCTAGATAATGCAACACTTGACTTAAAGCAAATCCTCAGTAGCAGTAGCAGCAGCATGACTAGATGTTCACAAAAGCGGCCCTTTCTTATGCTGGTCAAATTTGTAATGAGAATAATAAAGTACAATCAATATTGTGAATCTATTTGTAGTTTAGCTTTTTTTTTTAATCCATTAACATCAATAATGCATTAGGACAGTAGTTCTCAACCTTTTTGGTGTACTGCATTGACACTATACTACTATCTTCCAAATGGTCTTCTTTTTCCATGTTAAATAAATTTAGAAAAGAATGTTATTTAACACTGTTACTTATATATATATATATATATATATATATTTTAATTATTGTTTTATTGTTAAGAATTTTATGTTTGTGCTGATTCAGGGAAATGACTCAGGGTCCCTAATGATTCAGTTTCAGGGCTTTTGCTATTGTTCCTGCTGGCTCACTGTCACACTCTTATGGCTTACACTTGAATAGAACAGAGCCATCTTTGAAGTTATAAGTAACACCTTGCTTTTCCTTCTATGACAAGTCAAAATGTGTGCTGTAAAAAAGGTCTATTGTTGCTGTATCTTCCGCCACTATCCATAAGTTCAAATGAAAATAATTACTTTATTTGCCTCTTACTGCTCTTTGAACATTCATACCTGAGGCACTCTATGCTCTTCTTCAACATTTTGGAAAATTGATAGGCATTTTCACTTAAATAATATGTAAATAATAAAACTTAATGGATTAACATTAACATTAGCTGCTTCAGTTTCAGGACCCTGATATTATGCATGCCACTGTCACACTGCCATGACTTACTGGTACACTTGAATAGAATAGCGCCAATGTTAATGTTATTTATCAGACTCACATGAACCATAATCCTATTTGTGTGTTTTTTGTAAAATTATAACATTATATTATTTTCCAAAAAGCTAAGCTACTCCACATTTTTCCACATTTCCACATATTCCTTGACAACAGCAGAATGCACCTGTTTGGGAATTACTGCATAAGGATCTTAAACTCTCATGAATGATAATTACTGTATAATCTGCAGGTCGTTCTTGGTGTGTAACTGCAGAGGGCAGCAGAAGCTCTTTCCCAAGCAGCTGTAGAACTAGAGACTTGAGGGAGGCCAAAATAGAGGTGCAGCTGCTGCTTTGTAAATAGTGTAATAATGGCGTATGTGAAGATTAAGTATACAGTTTAAGAGGAAGATCCTTCGGTTAATGTGTCGGTTGAGAAGAGCAAAAAGTGGAAAATTGTTGAGAAAGAAGGCCCATTCAAGTCCTCAATTTGCTTTAGTAGCAACGCAAATCACACCCAAATCAAACCAAATGTTTTTAAATAGAATATATTCAGTTCATGGTCAGATTGCACATTGCACATGCAAAACTCACGAGACCACATCTGCAGAACAACGACTGCACACAGATTATTTGAGTTGCCCTTTACACACCTGTTGGCATCATGAGCTGCCACTCATTTTCTACACTAGCACTAAACCACACATCCACCAAGTTTTTTGGTCCTTACAGACTTAGAAACCTCAAAATAACTGAACCCCCAAATCTCTTGGACTCAGCTCTCTTCTCCCACATCACTGACTCTCTCAAAGAGACATCACAGGGACCAAGAACTGCACTCACTAATAAACCCCCCGCCGTTGTCCTCTACTATCTCTCTTTCTCACTTGCAGTTTTATTTTTAGCATTCAAACAACTGGTCTCCTAAAAATGGGCCTGTCCTGCACGGGTAGGGGGAGAGGATCTGCGGCTATGTATGGTATCCACCCCCCCTCAGTACCTCACAAGCCCGACAGAACTCCTCTTTTGCTTTGTGTCTGCAGAGGGAAAGGCGTGAAGGAGTGATCACAGTGGGAGAAAGGAGTTACTAGATCCTGAAGATGCTTGTAAAAGTTGGATTTATCTGCAAAGCTTGCAATGCTTGAGAACTGCCACTGACGGACCAACTTTTACCTCTAAAACTTTCTGCAGCATTTCCTACATTTCCCTTCCCCCTTTCACAGTGCTTAGGTGACCTTTTTGATTGTACAGTTTTATACTGTGAAACTAAAACCAAGCTCTGACGTTTGGGGGTGTGTGGTAGCTCCAGACCATGCTCTCCCTGTGGTTGTTCCTGCTCCCTTGCCTGAGCCTTGTGCCTCTGGCCCCGGCCGAGAAGGGCCTGGAGTTCCCACAGTATGATGGGAAAGACCGTGTCCTAGATATCAATGACAAGAACTACAAGAAAGCCTTGAAGAAGCACAACATGGTGTGTTTGTTCTACCATGGGCCCATACCAGACAGCAAGGAGCAGCAAAAACAACACCAGATGACTGAGTTGGTGCTGGAGGTAAAGTATTTAGAGGAGGAAAACCAAGCAGAAAACAGATAGAGAAGAGGTGCAGGGACAAATTAAAGGAACAGGACAAAGGGATAAGAGCAGGGATGAAATTAAGAACAGTGTCTTAGAATTAGAAAAAGGAAAGAAAGATCAAGGAAAGGACAAGGGGTTGGTTTGGATGTTTTTGTATTATTAACCAGACTCATATAAAAAATTTAGAGTTTAATAACTCCGCATTACTGCTCCAATTAACAGAGAGCCAACTGAAACTCCAGATTCTTTCCATTTGAATGTATGTATGAGTTTCCTCAAGGTCAGTGTGTATCTGTATGTGCTCCATGAGTGCAGAATAGTCCATTGAGATGCAGTGCTGTCACTTAAGGTTATCTCTATCAGTTTAATTCAATGTGCACTTCTATCCCTTAGAAATGTGGCTTTCTAATTCTCTCTGTGGCTCTCCTCCGCAAGCAGAAATAGGCCAAGTGCTAAGAGCTTATGTGTATTATGTTTGTGAGCAACACATGTGAAGGGCACAAGTACCTTCTCCTCTTTTAGAGTTTTTGGGGGCCTTTTGGTGGCAAAAGCAAGACATCTTAAATGTATTTTGTATTCATGCTGAGCTAAGCAGCTGGATACATGTCTAATTGATAGATTCAATGAAACGCTTTGTTTGAATCCCATACAGTAGGAAACAGAATGCACTGTGCCCTGTCTCATGTTACACATGGCTGAGGGTGAGTTGCTCTTTGATCTGTTGAAGGTAACTTGAGCCCAGTCTTGCAGTACTGATATTAGCTTCTCTTATTTTACACAGCACAGGTGGACCATGTAACTATAGAAAGAGACACCCATGTACAGTAACCATGTACAAAGACGACCTTGTTAAAACTGATCACAGTCCACTCTACCCAGTCACTGCTGGTAAGAAGTGAGCAAATATAGTATTTAACGTATTTGCTAATGATCCAAATATCCACAACTTGCAGATGGTTTTGCAGTCTTACAACTTGTTTGAGATCTGAGCACTTCCTCTTTGAAAATGTTCTCTCACAAAACACACAAAATATGTGATTAACATGGTTTACATTCACATTTGCCTGCTAGCAATGCTTCTTCACTGCCATTGCTGGGGCATTTATATATTTATTGGCACGTCACTGCCGCCAACTGTAGATCAGTTGAATCAGACCGCCTGCATGATCAGACGTATGCATTAGCCTCCTCGTAGGCAATACAAAACTGGGACCCACTTGTGAAAAACATTTCTCCATAGTGCTACTACTGGTCAGAACTCAACAGGATACCTTTAACATCCAGTGTTTTTCACCATGCATTGAAGACAGTACATTAATCATAGTGTAAACAAACATTGTTCCATTTGTGTAAAAGAATCCTTTCTTGCAGGAGTCTCACCTACTGTAGGTCACAGGACAATTGCCAGAAGAATTACATATACTCTTGCTATGGTTATATTTAGATCAAGACGGTCTGGGTGATTATGTAACCATGTCTCCTTGGCCCCTGGGCAGCTTGAGCACCTCTGTCATATTGCCAACTTTGGTATTAATTTTTCTTTCTTAAGACCTCTTACATAACACTGCAGTCAAGCTCCCGTTAACCCTGGGATTCTTTTGTTTCCAGTGCTCAGAACCCAAAGTGAATCATTTTCAGTTTGTATTGTTTCTTTTCATATTACTTTGTCATTCAGTTATCTTTCTGTTTTTGGCTGCAGCTTGCAGCTCAGGTTATGGAAGAGAAAGACATTGGGTTTGGGATGGTCGACTCCCACAAAGATGCAAAAGTGGCAAAGAAACTGGGTGAGTATACAACTACAGCATAACCTTCATTTAGTCTCCTTCATCTAATTGATACTTGCAGGTCCAAATAACTTTAAAAACAATCTTTGAGTGTAATTTCCCTCAATCATAGGCCTGGAGGAGGAGGGCAGTGTGTATGTTTTTAAGGCTGATCGGGTGATCGAGTTTGACGGCTTGCTCTCTGCTAACACCCTGGTGGAGTTCTTGTTGGACGTGAGTAGAGTAATTTGAGGGCAGATTCCCAGCTGCTACCCCTCATCAACACCAGTCTTTCCAAAGTCAACATCTTTCCCCAGTACTTCTAACTCCACTTTCCGTCTGTCTCTAGCTGTTGGAGGAACCAGTGGAGGTGATAGGAAATGCTCTGGAGCTGAGAGCCTTTGATAGGATGGAGGAAGACATCCGCCTCATTGGCTACTTCAAGAACGAGGACTCTGAGCGTGAGTGTGACAGGCATAGATAATATATTTGTATAATGCGTATGTTTTTTGCTGTCTGAACACAGAATCTCTACCTTATAAGATGGGTCTTTGATGGACTTTCTGTGGCTCATGCCCTTCATTATAACATGAGCACATTTTAACCCCCTCATCTCCATGGATTTACAGATCCATTTTTACCACTGCTGCTCACACAGCTGCCACTGTCTGGTCCCATCTCGCATGCTGTGGAAGAACTGAGTAGTGTAGTTGTGTTGATGAGCTACATCTACATCCCATCTGAACAACTGTGGGAGCATTAAGTCGAGGTCAAAGTTCAGCTATTTCCGGTCCCTGATGTGCAAATGTCATCTATACAACAGCCAAAGAAAGCACAAACAGATGTGATCAGGAAAACAAGAGCACAGCAAACCCCTGCTGCTTAGAACATAATACAATCTAATAACACTGTATTCTCTACATAAACCCTTCTGTCTTCCTGTTCTCTTTCATCCTCAGATTATGAAGCGTTTAAAGAAGCAGCAGAGCAGTTCCAGCCCTACATGAAGTTCTTTGCCACATTTGAGAAATCTGTGAGTCAAAAAATCTATAAGTAACAAATAAACACACACACACACACACACACACACACACACACACACACACACACACACACACACACACACACATCATTACTCTTGAGTAATCTGTGTTTGTTGCTTCAGGTTGCCAAGGAGCTGACTCTGAAGTTGAACGAGGTGGATTTCTATGAGCCCTTCATGGAGGAACCAGTCACCATCCCAGGCAAGCCTCACTCTGAGGAGGATCTGGTGGAATTCATAACTGAACACAGACGGTAAATGTTGAACAAATGTGTATTCAACCAACTTCATTGTGACTTTTTGAAAAGATTTGTAAGACCAAGCAAACAGAATTTGTAGTTGAAAACAGGGGTTTTATTTACTAAAAATTGCAAAAACAATATCAACCAAGAATTTAATAAGTAGGCCTATAAAAGAATGCCAACAAAATGTAACTATACTCAATATAACAGCAAGTAAACAAGGTGTTAACTGATAAAACTGTTGTGACACAATGACACATGAGGGAACATATATAGAGGTTTGGCTGAACTACATAATACACAAGTGGTAAACAAGATGACACCGACTATAACTAAATACAAAGCATTATGAACTAAATCCAAATCCCCCTAAAACATGGCAGCACATGAGTTGGCCCGAAGAGTCCTCAGTCACACCTTTTGCTCCACTAGGTAAGGTGGCATCACACTATTGCTTAAACATCCTGTAACATTCAATGTGTTTCTGTGCTTTCAGACCAACTCTGAGAAAGCTGCGTGCAGAAGATATGTTTGAGACCTGGGTGAGTGATCAATGTCTGGCTGCAGGCAACATTAACAACTTTAAAGTTAGTTTTACCTGACACTTATATTACAATAAGTGACATTGACATTTATATTTGTCTTTTTCTTCTCAGGAGGATGATATTGAGGGCATCCACATTGTTGCTTTTGCAGAGGAGGAGGACCCGGGTAAGAGCATATTATACGTTATACCAATATTTGTTTGTGAAGTTAGATGAGAGGATTGATACCTCTTTGACCTGAGTGGTGTCAATCTTCTCATCTAAAGGAATAAGTACATTACTCAAAATGTCGCACAACTACTTCTTTAAATCAGTTGTAATGTGTTCTCTTCTTCTGGTTCTAGATACTGAATACTTCTAGTTTTGTATGCACTGATGTTGTGTGAAATTGTGTCCAGATGGTTACGAGTTCTTGGAGATCCTGAAGGAGGTGGCCAGAGACAACACCAACATACCTGAACTCAGCATCATCTGGATTGACCCTGATGACTTTCCCCTGGTGAGACATGACACCTCTGAGCTCAGACAGACACAGAGGCAGGCAGACAAGAAATGTAGTGAAACATGTAAAGAAAAGAAAAGGTGGGTAGATATTTAGTTCAGCAGGCAGGTCTAATATGATATTTTTTTCTGGTGGCCCCCTTCAGCTGATCCCCTACTGGGAGAAGACCTTCAAGGTGGACCTGTTCAGACCGCAGATTGGAGTTGTCAATGTTACAGATGTAAGTCCCTGACCACCTATCTGACATGACATGAATGTTGTGTTGAGTTTCTGCTGACATTCTGTCTGTCTGTCTGTCTGTCTGTCTGTCTGTCTGTCTGTCTGTCTGTCTGTCTGTCTGTGTGTGAGCAGGCAGACAGTGTGTGGATGGAGATGGACGATGAAGAGGATCTGCCCACCCCCCAGGAGCTGGAGGATTGGATCGAGGATGTGCTCTCGGGCGCGGTCAACACTGAGGATGATGATGATGTTGAAGACGACGACGACGACGACGATGATGATGACGACGACGACGATGACGACGACGATGATGAAGATGATGAAAATGATGTTGACGATAATGATGAGGAGGATGATGGTGACAATGATGACGAAGAGGATGAAAACGAGGATGATGATGATGATGATGATGATGATGATGATGACGACGACGATGATGATGATGATGATGATGATGATGATGATGAGTAATCCATTGCCTGAGAATAGTAAACGTTGATTCTTCAGTTTTTATTCTTCAGGCTGAGTTAAACAGGGATTCTAGACAAACTATTGTACTGTAAAATAACTTTTCACTAAGGAATAATTCCAAATTTGTACCGACTATGTCCCTCCTTATAACAATAACAACAATGATAATAATAAGTCTATTTAATATTCAATTCATGTCATTTTCTGACAATGTAAATAAGCCTGGAATGGGTTTTGGGATTTAAAATAAAAGATTTATGTTCTTAAATGTCTGGTTCAGACATTTACCTCACATTACATTCATTTATATATAAGTACTGTATATAAATGCTTGTTAATAAAGGACTGTTGATGTCAACTATTACTGTCATCAAATTAATTTTTTTATTTTAAACCACTACATTGGAGGTACTTCTACTTTATTTGAGTATTTCCATTCTATTACTTTCTACCTCTCCCCTATATTGCAGAGGGAAATGTTCTTTTTACTCCATTGAATTTACTCGTTACTTTTCAGATTAAGATTGTACATGAAAAAAACATATAGGCATATTAGATACATTGTATTGTCAAAATTAGTGGTATCAAACCCTTTTGGCTTGTGACCCTACAAAAAGCAACATCTAGTCGGGGTTCCTTGTCACTTTCACCAAAACATAAATCCAAACTTTTATAGCAGAACTTTTTCTTTCTTTTACCATTTATTTTTCACCACTACAACTCCTATATGTCATTTATGTCAACAAACATAACAAAAACTTTTCCTTTTATACTTTAAGTACATTTTGCTGATAACACTTGAAGTGAAATGCTGAATGCAGGATGTTTACTTGCAAGAGAGTATCTTTACATTGTTGTGTAGGCAATTTCACTTAGTAAATGATCCGAATGCTTCTTCCACTGAGCAGCCCTTTCAAAACGTAATTTCTTTCACTTATAATCTGTTCATTTACATATGTTGTGGCTCATTATCCTCAGTGTCAATAAACCAAACTGGGTGGTAAATGTGTGTTTCCATTCCCCTTTGCTTTTATTCTCATTCCTCCTCTTTGGTAACACAACTTAAGATGTAATGTTTGGTTTACCTAGAAAAGGTACATTTTCTGCACAGGGGGTTATAAAACCACATGCTGACAGCCTCCATTTTGAACAGCAAAACTCTAATCTCTTCTTTCATCTCTTACTACTTCCTCTTTCTCCATCAGGTTTATTTCTCACCTGAATTAATGGGGCAGGCAGCAGCTGCACAGGGAGATAATAAAGTCATTATTGCATTGACACTGGAAAACTCATCAGAATGCTAATTCCTCATGTTTCTCTTGCTCTTTTGCATTCCTACACTTTTACTTTGCTTTGCTGCTTCCTATTTTCTTTTGTGACTTGGTGCTCTCTCCTCGTCTCCCTTGGCCAACAGTGGAAGAAAACACAATATGCAACAACAGGGGAGGTTTCTTGATCCATTGGTTTGTAGCTACTTTAACAGACCCAGAACGTAACCTGTATTTGAAAGCAAAGCAGCAAAAGTAACCTCAACAGAGATGTATATAAGAGTTTTATTTAGGTAACATTTTTTCTTATTAAATTGATATTCTTTGTTGCCTGGTACTGTATGGTCAGTATTGGGGACTTCAGCCACCAATTTGCTTGATGCAGCTTTGGAAAGAATAGGCCTAAATTATTTTGTTAATATAATTAAGATCTATATCTGGCATGAAGTCACAACTGCAGAAGCACCACGGAACGTAATTAATAACAAATTTAAATAAAGTGATGCACATTGTGTTTATTACGCCCAACATCTGATATCTGGACACTAACAGAGTCCTTCAACGCTACTAGGGTTCAACACAGGAGGAGGTGTAAGAAATATAAATGTTCTTTTTAATGTTAAAATCATCTCATTCTTTTTTATAACCAGTTTTATACCTGAATGCCTTATTGTAGTAAACGCTTCCTATAATATACATATATAATACATGTAATTAAAAATATCAATAGCCAAATTGTTTTAAAATTCTCACTACACTACAAGTTTGTGCACAGAGGTCTTGTAGTTGTTTCTTGTGAAATAACCAAAAACCCCTGCACACTGTCAATCCCTTGAAATCACTTCATACTTTCATCAGGTAAAATTCCTTCCATTACTTTTCTCTGGATTCAAGAACTAGTACTGTGAAGGCTACTGAAAGCTGACCATTATTAACGAAAGATCCCATGTGAGCAATCAATCATCACTACATAAAAATGCAACAATAATCAAATGCCTTGAAAAGGTCAATACAAATATTTATTTTGTTTTACAAATGTGACTTTGACACAGCAGCTGTGATTTTACATGTTCTGTTGTATAAAAGAAGACAAGGACAACTTGGGACTCATGACTAGTTAGCTGCATGACATTTAGGAAATCAATCTCTTTTGTTCATTATGTTCCCTTTTCTCTCTCTCTCTCTCTCTCTCTCTCTGTCACACACACACACACACACACACACACACACACACACACACACACACACACACACACACGGTTGGAAACTGCACATGTATACTGAGCACATCCTAAATATGTATAACTGAGGCACATGTGTAGTCCAGAACTATTTACAACCACCAACACTCTAAAAGCCTAAACTAAACTACACTGTCAGTGACCACGGTAACACTTGTGTAAATATAAATTTACGACATAACAGGCCTCATAAATACAATGGGTTTTTTTTAAAAATACAGATCAAATATTAAACAAATTAACAGTTTAATTGAAGTTCAGGACAGTGTTCCTGTTCCAGTAGTTGTAGATAGGTGGCAGTAGTGTGACACTGAGACAAAATACTGACAGCAGAAATACTGACACTGGGTTGAGCTAATTTACACTAAATTATTGATTTACAACACTTGTTTAAACATTTGCCAGCATGAGATAAGACTTGACTATTAGAGAGGGGTTTGGAGAGAATGTCCTAAATCTTTTGGAAATGCTGAAATAAATATTCCTTTAGGTTATTTTCTTATGCTTATGGTGGGGTATAATTCACTTTGCTGACTGATTTCAAGTATGCAGAGAAAAGCTGTAATAATACACCCCCTTTGTGATGAATTATGATGAAAATCAGGGCCGTATGTTTTGAAATTAAATAGCAAAAGGCTTTTAACAGAGATAAAAAAGTTCAAACACATGAACCTTATAGCTGTCCAAACATTTAGTCCCTCTGCTAGTCTACAAAAAGATCTGTGTACACTGCACACACTTAACTACAAACGCGAAGATAATGAGCAGCCACATGTGTTTATTCATAATCTATTGACTAGACCATCTATACTCAGCTGTACTGTGGTTGGCATTCAGTCCGAGAGACTCCAGTGATTTGTCTGACATTTACAAACATGTCTTCATCTATTTACAGTCCAGTTATCTCCACAAATACAGCGCAGACAGACAAGGTAAAAAAAATCTTTGACAAGGTAAAAAAAATTATTCAAGCAATGCACAATTCTGATATAAAAAGTACAGGTAAAGGTAAGTAAAGGGATAAAGTATATTCACATATAAATACTGTACATACATCTGTAATACAGGACAGTTAAATAATCATTGCTAAGATTGGAAAGAGTTTTGGTGAAAAGGGTTCAGGGTTATATCAAATGTCCTGGTCATTAGCATCGCTAAGGAGAAAGAAGAGACAGGTCGAGACAAATCCCGGGTGTACACTACACTCAAAACACACACATACACACACACTTTCGCATCCTAGATCACATACTCCTCCGAAACGATAAACTCTCCCACGCAGGCACACACTGGCACATGCAAATACAGGGAGAAGAAAATGTGTGAGGGTCATCTGTCGTGCATAGAGGAATACCTGAACTGTGTTCTGCAAATGTCAGGACAGAGAAAGCCAAGCATATTCCCTCACGCTTTCTGTCTTTTATCATCTTCCATGTCGCCCGGGACAAAGACAAGGACACAAAGATACTCTATGTGAGAAAATTACACAAACATAAGTACAAAAAACAGTACAAAAAGCTATTTTTGAAAAATCGGATAAATGTAACAGTCCTGTGAGTCCAGATCAGCAGCACTGGTCCGCTGTGTCACCGTTAAACTGAGGTTTCTGATTGGAGCAGCAGTAGAAACTTGTGAGACTTGGGGTCGATGAACTCCTCAGTCAGTCGGATGTAAGGGATGCTCTTGACGGTCACAGCTAAACTAAAGTCAAGACACCTCAGCAGGAACTCTGTCCCCTCCTTTATGCCGCCGGTGACAGAAGCCTCGCTTACCAAAGTCCACTGGTCAGCCATCCAGCGCTCAGGGCCGTACTGCAGGGTCGGGCCAGGGGCCAGGTAGGCTTCAAGGAAGGCCTGGACACAGAAACAGCCAATGACATGACAATGTTCACCAAGAAAATACTTTTTAAATTGATTTTAAACCTATTGGATGGTTTAAAGGATATTTTGTTTATTACAGCCTGAGTGGGTCTCATTTGAATAGTTTTGGCCACTATTCCTAATTGCAATTCCTATTAAATTAATTGTTGAGATCTGGGAATATAGCAACATCTCTACAAACAGTAGAACGAGGCCAGAAACCGGGTTGTCTCATGCTGCCTGTGGGAGAGTGCCAAGGTTCAAACGTATTGCAAGCCAGAATTGCTGCAGATCCAAGCCTTTTGTATTATCTTATCAAAAGATTTTGCTTTCATTGGCTCTCCTTCTTTCTGTGAAGAAACACGAGCAGTAAAACAATAATATACGTACATTTTAAAACCTTGGCTCTGAAAACAACCTGTTTCATTGACAAAACTCTTGTTTGTTGCAGTAATATCATTGTGTTCAGAGATCTCAGCATTTACATTGTTGAGTACAATGTTGTTGTCAACGTTTTAGCAGTCATACCAACGTATGCCTTATTTCTGATGAATTACTGAAGCTAAGCAGTAGTGGGCTTGGCTAGTGCCTGGATGGGAGACCTCAAGTTGCTGTTGAAAATGGTGTTGGTGGCCCAATAGGGGCAGCCTATCCTCTGGTCCTAAAAAATCCTAAAGCCCTAGTGCAGTGATGAATTCATTGGATGAAACATTAAACTGTGGTCCTGACTCACTGTAGTCATTCAAAAAGCCATGGCACTTATCACAAATAGTAGGGTGTTCCTCTGTAACCTGGCTCTCATCATCTGTCCACCTAATCATCACTCAGAGTAATTGGTTCAATATTTCCCTCCCTTTCCACTTCAAGCTGATGTGTGGTGAGTGTTGTGGCACAACGTTTCTGCCATGCAACACGAGTTGAGTTTGACCCCGTCCCTGTGAAGAGCTTTGGGTATCAAGATAAATCCATTATTGATCTTATCTGATAGAGACAATGGCCAAACTTACCTTAGGGCTCATGTTATTGATGAGGCAGAAAGCGAGGTGCTTCTGGATGCTCTCCATGCTGTGGCAGTGCTGCCTCCTGGTGGTGCGGAGGTACTTCTGCAGGGCACGGGCCATAGACGGAAATATAGCCAGAGCTGCTTCACGTACATCCATAATGTCAGACGGTGTCGCACGCTCATCCTCTTTCTTCATCCGACGGACATGTGTGAAGGCCTCCTCCACAGCCACTACCAGCCTGACAAAGAAGGAACACACACAGCAGTTAGCTGACTATCAGCTCTATGTATTTAATCCATACCAGTCATTAGGCAACACTCTTTTGTCACTTTTCAGACATGGAATACATCATATTGTACATAATATCATCTGTTAAAGTGATTGTCTTTCAGATTCTTTAAATCAGCAAGTTTCCCACTGTTATTTGTTCCTGTGACTCACCTGGCTCTACGTTTACGGACCCTTCTCTCGTAGTCGGCCTCTTCATAGTATAGCTCACTGTGGGCAGTGTCTTTGCGTTTGCTGGCAGCTGTAACCATGGCCCGTGACTGATTCCCATTACCAGGCTGCGCTCCTGCTGTGCTCCCCGGGGCTGAACCGCAAGGAGAGGACAGAGGCAAATTGTTTATATCAGCCTGAGCTGGAGGTAGCAGCCCCTGACCCCACCAGGTTCTGATTAATGGGCTGGATCTCAATTTTAAATCTTAGACAGAAGAGGTCAGTTGGAAAGAACTCAGATCTTACACATCACAGGAAGAAGTGTGAATCAACCTTGTCAGAATTATATCCATTTTACATGTCTTTCACTTTTGAGTAGGAGTTGAGTGTATGTTAATCTTTGTTACTTATCTGGGGCATCCTGCCAGATAATGTGTCTCAGTCACAGAGAATGTTAATTATAGCACTGAGAAAAGAGGCAATTTCCACTGGAAGCATCCACACTTCTCCTCAGACAGTCAGATGCAAAAACCTTTTTATTGGGGTGTGGATTAAATATTCATCATTTTATACTTCAAAGGCCATAGTTCTTGTCTGATGTGTGAATTTACTGGTTTGTGTGACAAACCCATAAAGCTAATGGAGCTTGTACAGCAGCATATTAGAGTTCCTGGGGTTTTATTAGGGGGGGGAGTCAGATACGGTACATATTCATGAAGATCATCAGATTGGGGGAGGTTATAGAGAGTAAATGCTGCAGGTCAGGTAAGGATATAAATCATTAATAATCTGATCTGCATATGTGTGTTAATGCGTGTTTTTTGTGCAGGTGAGAAAGACACATTGAATATAGTAATAAAACATGGATAAAAAAAACTCCTAGTGTATACTGTGGAAAGAATGCAGTCAGATCATTTGCACGGGGAGCATTGTAAATATTCTCAGAGTAAAATATGGGTAAACACCAGCCTCTTTAACTTCCTGGCCTACATATTCATGCAATGAGATGAATGCCTGTGAATGAGAGAAAGAGTGGGGTGGTGGTGGGTTTGGGTGGGTGGAGGTTGAAGCGAGCAAAAAAAGAAAGTCGGAGCGAGCGAAGCTTGAGACAGGCTGAGCGGGAGGAAGGAGAGATGTGGGAGTATGTGAGGAATGAGCGTTACTCTGATGAATTATTTAAGGCTTGAAATTCCACGGCCCTCTAGAGGCCTCTCTGCTGCACTTTGATAGGGAAGGGGGGTGGGGTCGATGGGACGAGCTATGAGGACACCATATCCCATACCGCACCCCAGTCATAGATCATCATATCTACAATGTTGTGCAGTGAGTGGAGGATTAATGGGTGGCGAGTGAAAGAGCCTTTTAGAAAGAGAGCAATATGAGGCATTACAGGATATGTGGAGGCAATACAAAGCAGGGAGGCAATACAATCAGTGGGAGTACATGTGTGTCTTAGTGTGTGTGTCTGAGTGTGTGTGTGCTTGATGCATTGTATACATTATGTCAGGGATGGAGGCTTCAGAGTGCACTGAAGGTGAAGTGAAGTGAGCCGTGAAATTAGCAGCTTCCTGTGATAAAGTGCTGTGTAAAGGGACGTTGAGGATTTTTATCTGTACTTACTGTCCAAAAGGTATGTTCTCAGTTTGTTTTTAAAAGCTGCTCATGAAAGAGATGAAGATGGAAAAGGAAACATCACAACAAGAGAGCAGAAGGAGAGGAAAACCTGCTGAACCGGCATATGTAAAAGGGGACAACAAGTGAAATGTTACATAATATAGGAGGTAGTTATTGGGACACATGAGGCAACTAACCGTCTACGTTGTAGACCTTTAGCCCGGCCAGGTGTTTGGCAGCCCGGTGCTTCGAGGCAGACAGAAGTGCTGGGTTATGGAGTGGAAAATCTCTGTAGTAATACTCCAAAATGGACAGAGCAGCCTTCTGAATGCTGTATGAGATGAGAGAGAAATTAAGAGAGAAAACTCAGAAACGGTAGGAATACGATTTACATTATGGGAGATTTACATAAGATACTGAATAATGCACTCGCATCCTCTGAATAGTAAGCAGAGTTTTTAGACCAACTATACATTCTGTTGTATTTTTTCCTTGCCTGATAAAGACCAACGTGTAATTAAAATGTTTGAATTAATCAATTAAAAGAGCACTGCACCGATTTAGCATTGAACTCCTAAAACATTGTCAGACAGTCAAAACATTACATCAAAATCACTGCAGCAGAACCAGAGATACTGCCTTTTTTAATCCATGCATTGTGCATGTATTGCCCACAATGCAATGCTGACAATCCAGTCGGAGATTTGGGTGTGTAATTAGAAATGCCTCATGTAGCATTGAGTTGCTAGCCTCAAACAGAAACTATGGAGGTCCAGTAAACTCACCTCTCCAACTCCAAACCCCCAGATTTTTTTTTTTCGACTGATGCTGACCCAAGTGACATCACTTGGGTCAATTTATCAGGTTTCAAGCAGTTCCCTTTGAAGCCACAAAAGGCTTCACATATGTAGTAAACAGACTTTGATGTGTAAAATCATTTTCTTTTAAGTTATTGGAGGCTATTAACGCAATGTGTGTGGTTTGTGTGTTTGGGCCTCCTCTACAGGCCTTAACTTCCTGTTTACCATCCTGGAAATTCATTCTAAAACACTCTATGAGCTTTAGTCTTGTCGCGCAAACCTCATCTAATTACCACTGCACTCTCCTTGTTCTGTCACACACTCGGTCAGAACAGAAACAAAGTAAGAAAGCCACAGGGCGAGCGCCTGTGTCCGGCACCCCCCCCGACTCCTAGAATAGCTTGCCTTGAGCAAACTAGATGAAGAGGCTGATGAGTAACTCAATTACTGCCTGTGCCAGTCTTCCCTGTGGATATTTATTACACACATACTTCAACATGATAGAGTGTAATGACCGTGACCAAGTGCCAGTGTGTGTGTCTCAATGTGTTCTGTAAGCAAAGGTCATATTGACACGTGAAACTGTAAAATATATATATTTATAGTATCTTCTATAGTATCAGGAACTGTATGTAAAGCACACAGAAGAGGTAATTACAGTGAGGGAGCTTTTGTACCTGAGCTGTCCTATGTTGTAGTGACGCGTTTCTCCATCAGTTGAGCGCATGACACACACGCTGTAGCAGGGCTGCAAGTGACGAAGCTCCAGCAGCACCACGGCCAGGTAGTGGACAAACAGCTGCGAGTCCACGAGGGACACCGCAAACTGGACGATACCATGGTAGTCCTCGTCCTGCTTAGACCACATCACAGGTATAATGAAAACATTCACGGCTGTCGGGTTCATTTTATTTAACCAGGAAATTGTCACAGTGTCATCAAGATTAAAAATCTTGTTTCAGAGAGAATAACGGTCAAGACAGACAGCAGTAACGAGTAACACACAAACTACACACACATATCATGAAATATGAAATCAGAATTAAACAAAATAATATGATCTAATCATGAATACAATTTCTAATATTAAAAATATATAAAGTATAAAAAGAGAGAGAACATTAAAAGACAACTAAGTTATTTGTTAGGGCAAAAAAAGAAACTCTGATGCCTCAGCCTCATTCCTGTTAAAATAACCTCTTAAACTCTCGATAGTCCTCTTAAAATTTTAATTAAATGGGTTTTTAACCATGAATATTGTTGTAAAATTAACAGAGAGTACTTTTTATTCTTAAATTCGCCATTAATAAAATTCTCTTACTCTAGCACACTCTCAGACCCACCTGAGCATCAAGGATCCGGACCCCGTAAAAGAGCCAATAAGACATGGTGAGCAAGAGTGTAAGTGTGGTGAGGAAGGCACGGTACACACACACTCTGGGCAGGCTGGCGCGGCCTGGTCGGAGAAACAAGGCCCAAATGGCCACCAGTAGGATGAGGAGCTTGAAGGAGATGGAGAGGAAGAGGCCCTCGCAGGCTGCGCCACAAGCCTGCAGTCTGTCGGCCCACATCACAGCTGGAAGAAGCAGGAAGACCAAGGGTGTGGCCACCACCAGCAGCCCCACACACAGGCCCACAGCCAGGGGAAGGTAACGGCGGAAACCTTGGGTCCGGTCCTGTATTCCCTTCCCCAGTCCAACCACTTCCTCCTGGGATATACTCAGCTCTGAGGTGCCTGTCACTGCAGTGGTGGTTTCCCCCCAGTTATCATCCTGAAGTAGCACAGAAATAAAGGCAAAGGAAGAGTATGTTATAAGCCATGGATATTTATTTGGATATGTTGCATTGTCTATGTTGGCACTTAGAAATTATATATTTTACTTTATTAAGCTGCATTAATTGATGTTTTTGGTGGAAAAAGCTGCAAATTATCACATGCATTGCTAGATACCACTAGGAGTAAGAGAGATCTGTTGGCTTTTTCATCACTCATTTGTCATTTTAAAATGGCAGACAAAACAGAGCAAAATTCCCAGGAAACTGTCAAAATCAACTGATAAATATAAACCTGGATCTAACAGGCAAAAATACCTCCATTGTCTTATTTTATTCCCTTATTTGCACGAGAAATCACCATTTATGCACACAGCACCGCCATCGTGCCATTTAGTGATGTTTGATTTTCCTGGAGTTTTGCCTCATTATGACAGTCTTTTTCAGAAATTCAAAGTCCCATTGAAGTAATATAGGATGACAGCTTGGGAAGTACAGTAACGTTCACATCGGCTGGAAGATACACACCGACATATGCGAGTACACACACACACACACACACACACACACACACACACACACACACACACACACACACACACACACACACACACTGAATCACAACAACAAAAGCTGAAGCTTTCTAGGCCCATCAGTGCAAATTAGACTCATTTTTTTCTTCCTAGCCAGCAGGGTCATTTTAAGCATAAATCTTTCCAACAAAGGGAGTATAAATTAATGACAAGTCTGCTCTAAAGAGGCATTTATTTTTTGTGTGCCTGTCATTAATTCAAGTAATTAGCCATTCATTGTCCCCCAGAGTGTCACACGCATTGTATATCTCTCCAACTACAACCAATCACAGGAGACACAGCTGCAGAAAGAGTGATGAGGGCTGGAAAAATGACAAGCTGAACAGATAAGCCTCCGTGGCATCACACACATGTGCACACACACACACACCTGAGCACATCAAGCAGTCTGTGAAGCCCCAAACTCGAGCCATATGTTCCCGACAAAGCTGCAGGGAAGCCAGACATGCTGTGATTAACACAGACAGAAGATGGTCGCATTAATTCTCCCCTGTCTAGAGTGTGTGTATCCCCTCTGTAAACTGTGACACCCCAGGCTATTAAAAAGTTCATATAACAATCTCAGATTCAGTGAATCCTGCTGCTATTTGTGGAATGTGAAATATGAAATCGACGCAGCCCTTCCAAATTTCCAATCTGGAAAAAGCAGCTTGAAAATATGCTATAGAAATATGAATTCTGGCCTCCATTACTGTTCACAGCTAATTAACTCAGACATGCTGGAGGAGCGGATGCCATCAGGAGCCAGAAGATGGATGAGCGTGAGATGAGGCGAGGGAGGGAAAGTGAGAGAGGGAGCGGTGGCAGTGGTTAAGGTGTGAGACAGAAGTAAACGAGGAGAGAAAGAAAGGAGGTTGGGGGGTGCACAAGCAGCATTTAATTCTGGGTATCTGTCTGCCAGGCTAATGTGTGAAGCCAGAGGTCAGCTGTGGAAGTGTAGTGTCAACTCCATTAAGTCTCCAATCTCATTTCTATTCCCCTCACATCTCTCCTCTTTTGCTGCCTTTCTTTCTTAAGCCAACTCTTTTAACAGGGTCCCAACCTTTGGAACAGGGTGTGTGACCAATCAACGTCATCCCACACTTCAGTGAAAGAGGAGAACCAGTGGGATTACAAAAAACTATATCCTGTTCAGCTTGACAGTTCAATCTTAATCATGGAAACAGCAGTCAACTAAATGGTCCAGTTATTGGCTTGTTCTAGAGCTTTTGACAAGCTTGCGCAGTATTCATCAGCAGATACAGGTTGCTAAGTTGTTACGTGAGCTCAATTGGGAGCAAAATATATCTTTTCCCCTCCATTTTGGTCCTCATTCGTGCCTCACTCATCTGTGAGGCAGTTTTATTGTTTCGGCTGAAAGAGGAGGTAATTTAGAAACTTATTTTTATGTTTCTTTATGTGGTCGTGTATCTTCACAAAAATGACGTGAAAACACTAGCGTGGATGCACGTCCTTCTCACACGTACAGTAAAGGACATTTTCAACTATAGCTGGTTTGGTGTAGTAGGTTTAACACAACAGGACTTATTTTAAAAGGGAGTAATTTTCACAGTCACTGTAGGAAAAGCACAGGTCTAAATAATGAAATTAATGATGGCTCAATTCCATTTAGCTGTGACACTTGAGTAGAACAGAGCCATTGTAAACACTGGGCTTTTGCTACTACGACAAGTCAAAATGTCTGCTGTGAAAAAGGCCTATTGAATCAGAACTTTTAGACAGTTCAGGTTGGTAAGCGTCAGCCTCCAGTCAGCATGATCAATCCTGCTCCATTGCGTTTATACAGACAACCCTTCATGCTAATGTCTCATGAGAGAAAACAACATATCAGCTACCAAGCTAATACACTGCCAGCCATTAAATCTCAGTGGATTAATCCCAAAGATTAATGCTCCACTAATCAGGCCTGATCTCTATATACAGTGAAGCGAGGAGAAAGTGTAAGTAACGGAGAGAGAATGAAACAGAGGAGGGTTACAGGACTGATAGAGAGAGAGAGAGAGAGAGAGAGAGAGAGAGAGAGAGAGAGAGAGAGAGAGAGAGAGAGAGAGAGCTGCTGCTTGCTTGGCAGTTCTTTTCATCTGGCAGAGGCTGAATATGGATTATGGTTAGGCCTGTTCCACCATCACAAAGCACAACAACACAACAACATACTGATTAGCACTGTTCATAGAGACTCACACACACACACACACACACACACACACACACACACACACACACCAAACAGTCTGCCAACTGCAAAACACAATGGCTAAGCCCCACTGGCCTGGGTGGAGGGTAAAATGACATTTTCACATTTTGTGTGTTTGTACTGGGGAGCAGATTTGTGTCACTGTGTATGTGTTTGGGTTCAAAGCAGTCATAGGATGAAAACAAATGACATTAGTTTAAAATGCCTGGGTTTCCTATAATTTACTCCCTTCTTTTTGTTGTTGCGGTTATTTTTACATTGCATAAAAGGACGTGAGCGTAGCAGGTATGAGTAGGTGTAAGCAAAGCAGAAGCAATGTAAGTATATCCTTCTTCTCCATATGCTTTGGTGTTGCTAGAGCTAACATTGTGAATTGAAGCTGCTGCCTTCTGGCACAAAGTCACAGCCTCTAAGTCTCACAAAGCAGCATGGACAGTCTCAGTAACAGACTTGGCGCTCTCTCTGTGACTCACTTACACACACACACACACACACACACACACACACACACACACACACACACACACACACACACACACACACAGAAGCTGTGGTCCAAGACCGTATCCTTATGTCATAGGCATGCGTGTAAACATGGAGGATTATTCATATCAGCTTTCCTCAAAGTGGCGTTTGGCTGGATGCTAAAGCTAATCTCAGTTTGTGAGAATGTCTCTCTACACTGGAGCCTGTTAGTGTTACAGCTACTCTGCCATCTAACAGTGCTGTTCCAAAAAAGCACTGGCTGCTGGTGGTTGTTCTGGTAATGATGGTGCTGCTGCTGTGCCATTTGGACACATTTGTCTGGAGGGCTAAAGCAACACAATGGCAGATTACCTTACAATGCGGACAATGGACGTAAGATACGAGGTGACAATCACATGACATTTTGGAATGTGGCTGCCCAGCCAGAAGTGGTTGAGCAGAGACGGAAAAATAGGTCAGACCTTCTAGAAATTGTCAGAAAAGCCTGGCTGAAGACATGTTCACATCGCATTAAATACGACTCCATATTCTTAAATCAAATCATAATCACATCAGGAATGTCTTTTGCAGGCAGCTTGCACCACACACACACACACACACACACACACACACACACACACACACACACACACACACACACACACACACACACACACACACACACACACACACACACACAAACACACTCTTTTTTTTCTTACACACAAACAGTACATACACAATGACAAAATACGCTCTTTTTACAACAGATTTCAAGTAGGTCAGAGAGCCTGTGAAGGCAGCCCAAGGCAGAGTTCTCTCTGAAGAAAAATATCTATAACTCTTTTCCTCCTCCTTTGGTTGTATTTTTTGCTTCTCATTCACCTCAGCTTTCTTTAACTTCCATTGCAATTGACCTGATCATTTGCACTGAAAGGAATAGCCTGACATTTTGGGAAATACACTTATTTGCTCCCTTGCTTAGAGTTAGACGAGAAGATCTATGCCAGTTTCATATCTCTCCGTTTAATATGAAGCTGGAGCCAGGGGACAGTTAGCTTAGATACAGAGGGGAAATAGTTAAAATGCCTGGCTCTGTCCAAGAAAAATGGCTGCCAGCAACTCTACGGCTCACTAATTGACACGTTACGGCTTGTTCGTTTAATAGGCACAAAAACCAAGATGTAAAAACAACAAGTGATTGTTTTATGGGGGGTTATGCCTGGCAAGCTCACAAGTACAAAAAGACTCCAGGAAGTCACTGCTCCTGTAAAATAAATAGTCTGGTACATAAAATCCACAAGCTGTTGTTTTTACACTTTGGTTTTTGTACAGATTAAACAAATGAGATATAGCGTGTTAGCTTTAGAGGTGAGAGAGTATAGAGGGTTTCCACTCTTTATTCAAGGCAAAGCTAACCAACTGCTGGCTGTACACTGATATGAGATCTTCTAAACTAACTCTCTGTAAGAAAGCCAATAAGCGTATAATGTCGAGCTTCTTCTTTAAATAAAGTTAAAAATTTGAATGCACCTTTAGACCCTGCTGTTGACTAAGTTAAATATACACTCTGAGCTGTATTATCACAGCATTTTCCCTGCGTCTACTTAAAAACCTATTTTGCTTGCGGAGCTCAGCAAAATCAGCTTTATGGACTGACTGGTACCAATTTGCTCTGCTTTCAAAGCTCTCACGCTTGACAGTTATACCCAGTATCTCTCTCTCTCTCTCTCACACACACACACACACACACACACACACACACACACACACACACACTGTAACACAACGTTGTCCTTACAAATCCGTCCAGGCCTACAAGAGGGATGCTAATCCTCTGACCTATTTGATCCCTTGTCACCATTGTTATTATGTGTCAGGCGTTATGCCAATGGGCAGCCAGCTGTGTAAGGACGAGTTTATAAGGTCATGGTGCAGAGTTCATAGATGGATTACTAGGCTTTCTGGTTTATTCTACAGGAATAAATAACTTCTTTTAAAAACAGCCTGCATTCCGTCACACTTTGGACATCCCCTCTTTGTCGTGCGTACAGTTTTGTGTTACTCCAATGTACACTTCCATGAAAAAAAATACCTGGGCCTCATCTCCAAGATCTGCTGATGGTGTGGGCTCTCCTGGCAGCGGCTCTCCGTTGTGAACGGGGGAGTCCTGGGAGGGGGTGTCAGGGGGGTTGATGACGACGGACCTCTCAGAGCGACTGCTGTCTTTGCTGCTGCTGGCTTTGTGCCGCTCACGGCTTCGATCCCTGGAGATGAACAAACATACAATGAACATGAAGAACAATATAAGAGGAATATAGACACATAAAGATATGATCAGAAACATACTCATGTGCTCATATACTCATTATTGGTGGTCTACAAAATGTCAGAAAATAATTAACAATTTCCTGTTTTGTCTGACTGACAGTCTACAACCTACCAAAAATCAGTTTACTTAATGAATTACTTGTATATGTCAAAGAAAATCTAATAAATTATAAATGACCAAAGAATTAACTATCAAAATATCTGCCTATACATTTTCTATAGAAGAAAATAAATCTAAATCGACTTAATTCAGGTCTAAAATCAGGCATACAAGCAACTCACCCAGCTTGTTTATGAATACTCAAACACAAATACAAATGGGTTTTAGACTATTGTTTCAGGAAAATCAGGACATCTGGACTTTTCTAGGCCAAATGATGAATAAAAAGATAAGCACAACGATAAGACAATTATTCAATAATGATAATAATTGTTATTTGCAGCACTATATGGCAAACATTTGGTGGAAAGGAAGAAAAATGAATATTCCAGCAGAGGAACAGAAGAGTGAGGAATCGACAGGAGGGGAATCAAGTGATTCTCTCATTTGCAGAATAGACTGAGTGAAATAGGTTAGAGCCACTCAGCTGTGACGACCCTAATCCACAAGCCCTGTCTGTCTCAATCTCTAGCTCGGCCTCTCCCTTTCTCTCTCTTAGTCTCTCATCTGATTTATTTGGCTACAACCAACATGTGGTCTGCTCAAACTGAACACAAACACAACAACCTTGATGTGCTCTAAAGGCTTTACATGAAATACTTTTGCAACCAAAGGCTGTTGTGAGTGATGCAGCATGTGATCCAGCAGACATTTGTGTCATGGGAAGGGGGAGAGAGACAGATACAGCGGAGAAGCAGGCAGTCATATGGAAGGGCGGACAGACAGGAAACATACCCATGTCGGTTTGATCTCCCGGAGCGGCTGGAGTGATAGGAGTAGCCCGAGTGTGTCGACTCAGTGTCCATTCCAACGCAGTTCAGAGCCGGCAATTGGCCCGGGGGATGAGGAGAGCTTCGTTGTGTGGTAGAGAGGGTAAGTTGGCAGCAGTACTCAGAAGGAGGAGTGGGTTGCTATAGAGATGGGCCTTAGGAATCCACGATGACTGACAACTACTCCAGATAGCCGCCTTAGTAGCCACATTGACCTGAGAGATAGAGGGTATGAAGCTTGCATTAAAACTTGCTTATTGCAATTACATATACTAGCCAGGCAATATTTTTCTGTACAGGCGTGTGCTCATTCTAATATACGGATAAGACAGGTTTAGTCACCTCTGTAAAATACTTTTTCCTGTCTCTAACAGATATAGCTGGATAATTGGTGTATAATATTCTGGGACTGTTCTGAACTTGGCTTGGAATAATTTACAAGACAAACTTTAATTGGAAACACTGCCCTAAAACTGAGCATTCAAACGCAAACATTTAAAACATGTTTCATGAACAATGTAACTGTTTTTAATTCTTTTTAATTCAGAATTCCATTCCGTCCAGGTCAAAGAAATAATGCATCTCAGGAGACTTCCTGGTTAAGTACAGGTTAAATAGAAATTTAAATAAATAAAGATTTTTGATGAGAATCCCACAGACATACAGTAGGAGCGCCAGGGGAAAACCAAAGGCCAGTGCAACCAGTTTCAACACAGCACTTAATAAGAAATGTGTTTCAAAATGTCATATTTGATATTAACACCTCCTTCTACAAGATGCTTAATGGCCATCCAGGATTTTAGAAATACTGAAGCCAACGCAATGCTGAGGCTGTTTAGTTTATTTATTTATGTATTACTTTTTGGCAAAAAGGCAGTCAAATTCAAACATATAAAAAAAATTTAAAATGGAATTCACTTATAAAATATTCACCATGCGCAAGATTTTAATTGTAGAAATGTATCATCACGTTGCTGAAACCAAGACATCCACACAATAAATGGATTAAAAGAAGGATATAGCTTCATGGCCATGTTGAAAGCATACAAACAAGAGATGTGGTCCTTTTTTAAACAAATATATTCTCAGTTTTATGTCTATGCGAACTCTCCATCCTGTCTTTATGAGGTCAGACTGAAACTATCAGACTCACTTCCTGGGCCCTAATGTATGCTGTGTGATGCATGAGAATGCCTTAGTGCTTGACCATGCATGACCATTCATTTAGACCTCAATCTACACCCTGCCTGTCTCCCAGCTGTTGTCCTGACAACCACCTGGCAATCACCATCCCTCTCATTTTAGTCTGTGTCTTGTTTTATTACCCGGGAATTATTCTCCCTCACGTCGTTTACAGGCTATTTGTTATCGCTGTAGCCAATGGAGCATATAAACAGTAAAACAGCCCATTCAGCATATTAGGATGTGAATTCACACAGCGGCATGGAGATCATGCTCTGAAACGATGGTTAGAGGAAGACACTGCAATGTAGCTGATTTCCATTAAGATGATACGGATGGGGTTGAACGTTTTTCTCTCCTTCCATTACCCATCATGGGAAATGTGGCCACTGTATATAGAGAAACCACAGATTTTCCATTACGGATTCTGGTACAATGCATATAAATTATGTAATAACATTACCACTGGGAGTCTATAGGATTACATGTCTCTGACAAAAGCTATCCATTTGTATAATCTTGCAGGCCTATACAGTAACCTACTGTTATTCAGGTGTGTAATAATGCTGCAGTGACAAAAAGCACAGTTTCTCTGAGAGAGAATAGAACATCAGTCTCCACTGATGCAGCCACTTGTGCTATTAAAAGCAGGGGGACATATGTTGAACAAGGCAGAGCTGCATATATGCAGGACTTCAATAAATATTGTACGACTGCAACACACCACTCACAGCATCAAAGCTCATGTCGCAGCATCAAATTTTAAACACAAAGCAGAGTTTTGACAGAGGAAAGTCACATCTCATCCACCTACATCTGGAGCGTCCACTGTTGCCTTGGCAACACCGGAGGCAGGAGGCCCCATCTAGTAGCCATAATCAATCACCCCTGCTGAGAGTAAATTTGTGTGGTACACATTATGTGTGTGTGTGTGTGTGTAAGGGGGGGGGTGGCACAGTGAGAGGGCACAAAGAGCAAACAATGGCGTCTCATCACACCCAGCACCAGTGTGGTTAAATAAATAACCCCACAAGTTGAATGAAAGCCGTTAACCCCCAGAGTGCTGATCTCTGAGCGCGTGGCAGTGGTGTATGTGGGCCAAGATGATCCCTCTGAGAAGCCACTCATCCACGAGATGAGCATGAAGAGGCATAGTGAACCAGGCCATGTGGAAAATCACAGCCACGGGGTAAAAAAAACTATCAGTTACAAACCAACGGAAAACTATGAATAAAGCATGCGGGCATAACAACGAGTGTTAGGGACGTGCGGCTGCCTGCTTATTCTGAGTCGGTCCATCCAAAAAAATTCAGTAGTTCTCTGAGAGGGACTGAAGGTGTGGAATTTCTCTAGTGAAGCGCAGTTGCTTTGCTGCAGACCGTTCTGGTTGGCTGCACCGAGAAGAGATTCATGAGGGCAGAAAGTGACACTAATGTAAAACAAACACTCATTAACGTGTTTGTTTAGTGGATGGAGGCTGCTGCACAGTGGGAGCGGCTGTAATTATGTACGGTTGGGCTCAGGGGTACAGGCGCATGTGCTGCTATGGACTCATTTTTACAACATAAACTGCACTGTTGCAACAAATATGTGTGGGTCTCCACGGGGAGAGCGGTGACATCTGATAGGTCAGGTTCTTGGCTGCATTTTGCCCTGCTGATCCAGCTCATCAATTAATGATAAACCAGAGAATGTGGGATTTTAGTTTAATATCCTTGGCTGCAAAATCCATGGCTTCCAATCAAGCAGAGAAAGATAAGTGTTTGAATTTGAGATTCCGTTAAAGGGACCGATGCAATGTTGGCACCCTGAATGGTACAGATCAGCCTGGTAGCTCATCTAAAGCACACGCTGACTGAGGCCTGGTTACCATGGCATCCGTGCCCTCCCTCACACCCATTAGCCCTCGTGGCTTCCTTCCTTCATGTGCGCCCTGCCCTGGTGGCATTATGCCCTAATCTGCCAGATGCAGCAGCTGGCAGTCTGCTGTGTTAGTTCATTTCCTTTATCGTTTGTTTCACAATTTCAAAGCAATCTGCAAACTACAAAACCCCAAAACCCCATTGACAACATATACAGCATGATATTACTTTAGGGCCACAACGACTAATTATTTTCATTTCCGATCAACCTGCTCGATTAACTGACCTTTTGGTCTATACAGTGTCATTTACAGTGACACAGTTTTCCAGAGCACAAGGTGACTTATTCAAATTGCTTGTTTTGTCCAACCAGCAGTTCACATTCCAACGGTATTTAATTTACTATCACAGAAGACAAAGAAATGGGCGACTTGAGGACCCCAAACTTCCCAGTTATCAAAACTGTTGCTGATTTCCAACTTATTGTTTTAGCTGTATATTCTTTTAGTTTCATAAAACCCATTCTTTGCAAATGGCAAATAAAACAAAAGCACACACACACACACACACACACACACACACACACACACACACACACACACACACACACACACACACACACACACACACACACACACAAGTAACACAGCCCAGTAAGCAGGATAAGACCTTTCAAACAAATCAAATAATGGGTGACACAGTGTATGCCATTTATGGTGATAACAATCTCCAATCCCTCCATGGACTTCAGATAACCCAGAGGAACAGCTGCTGATTAACATATTAAAACATCGCTGCTGACTGACCAAGATCACATAAAAAGAGCCATAGATGCAGAGACATGAAACTCCCATGGACGCAGCATTTTTTTCCCCTCATTTCATGGACCTCACCACTTGGATATTAGGAACTTCCTTTCATTGTTTGCTGTGACATTTGAGTCTTGGCTCAAAGGTATTTGTTAGATTATGTGCAGAGAGCAAACCTGTGACCTTTGAGTGACTGGATAGAGTCTCAGCCACTCCCACCCTGCTGCTCTTTCACACACATCCACCCCACAGTAAAAGGAGAAAGTTAAGACCTGACACAGTTCTCTGGAATGCAAACTTAGTCCCCCTCTGATCCACTCATGTGGAACTAAACAGAAGTACAGTAGAGGGAGAGAGCGAGCGAGGGACAGATACCTCAGCACATTCCCCGCTTTAAGAGCAGTGCTTTTATGTCTGTAAATACACTACTGTACACTACTCTACAATGCAGTGCCCATTACACCGTGCTATCCAAGCTCTGCAGGATCCTAATGCACCTCAGTAGCCTAAAGGTAGCTGCACTTCTCATTACACTTGTGACACTGCCCTGCCAGCCAGAAAACAGGGTTTAAAAAGAGAACAACGACAAAAGCATTGCCAACACCACTGTCTTTTGATCATTCATGGCAGGAATGGCTTCCAGGGGAATGACTCATCTATTTAAAAGGTTTGCATTCCTCAGTGTCCCTAAACCTCTTCTGCTCAGGACCTATCAGCACTGCTCAATAATAAATGAGTGTAGGTGCTGTTTCACAGTTTTCACTGCAGCATCATGACTCTGAGATATTGAGGGAGACGACACCGACAGTGTCAAGAGGAGGCTCGTCATAGTAACACCTCATCCAGCTGTGCACAGTGCGCGGCTCTGCAGACAGCTGCTGATGATGATGATGGCGATACACACCGTCACCCTGCAGCGGAGGCATGATCTGAAACGCCCTTTCTTTTACAGGCTCCTGGGTCCGGGAGAGTGAGGGATGTGATGTTACTTCTCCGTTACACAGCTGCAGTTTCGGTTACAATAGATCTCGTTTCAGCCACATCCTGAACACCATTAACCACAATGCTTCAAATAATACCTGCATTCTCTTGGTTCTATCTATTTATGTACACACATATGTGATACAGGAGCTAAATAAAATCTACAAGGTTAGATCATCACATAAATGTGGGATAGGAAGACTAAAGGCTACATCTGTCTGATGAGAAGGGAACCATTTTTTTCCACGACGGCAGCATTGAACTTCATCAGTAATTCCTGTGAGGGCTCAGGCTTTTGCCAGCAACGGATATACCCGGTGTAATGGACACGGGATCGCTATTATCAATTCATTTACCTACCTTTATTTCTCAGATGTGTGCCATATCTATTCCTCCTCTTGCGTCTCGGTGAATGCGCCCCCGCTGCTGCCGCCGCCGCCGCCGCCGTTGCTGTTGCTGCTGAGGCGCGTCTGTTACTGTACTGACAGGGGCAGCTCCCTCATACGAGCCTGGCCATTGTGGTTAGCAGCAGCACCAGAGAGGGAGGCAGCATGGAGGTACAATACACTTCCAAGTGCACTAAAATGAGTATTTTTAGCAGCAGCCCACAAGAGGTCGTCCTTTACGCAGGAAGTAGGGAAATATTCCCTGTGAATCAACGTTTTTAAACACCTTCAAGTAAAAGAAAAGAAGAGTTTTTTGCTCATTGTTGCCGTGTCACAGTTTGACCTTCAATGTGCAGAATGATGTTTGTGCAGAGTTGGACGCTAGAAGGCTGTTTTCACAATTATCTGCTGAATCTCTCATCATGAATTTTGTGATCTTGTGACATTACATCTCCTTTAGAAGCCAGTGGGGTCCAGTTGGAAATTCAAACAAGTGGGATATGGAAACTTGAATCATCTGAGGTTTGATTTTTCAGTTAAGAAGAAAAAGAAGGGTAGTTGAACTTTATAGAATCTGGATTTTTCAATGAGGGAGAATGAATAAAAGTAATTCATTAAACTTTAAGCAAAATGCCTGGAGCTGATCTTTAAGCTTGCAGGTTTAAATAATATAACAGGATAAAGGAAATATCCCAGGACCATTTTAGTGATCTTGACTAAAATATTTCTAGGTAGCATTTAAATAATGATCACCTGCGAAACTTGATTATTGACCAGGAAGTGAATCAGGATCACAGGCCACCAAGTTCGCTGTATGGCAGCTGGTTTGTGGTATTTGTAATTCTGTTTTGGTGTGCACTAAAGCAAGCTACTGACACGATTATGGCTTTAAGGTGGATCCTGCTTTAGTACCTAATCTTGAGGCTGTCTTGAAAAGAGGGTCCATATGGGTTTTAAGACCTTCATTATGTCAGCCAATACCACGGCAAAAGGTGCATATTCCTGGATTCATTTGTGTGTATTACCATACCACAATAGAGCCAATATTACAGCAGTTATTGTATTTTGAGCCAGCAACATAGACTACACAGACACGTCACCTGTGGACTGTGACAGAAAGACAGAAACTGTGTGGAGGTGGAGGGCATAAATCGGCCATAGATTCCTTGTGATTTTTATAAACTGGCTAATTTATATCTTTTATAAGAGACAAAATGAAAATGTGTCAAAAAATCTATCATGAAAAGGGTCACTGTTGCACACAGGCCAAGGTAAAATAAAAAAAACCTTCATTAAATGTTCAACAGATGTTTGCTACATCATTTTATTTACTGCATCAAGATAAAAAAAATTAAATATCACTAATACACAGTATAGGAGTGTGGAGCTTTAAAGATTATTTTTGACCTCAAAAACAGCACTTGACAAAAAGATAAAAAAAAAAATTCAGCTGTTCCAGAGCTTTTGATCTTCAACAGCTCACATTTCATGTTTAACCCAACACGAATAAAAATGGAAATCTACAATTTCATAACAACTTCCATCTGCTGATGAATCTCAAGTGATCGAAAGCTCCAGAACAGCTACTAAATGAAATAAAGCAGTGTTTTCAATGGCTCAAGACACACACAAAACATGCAGCTTATAACCTTTAATATCATCTGAACCCGAATAACTCCCTCCCCCACGGCCATAACTTGGCTTAGGCGGTGATAAAAGTAAATTAAAAACAAGCCACAGAGAGACTGTGCCTAGAGGACACACATTAAGACTGTTACAAGTCTTTACAATAACTCAGCAGAGCATAGAGGCATAATTGATACAAACACACATACCCATACAATTGTCTCTAATCTATATTTCTGAAAAGGCCTCTTTAAACAACAATGTGCAAGGTCCCCTCTAAAATATACATCCACAGAGGCCATGGCTATAAAAAAAAAGTGAATATGACCTTTTTACAGTCAGATTTCCCTCTATGAAACTCCATCGGAGGGCAGTGTTGCTCCTTCCAAACACAAGTCTTTACCAAACTGGTAAACTATGTCAGAAGCGTGACATTTAAAGAGGGGATGTCCAGAATAACATCAAACCACAACTCCAAACCTAATCATGCATGAAAGTAAATTAAGCAAAGACAATATTTAAGTCTAATTTGCAGATGCTGTGAGTGTGTGACACGGCTGTATGGAGACAAACAGCCTACAGTTCTTCCCTAGTTTTACTGTTTGACCCACATTGGCTAAAACTATCCAGAATATTAATAACCATCTTTGTATGGGCTTTACAACTTTCCCTGCCCCATTTATCTTAAAATCTGATGTTAGGCTTGGCCTCTCTCCCTCTACTTCCCAACATACCTATTGTATCCAGTGTGTAGAACAAGTGTGTAGTGTGTGTAATGTGTAGACAAAGGGCTGTCACTCTTGCTGCTGGAGTGGACATGAACAATACTTCGAGCCCCTTGGGCCACATTACACCGCAGAGACTCGCATAAAGGGATGAGAGAAGGAGCGCAGGCAGCGTCTGACTAATGGAGAGAGGAATGAAAGCAGGAGTTCATATCCACTGCCTGATATCATACCAAAATATAAAAGCACTAATGTTCAATTATTCATTTTTGTAATGTATTTATATTCTCATTTGACTAAATTAATGGACAAAAAAGGCCAATTGTGCTGCTTGACAGATATTAATGATGTAAACAAACATTTAACAGCATCAGGAAATATGAAGGCAGGTTCCAAAAAAAATAAATAAATGTGGTGGTGGGACGGTTTTACTATTTTAGATTAAAGTTAAAGATTATTTATCCAAATATCCAAATCACGCTGACATTAATCCACAAACACTGGCCCAAAACTTACTACTACGTCTTTCTTTCTTGTCGTTTAAAATTAAAAGTTGTACTATTGTTACGAAACATTGGGACTTCAACTTTGGGCTGCTGACAGTAAGACAATCATGCACACTTAATGTAACACAACATACACACTGTTCGAAAATACTCTAAAATGTGTGTATTTGGCCCACTTTCACCTACAGTATAAGTTCATCACTGCTACATAAAATTAGAATTAGTACCACAAGGGATTTTTGGTTGTGTCTTGCATACTTTAACATCACTGTCTCATTTGTATGTATGTGCATTTGTGTGTGTATCCCCAGAGAGGAGGCAGACGGATAACCAATAATATGGTTGTTATGGTTCGTCTGGAGAAACACCTGCCACATCCAGAGGGAGAGAAACCCCAGCAAAAACCATACCTATATGGGGCAGAGGAACAGCTTGTATGGCAGCTTCCCTTAATAGCTTTACTAATAAAAAACGGAAGGTATTATCATAAATACCTGCAAAATGCTTTCAAAGACATATTTCAAGATGAACCTAATAAGGCCTACAAATAAGATTTTGCCTTTACAAAAAACCTTGGTTTCAGCAATAAATAACAGAGATCAAAATAGCTTTAAACAGGCTTTTAAATCTTTTTAACAGTTTATTTACAATGTATGAATTTCAGCTGCAACTGAATCCCACATAAAAGCACACAAAAGTCCAGCAGGCTATTTTTTGTGTAATTTAAATAAATATATTTACAAAATGGTGCAAACAGAAAACAAATTCACAACAGATATAGGCAGCTAATTTAAGGTCAGGCATTGCAAAGTTTGAGTAGTTTGGCTTTCCACATTCTTCCCCATCCTTGTGAGGACAGTAAGAATATTGAACAGTTCCCCATGATGACAAAGCAACGTGATATTCCCATTAATGCTGGGATGCACAGCAGTGTGTCTGTGTACAGGGCCGCTCCATTATAACCCCATAGGGTATTCCTCCAGTCCTGTCAGCATCCTTTGTCGCTGCTTCCAGAAATCATTCAGCAGTGGTGGCTGGTTACAGACAGACCTCCTCATCCTCAGTCCTTCCTCCTGCTGCTCCTCGCACCTTACACATCCAGCACGTGGTTGAGGTAGGAGATGTAACAAATGGCCAGTCGCAGGATCTCAATCTTGGACAACTTCTTGTCCGGTGGGAGCGTCGGGAGCAGTTTTCTCAGCTCCGCAAAAGCCACGTTGAAGGCCACCACGCGGACCCGCTCCCTGGTGGCGTGCGCGGATCGGTATTTAGCCGTCGCGCGCCTCCTCCGCCTCTTCTCCTCCCTGCTGAGAGCGGGCACGTGCACGGAGCGCGCCTTGCCCTCTCCACTCGCGGGTTCGTCCGGCACGGACCCGCGTGCACCCGCGTTGACAGTGTCCACCAGGGTGTCCGGGTTCGTCTGTCCCCAGGGCGGATCGGACTCTGGCTGGTCGGGACTGAGCATCATGCTTCTGTCCTCAGAGGATCCTGAAGTCAGCAGAAATACACCCAGAGTTTGGGAAATTATTCTGCTTCAACTTTATGATTAAATGTGATTTTATTATTTTTATTATTTCCATGAATGCATTAACATAAGGCATATTTTCCTAACTTTTAGTAAATAATACAAACAATAATGCTATGGAATATTGTGTTGTGTGCCATTATGATAACTGTCAGCTTGTGTTTGTCACAGCTCTGGTTGTCGTTCTTTTGGTAGTCACATTAATTAATTTAAAGGATCAAAAGAGCCTGAAATACGAGGGGCTCGTGCTGCCCCCTAGTGGCGGATCTACACACTTGCTGCTGTCAGAGACCCGGCGCTGTCCGAGGTCCTGAAATTATATCAAGATTACAAAAACAGGTGACTAATTAAGTAATTTAGAAAAATAAGGATTACTTAAAATCAAAGTCTATCGTCTCAAAACAATTAAAGAATCGCAGTGACAAGTGAGGTAATTATTTTATTCTGCCTTGTTCAATTACCTAATCTACACTGGAAATGGGTGGAATTATAACACTGTTTCCAGCAGCATTTCCCCTATGTGTTTAAGGAAAATACAGTTTGCACAACACACTACCGAGTAGTGTTGGTTATCTTACTTAGCAGACGTGCTGCCTGTTTCAAACGAGAAGGAGGTTTATTTTCTTTATTTTTTTTTAAGTTTTGCAGAACTTGCTTTTTAGGTGTTTAATCTCTCAAGCTTGCTGCAACTGCGCATCAGAGCAAAGATTGAGCAGAGGTGCAGGATAAGTAAACAACAATAAATTGAAACGTACCTTGCACATTCAAGCCCCCCTCCCAGAGCAAACCGATTCAAGAATCGCACACAAAGCTGCATCTCATCTCTAATAAGCAGCCAGAGCAGGCACCAGCAGGTAAAGTTATCTTCCCATCAGCCTCCATGCCGCCTAGGCTTTTAAGAAGTTGAGTCGAATCAAAAAGCTGAAAACAGGACGTGGGCTTAGGTTTGACTTCGGGTGGAAAAGCTTTGCATTCCCGCTCGTCCTCCTTGTTGTCCGTCATGGTGTCTGCAGGTGCGCATCACATCCTTTTTGGCTTGTTGCTCTCTGTTGTCTGTTTCTTCCATCCAACCCTGTCTGGTCGTGCGCAAGATAAGACAACCCTATCTCCCCATAAAACCAAGTGACGACACGCACAGCGGGACAATGAGGGAGCGTTTGTTGTCCAAACCTCTTTCACTTCCATTCCCAGGGCTTGAAAACGCGCCTGCGGGCGTGCAGAGCTTTATTAGTTGGATTTGTTTGATTTGCAGACGTTTCGATCTGAAGGTTACAACCCAGTGAACTTATTAGCAGCCCTGTTCTCGATGAACATAAATTGATTATAGTGTGCTAGACGTGAAACTACTTCCAATGACGCCTTTTTCCCCCCTAGATCCCATTATAAGGTCAAGTGAGCACCTGTGTCTAAATAGAAAGAAAATCGAGTGAAATTTGTTTAAAAAATGCATCCACCTGGTCTGCCAATTAAAACTTACAAAAAAACAATAAACACCAGAAAGAGCGCATCATATCTGTGAAGCCTGAGCTTGTGATGAGAGTTTTAAAAGCCCAAATGGGCCTGTGGATAGTTGGCAATCTGTGAACCACAGACATTTGTTTTGGTCATAAGCTGTTAATTTCACCAGAGCACATGCTTTGCCATTTCCAGCACTTTAATAGGGCCAGTGCTGATTGAGGCACGGGGTTAGGAGATGGAGGGTGAGGGCTGTAAATCAAAACAACTCATTTATCCAAGCAAGAAAACATAGGTGGACACCAAATTTAATAAAGGTTATTCAGTCAAGCACCTTTTATTGCAACATATATACAATATTTGCACCAAAGCCTGATATTGTGGTTCAGTTTGAGTTTATGTTGTGGTAGGTGTGGTATTGCAGCTCTGGCATTTTATTTCTGATCTGCTAATCTCTTAGAGGGAAATGTCAGTGCTAATCATTACTAACATAATCATAGTGAGTAAATCACAAATCGCCTCCACCTCTGTGCCGATGGAAAATGTTTTCTCCCACAGCGTCAGAAATGGCCCCATAAATGTTCAGTGGGGATCATGTGTGGTTATTGAGAAGGCCCTGGCATATGGCTAACATCATTATCATTCTCTCCGAGATGTGTCCGTTTCTGTCATTTGTCGATTGGGAAATATCATCCTAGGTATGGTTGCTCATCACAGGAAGGGAGATGTGTCATGTGATGAGATTATTGCTCAGAATTGTTATTAATAAACATTAGTATTTGTATGCCTTTCTCAGTGATTATTCAAGGGCAGTGAACGCATCTTTTACACTGCCTTTTTTTCAGACTGATGGAATGTAGCTGTTTCACTGATTTGGATATGTCTTGTATATTGAGGTATAGGGAGTGTAAATTGCCTCAAACACTTCAGTCATTTAATTTCCACTGAATACAAGATCGCACTCAGACTCTTATCAATATCATATATGTGTAAATTTTTATTATAAAAAAAAATGAAAACAGCAATGGTGAAAATACTATTGTGTATTTCATCACAGGTTTAGATGAGGTTATATGATTTCCAGGAAAACCAATAAATGTGATAATATGAAGGATTGTGTTGTGAACAAATACATTTACCATAATCACTGATGGTCAATTTTGAATTTGCCTCACTCCAAACACTGTAATAATCAATGACAGTTTAGATTAATATCCCATAACAGGGTTGGGCAAATTTGGCTCTCTGCTACAAGTATTATGAGATCTGAAAATGTCCCTTTTTGCCCATAAAAACATTTTAACAGTTAAAAATATCCTCAATATTTGTATTATAAGTATATAAATCATGCACATCCTAAAGAAAACTACCATTTATTACCATAACAATCAATACTGTCCATATAGAAACATGCAGTTGGCTGTTTAAAACATTTTGGCACTGCAAATGACTCCTCCATTTCCAATTTATTCAGTGTTGATTAATGTTTCTAATAAATAAAATAAATAAAAATACAGCTAATCTTAAGATACATTTTTTTCTCATAGAAACAGCAAAGAGGATACTGCAGATTGGCATCAACAGATCAGGATGAGATATACACATTTCAATTTCATTTTTATTTTATTATATCTACCTTTCATTTTACAATAAGAGCAATTTTTGTCCTTTATCTAAAGGCCCCAGCTTTGACTGCAGCCTAGCTTCACAGTAGGTAATGAATAGATATTGCCCTCCACATCTGTCAGAACTTTAACTCTGTACTGCTGAGACCTGGCCAGGACTAATGATGTAACGCCATGAAGAGTTCAAACACCACCCAGACATTTAAATATATATATATATTGGGTTATTGGTCTTATTTGACAGGATTGCTCAAGATATACAGAAAAAGGGGAAGAGAGAGAGAGGGGATGACATGCAGGAAAGGGCCATGGGTCGGACTCAAACCCATGACCACTGCAGCAGGGGCTCAGCGTTGGTACACATGGCACCAGCTCTACCAGGTGAGCAAGCAGAGCTCCTTTACCCAGACATTTTTAATGATCTATTTGATGTCCAAATGTATTAAAATATTCAAATAAGATAATAAAAAAGATATGTGTCTGTACTGCAGTTGTAAAACCAGACCTCTAATGGACAACACCAAAAAACAACCACATCATAGGAGGACTCTTAGGTTCTGTGCCCTTTGGTACTCTCCACCTTGTCTCTCTTGTGTCCTCTCCTCCCCCTTTTTTACACCAATCCTCCTGGGTCCAACTCCTCATCTGTCTCAGTCTGGACACCATCTGTTTAAAGGCCAGAGCCACAAGCATCCCATGTTGATCTCCTCCTCTTCATCTGTTCATGCATGCACGTGTTTCTGTGTGTGTTAATGAACATGCATGTGCAAAATATTTTACTTATGCCTACAGTAAAACTAAATAATTTTCGGTATGTTTCCTAGTTCAAACTTTATGTCAAGGCATATGTAATTTGATGTAATTTGTTTTTCAATGGTGGTTTATGTTGACCCTTTGTGTTTGTTTGTGTTTGCATATATTGCAGGTTTCAGTCCAACTTTTCTGTTCCTCCTTACTTTCTGTCACTTTTACATCATGTCCACTTGCCAGTTTCTGTCACCCTCATGTGTTACCAACAAATCACACACTGTATATGCAAATAAGCTGAAGTCGTTTAATTTTAATTTGGTCCCTTTTCCCTTTTCCCACCCCCTGCCTCAGTTCTCCTCTCTGTCTGGTTACCATCTGCTGTCATATATTGTTCCTGCTGATTTGGAATCAGATGACATCTAATCGATCAGCTTTGTCACCATGGCTACAATGGTGAGGAGGAAGAGGGGGAGGGGAGGAGGGGAAGAGAGGTGAGACATTACAGCAGTGTGGCTGCATTTCTCAAGGTTTTTGGCTCAACTTCCAAAACCACTTTATCTTTTTTAATTAATTATTGAAGGAAGACAATAATGTCAATGACAAAAGCATTCATCACCAATTACACTTTGAATAATGCATTTGTTGAGCTCAAAATGAACAAGAATAGATTGATTGTGTCAGCGCTGCAAGAAATTTTATTTTGATTATTGATTATATTCTGGTGATATACTTGAGCCCTATATCTTCTCCAATTCTCTGTGTTTTGTCCAGTCAAGACAAAACCCAACTCAATGTAAATGACGGATAAAAGCAGCAAATCCTTGCATTTGAGAAGCTGGAAACAGAATGTTTATCCGTTTTGCTTAATGTATGACTTCAATGATCAATCAATTATCAAAATAGTTAGTGATTAGTGATTTTCCTCTCAATCTACTGAACAATCTGACAAAATTTCAGCCCTGAGCTGTATGTCAGCTAAGAACCCCACAGGATAGGAAAATAAGACACATCTTTGTATAAGACGATTGAGAATCAATGACCGAGGCATTGATTGGTTATGTTGTGATCTGCAATATCAAAAAAGCAAGTCTTTCAATTGTTACCATGGACAGCTCAACGTACTCCTGTGACGCTTTGCATTTGCATTAGGTTGTGTAACATATATATCCTCCTAGATACTGTGGTCAAGGGTCCATTTCATAGCAGGCAAAAGAAATTATAAAGTTTGTGGAAAAACACTATCTTATGTGACAAGAAATTCTTAATAATTTCCTATGACATGTCTTGGGAATATGTCATTTGTCAATAATTACACGTAAAATATAATATTTCTATTTTTACACTTAGTTCACAGCATGTTAGCTAAACCTGTAAAAATATGCATATTAGTCTACAGGAAAGTATACGTCACATTAGAAGAATACAGTTTCTAATATGAATGATTAATAAACATTTAATTAAATAAAACATTTAAGACATTGAAATAAGTGCTACCAAGTTCTTACCACGTATAGCTACTTTAGCAAGTTTTTATTCAGTTTTGATTCCAATCTGGCTCTTTTGTTTTCATGCCTGGGCACTAAATTCCCAACTGTAAAGAAAGCGAGAGAACAACCAAGAGAAGCAGAATGAGGTAAACAGAGCCCTTACAAAGTATAACTGATAAAGAGAAGCTTAAATGGAAAAGCAGAATAGATGGATTTGTTGCACACATGAGAATAACACTGGGGAATGCCTGTATGAGTTTTCATCTGAGTTCAAATTCAAGACTTATTTCCTTCAAACTTAAACGCAGCAACTTCAATTTGATGCTTATTTTAGCTACTTAAATAGGACTTGTGCTCAGCCAATTCAGTAAGACAGGGGACACCTGTTTCTTACCCCTCAGGGGCAGAGAAAAAGAAGGAGCATTTCATGTCAGTCAGAGAATTTACACTGGAAGCAGTGACTCTTATCTCGGTACATGCCTATGCTGTAACATTAAATAAATATGCACAAGGTTTGTCTGTCATCCACTCTGTTAACAATGTAACTCAACATTTTGCTGCTAGACGCTGTCACAGCTCAGTGAACATCACTTCATCGTGTTGCCTCTGGAAATCCTACTTAGCTGACAAACATAATAAATAAAATGACTTATTATCCCAATGTGGACAGAGGAGAAGTATGAAAAGAAACAGTGAGTATAGATGGATATGCTGCATTGACTGATCCATTGAAGTATAGCAGAAGTATAGCAGCTAACATATAGTGAAATGCAATAAGGGATATCAATAACCACAATGGCAGTGAGTATGTAAAATGCAATTTAAACTGAGAAACAAGGAGGACAATGCAACATTGACAAAGTTGTCAGCAACAGATTCTTTATTTCTACTTTGCAAATGCTCAATGTCATTCTTCTTTTCTTTTTTGCTTTAGTTTTTCTTGCAAGAAGAGGCGTGCATCTCTCCTTATTTTGGGAAACAGTCACATCTGTCAGCTAAAACAACCCTTCCCGCCCCTTTATAACAGAACTGAGGGTTATTTATTGGTCTGATATAAGATCAGCCAGGAATGCACACTGATTAAATACCTGGTCACAGGTCAAAGCTAAACACAATATGTACAGTCACAGCATTTTATAAAAAGGTTTTTGCAGCTGACTTGAAAGTAGACAATCCAGACTGAGCAGTCTTTGATCACAGTTATAAAGAAAGTATTGTGAGATGTTAACATTAATCTAAACTGAGAGATGTGTGAGGAACTGAAGGTGAGAGAAAGATTAGATTACACTTTACTCTCTTGAGGCTGTCATTGTTTTCCATCCTTATAGATATCAGAGTGAGAATCCCTTGATATGGAAAGAAAATGTTGTTTTGATCTTGTCTCAGTTCCTTTCCAACATGTTTTAATTTATTTTGTGATTTTGAGAACTATCTCATTGGGGATATTTTCACTCTAAGTCACGCTTTTCCACCCAGAAAATGAGCATAATCCACATTGAGATTAGTACGCTATGCCTGCTGTGACTTATATAAAAGGTTATGCACTCGCAAGTTAACATGTGTTTTGATTCATTCAAGAACCAACAGTACAGAGGCCTTTAATCTCTGTACACTTGCTCTTTTTATTCCTCTAGATTTGAACTTAGACAAAAAAAAGGAAAAAAGGATGAAAGAGTTTAAGGAGGATCAATCAGCCCACTTTTAAGGTAAAGCTATCTACAATTAAATGTGTCAAATGATTAGCTGCATGTGATGTTATCTATAAGTCAACAAAGCAAATTGCATATGGATACAAGTGACAGACGCGTGCTTGCTAGCACTTTCCGTAACCAGCCCACTTTTCACTGTCTCACACAAAACCTGAAGTTACTGCAACATAAGGTTCCTCTACTGGCATGGACTGTGATCCAATTTTCCATCGCTGTTGATTACCACCACAGAGAATAAACAAATGCATGTGGTCCACAAGAGCTTTTCATATGCTTGGTCATCTATGCTGCATTTCTGAGGAAGCAACCAGTGCTATAAACATTCATTCAAGTTTTTTAAGGATACACCAGATGTACTCTCTGGTGGCCACTTCTGTTTCATTAGAAAACCATAATAACAGCTTTGGATTTAGGAGGGGAAACCACAGAAGCAGCTGTTTGATATAAATGTATAAAACTCAGCTCTTGACTGTTTTTACCAATCACAAACTTTTATTACAACTTCCAACTCCAAACTTTGTAATATCGAAAGATGGTGCAGCTGCTACCATGTCAAAGTCATGGGAAATGGTAGTTTCCTTGCTGCAGGTGATGCAACATGGAGCTAACTGGTGATTGCTGCTCTCTAGTGGAGTAGTATATACCGTATAACTACTTGGAAGTAAATTCATGGCAGGTATTTCTTGTAAATCAATCTCAGGAACACATACTTTAGCCTGTCCAGTGCTGATCATACACGTATGGTAAGTAAAAGTATTGAGTTTCAGGTGATATGACTGTCACCCAGTGTCTGTGTTTATGTTGATCTTAGAGTTCAGGTTAACATTGAAAGTAGGAACAGGGACAGAGACACTTTCTTAAAGATCTGCCTCTTCCCATTTGTGTTTTTCTCCTGTAATCAGAGAATTTCTGTGTGTGGGTTATGACAGTGACACAAGAGAGGAAGTGTCCTGCTTAGCAACTGTTTTGAAGCCTTTGCAAGACCTAAACTTCCTCCAGCTGAAACAACTTGAATGTCTAATCTAATTTGTAAGTTTGCTGGGCAGCAGTGCTGACAGTGTGCCAAAATTATCACAGTAAATCCTGGAGCTCTGTTTACTTATGGTCATTCCAGTGATTAGATCAGTGACATTAATCTGTTAAAGGTTGCAGTTTGCATGCTTTACAGTGATTCTCTTCTGCCAATATATAGCCACAATTCATGACTCACCATCTGGATGGCTATTACTCACTTTGGCCTTAACCTCCTCAAGCTCTGGCAGATATTTTCAAACAGTAATTAAACCATAAACTGCTTCAGATCAATCTCAAAACTGGACACTGTCGTCACCTAGTGGTAAAAAGTAGGAGGAGAACGGGTGGCAAGATGAGCATGAGCATCCCCATCTTGCCTGTTTTTCTGCTACATTTAGCAGGTTAAGTGTTACATTTCTTTAACAAAGTGAATTCATTAAATACAGTTTTGTTTTATTGCAATATTCATTCAATAATTTGCAAATCTATCCCTTGCAGACTGAGAGATATTGTGTGTGGTGGTAGTCATATTTCTGCTTGCATTCTCATGAGTCATCCTCAGAGACTAACACTTATCCTTAAATTAATACACAGTTGCCCATTCTTTCTTCCCTCCTCCAGAAGGAGAGTTTTCTTATTTATGTGTGTGAAAGATAAGAGATAAGGGCCTCTCTCATGAAGGACGATATTTAATGGCCTCTCTGCACATTTCAGGTCAAACTGACTGCACACAGGAAGAGGAGAGGAGACACAGATCAGTTCTTCAACATAGTATAAAGATCTGAACATGGGAATAATATGAGCAGTAAGTACGGAATCACTAAAAAGACAGTGCTCAAAATCATTAAACAATAAGAGCATACATTACTATTACATTCACTAAACATTGCCACTCAACTACAGTTTTCTGCTCATGCTGAAAATGAAGAGTCCTAAGTTTCCTGCTACAGTGGATCTATAATGACAACTCTTCCCACAGGTTTTAGACAAGAAACTATAGGAAACTACGCAAAATTGTATATAATGATATAATGTGAGGAAATGTGAAGCAGGTTTTATTAGGCAGAATTGCTCTGCTGCCAGACATTTTAATGTGAAAAAATAACCCAAAAGTATAATTAAAATAAAAACAGGACTGGATGTGGTCTCCTTACTCAACAGATTCTGAACATTTAAGAAGTTGGATCAGTATCAGGAGCAAAAAAGAAGAGTTTGAGACATCCCTATTTTTGACTGAGCCTTGTCTCCAAGACATAATTGGAAATGACCAAATTGCTGTATTTCCTCACATTGGCCATATGATGGCACTGTAGGCTACATTTTCATATTATTATCCAGCATTTATCATAAAGACAAACAAGCCAAGATCCTCTCTACCTATGTGTATGTACCTTTTTATGCCCCTATGTACTCTTAATTGCATGACTGTGGTTATATTTAAAGGAGCTCCTAAACATAGGCTGCAGATGTTCCTTTTATGTTTGTATGAGTGCCTTGGGGAGCACACACCAAATACCTGACACATGCAGTAGAAAGTGTGAAACATACTTGAGAGTAAAGCATGCAATGCAACAATGCAATGCGACAAATCCCTCTGGGGTCAATGCATCACAAAGAATGCAAACATAACTCCCAAAAGACTAGTGTGGCGATGGTGTGAAAGGCCACAGAGTAAAAAGAAAAGAGCCGGCCTCATAAACACCAGAATGCCTCATGATTGTTAATTTGAACAATGCATGTAGCGGTTTGACAAATCCTGTATCTCACAACCCTTAAAACCCAAATCAATCTCAATTAGTGAGAAAAAAGAGAGACAATGGGAGGACAGATAGCTGACAAAGCGTATCCATATGTCTCGCATGTGGCGTGCTTGCATGCATGTGCGCCTACGTGCTATTATGTAGCAGTTGTTCATTAACCCCGTCCCCTCCTCTTCACAGTGGCTGGATAGATGGGACTTAGGACTGATTCTGGTACCAGATGTGTGCCAACTCATGTCTGCCTTTGATGTGAATTGCTGAGTCTATTTCTTTTTTTACAGGGCAACATTCGTGAGTGGGCTCGACCGCAGGCAACTGTTTCTTCAGAAGAAAGTAATGTAAAGGAAAACAGAGCTGGAGCCCAGTAACAGTAGAGTGAGAGGATCACTCAGCCACATCTGGTTCATGTGGTTTGAAGACATCAGGAGTGGCACATCATTTTTAAACATCTTGTACACAGACATACACGCATGCTCTCAAATATCCACACGGTTACAGTATAAAAGAAACAAAAAGACACACAGACAAACATACATTCTGTCTTTTTATGGATAGGTTGAAATGGGAAAAGCACACATTGCCTTGAAGTAGATGTATGTATTTTTGTAAATGTATTCTGTGCTTAAAACAGCTGGATTCACTGATAAAACCTACATGTTCTTGGCGTTCAGGTGTGCATATGTTCCACTCCCCATTTAAAAATGCTATCCAGGTTCCTGAGAGGTAATCCCTCAGTGCCAGCTGATTGGTTCATGACCTTGATTGCAGATTGACAGCAACTGTGTGTGAGTGCAGCTGAGCCAGAAGGCCTGGTGTATAAAAACAGAACCTTGAGTTCTGCTTCAGGATGAGCAGGTCTTTCCATTAGTACGCCAGCTAATTATAAAGCTCATCGGTTAAGATTGAAATCTGACTTCAGAATGGGTGTGTGTTTTCTAATGTTTGCGTCTCATACTCTGATTAAGCTTGTGTTGTAATATTTCTGATAACATGTGTGCTTATTTTAATCTCTAAATTTTTGTTTAGCAGCAAAGAAAGTGTTGCTTGTGTATGCCCACCAGAGCTCTGGGTCATTCAACGCTGCTGCCAAAGATGCTGCAGTGGAAGTTTTAGCAGCTCAGGGCTGCACAGTTGAAGTATCTGACCTGTATGCCATGAAGTTTAAAGCCACTGCTACTGCTGAGGACATCATTGGTATATAGAGATATCTCACTCACATTTAAAAAGTTGCTTTTGATTGCTCTTCAGAATGACAAGGAATGTTTATTTTATCTCTACAGGAGAAGTTAAGAATTGTGATCACTTCCGTTATGCAGAGGAGACCAAACTGGCATGGGAGGCAGGAAAACTGTCTACTGACATCACCGAAGAACAACGCAAACTCACTGAGACAGACCTTGTCATCTTTCAGGTAGAGCCTGAGTGACGGTAATGTGTTTGTGCAAATCCCTTGGCTTTAAACTAACTGTAAATCCTACTTCTCAGTTCCCCATGTACTGGTTCACTGTCCCTGCAATCATGAAGGGCTGGATTGACCGGGTTCTCACACTGGGGTTTGCTTTCTCACAAGAGAAGCGATACAGCCAGGGTATCTTCAAGGTAAGGGATGAAATCAAATGTTTGGATTTCTATTTTTTTTTTTTTTTTTTATTAAGCTTATTTTTAACTTGTTGGCTTTCTGCACAGGAAAAGAAAGCTATACTGTCCTTCACAACTGGGTCTCAAGAGTCCATGTTCAGTGCAAATGGTATTAATGGAGACATGAATGTCACACTATGGCCACTACAGGTACTGCTTCATGATAAACTGACTCAACCAAGCTTTAAATGGGCTGTAAACAGTGTCAACATAACTGTTCACAACTGACTACTTTTTTTTTTTTTTTTTATCTCCAGAATGGCATCCTGCACTACTGTGGCTTCCAAGTTTTGGCCCCTCAGATTTTCTGGGCTCCGTCTCACGCTCCCGCTGAGGTACGCAGCACCATGCTGGAGGGCTGGCGTACACGACTGCAAGGCCTCCTAGGAGAGGAACCACTTTCCTTCACTCCCTTGGACTGCTTCGATGGGGAGAAGGGTTTCCAGCTGAAGCCCGAGGTCTGTGAAAAACATGCCACCAAGGAGTTCGGCCTGACAGTGGGGATCCACCTGGGCAAGCCACTACCACCCAACAACCAGATGAAAGCCGGAGTCTAAAGACTGCAGGAACTCATTGCATGTCATGCCTGTCTTTTATTGTCTGGAGAAATAAAAGCTGAGAGATTAATAAAAAAATAAATCTGTTACTTTACTACTTGGCCCATGTACTGCCTTGGTAATTCAAGTTTAAGGGGCTGGATTACTGGGTTGACTTGGCTTTTGCATACACAGATGCAGGACTTGACTTGCAATAAAGCATCTACACAAATATCTGTCATGTTCTAAAGTCTCATGTAATTCACCAGTACATTGTCATGACTTGGGCAGCTTTAATGGAGACATGCATTAAATGTTACTCTGGCAATGGAGATTTTCTTTAATAGGTTTTCTGGAAAAAATGACTTTATTTTCAAGCTAGGGCTCTTATAAAGATTTATTTGTCTGCATAATCACCAGTATTCTGTCTTTTGAGTAAAGCAAGTCAAAACATAATATTCAGCATCTGGTTCATGTGGTTTGAAGACATCAGGAGTGGCACATTTCTAAACATCATGTACACAGACATACACGCATGCTCTAAAATATCCACACGGTTACAGTATAAAAGAAACAAAGACACACACGGAAAAACATACATTCTGTCTTTTTATGGATGGGTTAAAATGGGAAAAGCACACATTGCCTTGAAGTAGATGTATGTATTTTTGTAAATGTATTCTGTGCTTAAAACAGCTGGATTCACTGATAAAACCTACATGTTCTTGGCGTTCAGCTGTGCATATGTTCCACTCCCCATTTAAAAATGCTATCCAGGTTCCTGAGAGGTAATCCCTCAGTGCCAGCTGATTGGTTCATGACCTTGATTGCAGATTGACAGCAACTGTGTGTGAGTGCAGCTGAGCCAGAAGGCCTGGTGTATAAAAACAGAACCTTGAGTTCTGCTTCAGGATGAGCAGGTCTTTCCATTAGTACGCCAGCTAATTGTAAAGCTCATTGGTTAAGATTGAAATCTGACTTCAGAATGGGTGTGTGTTCTAGTGTTTGCATCTCATACTCTGATTAAGCTTGTATTGTAATATTTCTGATAACGTGTGCTTATTCTAATCTCTAAATTCTTGTTTAGCAGCAAAGAAAGTGTTTCTTGTGTATGCCCACCAGAGCTCTGGGTCATTTAACGCTGCAAAGATGCTGCAGTGGAAGTTTTAGCAGCTCAGGGCTGCACAGTTGAAGTATCTGACCTGTATGCCATGAAGTTTAAAGCCACTGCTACTGCTGAGGACATCATTGGTATATAGAGATATCTCACTCACATTTAAAAAGTTGCTTTTGATTGCTCTTCAGAATGACAAGGAATGTTTATTTTATCTCTACAGGAGAAGTTAAGAATTGTGATCACTTCTGTTATGCAGAGGAGACCAAACTGTCATGGGAGGCAGGACGACTGTCTGCTGACATCACCGAAGAACAACGCAAACTCACTGAGACAGACCTTGTCATCTTTCAGGTAGAGCCTGAGTGACGGTAATGTGTTTGTGCAAATCCCTTGGCTTTAAACTAACTGTAAATCCTACTTCTCAGTTCCCCATGTACTGGTTCACTGTCCCTGCAATCATGAAGGGCTGGATTGACCGGGTTCTCACACTGGGGTTTGCTTTCTGACAAGAGAAGCAATACAGCCAGAGTATCTTCAAGGTAAGGGATGAAATCAAATGTTTGGATTCCTATTTAAAAAAAAAAAAATAATAATCTGACTTTGTTACTTTACTTCTTGGCCCATGTACTGCCTTGGTAATTCAAGCATAAGGGGCTGGATTACTGGGTTGACTTTGCTTTTGCGTACACAGATACAGGACTTGACTTGCAATAAAGCATCTACACAAATATCTGTCATGTTCTAAAGTCTCAAGTAATTCACCAGTACATTGTCACGACTTAGGCAGCTTCAATGGAGACATGCATTAAATGTTACTCTGGCAATGGAGATTTTCTTTAATAGGTTTTCTGGAAAAAAATACTCTATTTTCAAGCTAGGGCTCTATTTATTTGTCTGCATAATCACCAGTATTCTGTCTTTTGAGTAAAGCAAGTCAAAACATAATAATCAGCTTTGCAAACATTCACTCACTTCATGGAAGTGAATACTTTTATATTGTGCCTTCAAAGCTCTCTCAAAACACATCTTGTCCTATTTGTCCCATCTCTTAAAATATCCTGGTTCTGACCCTTCAGATCTGCTGGGCCTCTTGGGAGAAATGCCCCTCTCCTTTACACTGACTACTTTGACGGGGAGAAGACTTTCCAGCTGAAGTCAAACAGTTTGTTCAGACAGTGGTAACCCACCTGGGGAAACCACTCATACCCAGTGGCCAGATCAAAGCTGGGGGGTAGTGATAAACACTGCTCTTTATGTTCTGCAAGTGTAATAAAGCTACATATCTTGCTGATTCTTGTGGAAACTTTAGCTTGAATGTTTGGGTGAGCTAAGTTGTGTGCGCTAGGTTTTGAACAAATCGGTCGTCCGATGCCGTCTGGGTGAAGCTGAAGTGCTCTGTACCTTGTATACAGACATGCTGACGACCAAAGAGTCTGCTTCCAAGCAGGTTTGGGCTCCACACAGAAACATAAGTGGCTGAGCACTTTTCCCAGAGAACCAGCTTTTGTTTGGGTATGGAGGAAATGAGATGGGGGTGGGGTGGGCTGGGGGGGGGGGGGGGGACACACTTAAGGAAATGGCCTCCACTCTGATGGCCAGACCACAGCCTGTGACATGTAGGAACTCACTGGTGTGCATACTTCACAGCTGAGGTTTCACAAGGTCACATTGTGTTTGTTTGTGTTGAGTCACGTCCAGTTTCATAATCACCTGTCTCTGCAGCCAGAACATGTTCAGATCATTCCCGTATTTTGCTGTAAAAAAACAGGAAATCCAGTCAGTTATCTAGTTACCAAAACAAGACATTTGGTAACTAGTGTTGGTTGGTTGTGCTATTAGGACTTGAGGCTTCTTAGCTAAGCACTCTCTTCCCACATCAGAGATGAGAATGTGGTTAAATAATGTCTTGAGTGTGAAGTGTTTAAAATGTGTGAATCATGAAATTGCTTCAACCTTCTAATTAAAATACACCCACTCTGCATCAGTAGATCTACACAGTAACACGGATAAGTTCTACTATTGTCAGTTTAAAGATTTTGAAGTTTGCTTTTTTTACATCCATCATTGTCCCAGACAGAAAACTATAGTGTTGGAGTCAGAATTGCCGGGTTTGGGGGCATTGACTGTTTATGTATGTAAGGGCTACACCACGGTCTCTGATCTGGTGTCCATCCTGCTCTCCCATTGTCCATCCCAATTCTCCCACCCTGGCTACAGGGAAGGCCATTTTTGGCTGGTTCAATGGGAGGAAGTGGGCACCGTTTTATACCAGACAGAATCTCCGGAAAACAGTTCTGCTTTACTGAAAGCTCACATACACTCAATCATTCACATAAAAACCAAATATTGTTTGGATGAAGCCTGAAGGTTGAGTAGATCTTATATATAACCAAACTTTTCACCAAACACCCGTGCACATGGAGTTTTTTTTGTTATTGTGTTAAAGAAATAGTTTGACATTTTTGGAAATACACTTCAGATTTCAGACAGGAAGTGGTTACCTCCGTAACGACGATGTTTTGTATTCTAAATGTGAGGCAGCCAGGTGCAACACTGCTGTCATCGGTCCTGACTTCTTCTGATACCACCAACGGCATGTAGCATACACTAGAAGTTGATGCTATCTATCTACCTATTCTGATCTCGTCATGCTGTCAAATAGACAGTGTTGAATAATAAAATAGATGTAATGGCTGGCAATATTACAATATTAAATAATGTTATAAGGAGTTCGGTCTAGACCTGCTCTATTTGAAAAGTGTCCTGAGATAACTTCTGTTATGAATTGGCGCTATACAAATAAAATTGAATTGAATTGAATTAATGTGTTAATTAGTGAACTTTAGAGGTGCTGGTAGGTAGAGACAGAACTAGGCTAGCTGTTTACCCCTATTTCCAGTATTTATGCTAAGCTAAGCTAATTGGCTACTACCTGTAGCTTAATAGTTCATATACATACATGAAAGTGGTATTGATCTTCTCATCTAACTCTCAAATTATTACTTTAAGAGATTGTAGTAAAGTTAGAAATGTAAATATGAAAAATATATCCATAAAGTCATGGTTTGTTCATACTGAGGTGAGATTTGAGTTTAGACTTGAGAATGGAGCCAGATGTGACTGATTGTTCTTCGTTGACTTTTGGGTGTTTTGATGAGGCCATAAATGGGTCCCTGTGTTTGCGCCAGATGTCATAGGGTTAACAACAGGTCAGCCATTAAACACTATGACCCAAAACAGACAGAGAGAGAGTGAGAGAGCGAGAGAGACAGAGAGAGAGAGAGGGGTAAGGAACAGGAGGAAAAGAGGTTGGCTGACAAATTCGGAAAATGCTGTATATCAGCCATCCTCTCCCTCTTTTAGTCGCTACATTAAAATCCAATCAATTACACCTCAACAAGAACCACAGCTTGTTGAACTTTGCCTGTGTGTGTGATGGTGAGTCCATGTGTGCACATATATGAGGAAAGTGTGGCGCAGTTGAGGGCAGTTAAATTAAGATTGGCAGCAGGAAAGGTTTGTAATGAAGAACTGCACGGTGTTTCCCTTTATGCTTTAACTGAAGTTCCAACTGCCCCTTACCTTCACATCACAGAGTGTCCATTGTATGTTCCCCATGATTATGGAAGTGAGGAATTCACTCTGACATCTGAGCACAATCATCCCCCAAACTACACCAATCACAGTAGCCTCTTAAATCAAGTTTTTCTTGCACACAAATAAGTTCCCACAGTCCTCGTTAAAAAGAAAAATTATGAGAGTGATAGTCCAACAAAACGCTTCTTTACATTTCTCTTTCTCAAACATTCATCACTGTTAAAATTGTTTTACTTCAGGGAATAATTTACTGGTACACAGGCTGCATACCTGAGACAAAGAATTTCAGGTTGATCTGCCCTTGGCGTGACAGAAGATAAAGTATTTTTATGATTTTATTTTCTCTTAAATTCGAGGCAAATACTACTTGCATGGGTATCTGAAAGTGTGTGTGTGTGTGTGTGTGTGTGTGTGTGTGTGTGTGTGTGTGTGTGTGTGTGTGTGTGTGTGTGTGTGTGTGTGTGTGTGTGTGTGTGTGTGTGTGTGTGTGTGTGTGTGTGTGTGTGTGTGTGTGTGTGTGTGTATCAAAGATAAATCTCTCAGGGCTTTATGCCTGTGATCACAGCCTGAACAGCTGGTTAGAAAAATTATAAAAAAAACTGTGGACTACAACAGCTGTGGAGGAACACGACCACAAATAGAGCCAAGGAGCTCTTTACAAGTTCCGAAACAGGAGAGAATAACATGGGTGAAAAAATAATAACAATCACTACCTCCTTCCTCTTTTCATGAACTTATGCAGGATGTGTCTTTCATGCCTTGCTCTTTTCATCCCCATCTCCATCCTTCTTTTGTGTTAGTCTTCTCCTCTCACCAGTGTGAAAATACACAGGAAACTTTTACCACAATGGGACTTTTCACACACCTTTTGCTCATTAGGGATCTGAATGTTCACTGGAGACATATTACTCAGGGGAACTGACTGTATTTTACCACATATAAACAAACACTTTCACAAATCTGGCTTCTGCCATGCACTTCACTCAGCCCGGCTGGCAGTGATAGGACCCAGGCAGGCCTGCACTGTGCAACTTTGAAACTCTTACACGGAAGGCCTGCCTTCGCGGTTTTGATGAATGGATGGACATCAGGCTATTGGCCTCCGTTCAGATTCTGATGTATGGAGTGCATGGAACTGGGAGGCTGACGTGAGGCAGCAAAGCTGTTTTGTATTTGCAAGTCGAGGTTTGAGTGTGGCTGGGACTTTCGGGGAAGGCTTTTGGTGGTTCAGGGCGTCAGAGTGACAGGGTTAAAACTCCACTCAGCCATTATGCTCCTCTCTAAATCCTTTTCTATATTGTAATGAGAAGCAGATCCCTACTATCTCCACCACAAGCTGCAGAGTGATGGGCGAAACAGACACAAAGTGAACACAGTACATCCTGTCCCTCACTCCTGTTTGATCCTTTACTCCAATGTTGACTCCTTTTTCCCTTCTATCTCTGATTCAATCTTATTTCTGGCTTCGGTTTCATACATCTCCCTTAGATATTTCTTCCACTGTCACACATCGGTATAAACAATGAAAGACTACAAATGGCCTCATATGTTTTCCTCTTTGAGTAATAGCTGTATCTGAAGCTCAGGGTTACATATGAGACTATGAAGAAAGACTAGATGAATGGGAGTGCTAGTGCCCCTCACTAGCAGCTCCAGGCACACAGGGCTCAACTCCAGATGCTGCCTGGGATGCCACATCCTGGCCGTAATCCCCCTGCAGTGCAGCGTTCACTTGTGTGTATGTGATTGGCGGGGAGACCATGAATGGGAACCACCTGGGCCTGGCAAAAAATGGCTTGAGGTAATTTTCCATCACATGTTGCTGTGGTGATTTTGATAAATCATTTCGTGCCACAGGGTCATTTTTAAAGGACATGATATTTACAGTGTATCGCCATTTAGATCTTTC